ATGTTTTGTGCCTCAAACGCGTCAAATCTCGATTGGTTCCAAAAACACTCAACTTTCAACGCCAAAAATTCGACCCATATCGTCCCACAACCACCGTATTCGCCTGATTTAGCACCGTGCGACTACTAGCTATTCAACAAACTCAAAAGACCGCTCCGGGGACACCGTTTCGACTCGATTGAGGAGATAAAAGCCGAATCGAAAAAAGTATTGAAGGCCATCCCGGAAAAGGAATTCTCTGACTGTTTCGAGGATTAGAAAAAACGTTGGCATAAGTGCATTGTGTCGGACGGGGAGTATCCAACACATCAGACAATTTTCCGCATTGTGCAAAGATTACGTTAAACGGGGTGTCTAGTGCATAATGCGCTAGGTATGCCAGTGCGTCGTTCTCTTCAAGACGAGGAATGAATTCTTGACACCTTCTACGAGAATCCCAGAAACAGCATGCGCCGAGCGGCGCGCGAACTCAATTTATCGTAGCAAATGTGCATCGCACTTTACATGTACAGCAATTGAATCCGTATCATTACCAGCGAGTGCAACAGCTGTTACCGCGGGATTTGAAACAACGGATATTTGCGACTTTTGCGAAGGTATTGTCATTAACTTTTTTTATTCGCGGTGATTTGAGAGTATAATAATCATTGAAAGACATACTCAGTGTTTCTCGCGAAATATCGGCGGAATAACTTTTTTCTTGACAATATTCTGTGGACCGACGAAGCTACGTTCACACAAAATGGCTTGTTTAATTCTCGTAATTATTGATATTGGTTCGACGAAAATCCGCACGTCGTCCGTGAAGGCGGATTTCAGTACCGTTGGTCCATCAACGTATGGTCGAGAATAATCGGGAATCAAGTGATAAGTAGAAAGAAAATAATTTTTCCTACTGTTTAAGTGAACTGTTTTTTCGTTCGTTATTTCCGTTCAGATCGGTCCCCATTTCTTTCCGCAGCGTTTAACTGGCAGGATTTATAGACAGTTATTAGAGAACGCGTTGCCAGTGCTTCTCGCAAATATGCCATTAATCATACGAGTGCAGCTCATTTATCAATACGACGGAGCACCGGCTCATTTTTGTCGCAAAGTACTGGAGGTATTAAACGCGCAATTTCTAGACAGGTGGATGGGTCGTGGTGGCCGAATCATCTGGCCGGCATGGTCACCAGATGTAAATGTATTAGACTTTTTTGTATGGGGTCATACAAAAAGTCTAATCGAGCACCAGCGTACAAAGAACGAGGTACTTGAAGCTATTGTTGCGGCCTTCGATACCATTACGGCGGACATGGCTCACCGTGCGACGCGCAATATTGTACAAAGGTCTGAACTCTGCATACGAGAGAGAGGACGGCACTTCGAACAATTCTTACATTAGATTGTAAGAGTGGATTAGGCCTATCGGGGAAACTACTGTAAAAAAAAACGCACCAAGCTATCTACCGCAAGGTGGTGTGGAAATGGTAGTGCATCACTTTCCTACCGCCTCTGAAAAGACGGGACGGCGCGATGTCGCTTGCCGCTTGCGCTCGCTCGCTCCTTGTCGCGCGCGCTCGCCTATCAGCCCTCGCTGACTCCGCCTGTACCAAATGTCTACTTACTGCGGCCGCCCTCCGCTCTCTACGCGCTTGTTGGCTGACATGTTTCAATTAATAACTCGATAACTATTGGCAATTTGACATTATGGTATATGACTTTTCTTCTCGCTACACCCAATCTATCTCCAACTTTCGTCAGCATGATCAGCTATCAAACACCCTGTATATTATTATCTTGCATATAGTTTTATATGTATAGGGTGTCTCAGAACTTTGGGACACGGGCTCCGTAGGGACATAGGGCTAAGTGAGAGGAATAAAAATGTCCTGTGCTGTAATATGAAAATCGTAATAGCTTTTTAGTAATAACCGCGTAAAGTTTGGTATTTTCCACGCCTGTCGCGGTCTATAGACGCTCCGCGGCAAGCTGTGTGCGTAGGGGCTGAGCGATAACGCGTCTCGCGCTGACTGTCGTGATGGCGTCTTGGCGCTTTGACGCCGCGTGATGGTCAACGCGGGCCGCGTTTCGCTCAACCCCTACGCACATAGCTTGCCGCGGAATGTCTATAGGCCGCGCTGGGCGTGGAAAACGCCTAACTTTGCGCTGTTATAATTAAAAAACTATTACGATTTTCACATTATGGCATAGGACTTTTTTGTTCCTCTCACTTAGCTCTATGTCCCTACGGAGCCCGTGTGCCAAAGTTCTGAGACACCCTGTATAGCAAAAAATGAAATTGTATATACATAGCAATGTACAAATCTAATTTTGTGGATGTATATATTTATTAAAATAATATACAATATACAGGGTGTCCGGAATGTGATCATTAATATTTTGTGTACTGGTAGATTGGGTGTAGCCGAGAAGAAAAGTCATGTACTATAATGTCAAATTGGCAATAGTTATTGAGTTATTAATTGAAACATGTGAGCCAATGAGCGCGTAGAGAACGCTGGGCGGCCGCCTCTTGTCGCTTGTGCTCGTTCGCTCGTCGTTCGCGCTTGCTCGCTCCTCATCGCGCGCGTACGCCTCTTGTCGCTTAAGGCCTATCCAGACAAACTTGCATAAGCGCGACTAATCGTATGTTTGATACAAAAAATATTTTTTTACTACACGGATTATAATTGGTCAATTTCCTTATGCATATGCGTTACGCGCTTATGCGAGTTTGTCTGGATAGGCCTTTAGGGTTGCCTCTCGCCGCCCGAGGTAAGCCATCTTATACACAGAGCTCGTCCTGTCGCTTTCTCGTGCGCTCATTCGTTTACATATTTTAATTAATTACGGAATAAATATTGAAAAAATTGTAAAATGGCACAGGACTTTTTTAATTGTTTTAACGAGTTCTACCAGTACACAAAATATTAATGATCACATTCCGGACACCCTGTATAAAAATGCAGGAAAGATAAATTTACGTATTAAGTAATAAGTAAATAATATGAAATTAATAATACTTAACTTTATTGTGTTTAACATTATCTTACAATTATTTAAGATAATGTTACATATATAAATCCAGACTATAAATATGAGCTATTGGCTCATTTGGTATTCGTCACGCGCACTATACACACACATATACTGGACGAGACCAATGTTGTGTCTAAATCTAATTGGTTGTGCCGTGTGTAAGAATTTGATACATACATAGATGTGTATGAAGTTATATGTAAGTGAAATTATGAAAGAAAAGTCACATGCATAACCTCTGCAAAATAATACTGTCAGTGTAAGTGTCGGTGATAAGAAAAGAGAAATACAAATAATAGAATGGTGCAGTGTTGTGTTCCAAAGTGTAAGAACAGGTCCGATAACCAAAATTGGAAAAAAACTAGCAATGTGGACAAAAATCGAAAAATTACATTTCACAGGTATAAAATTGCATGTACTGTAAAATAATAGTACCCAATGTTTAAAAAAGTTTTTTAATATAATATAAATATTTATGTTTAGCATTCCAAAAAATAATACCAACCGCAATTTGTGGACCGATATTATAAATCTTCCGCCACATATTCCAAAAAATGCACGTATTTGCTCTGATCATTTTTCAAAGGAATCTTTCGATCAGACAAATGGATTATTAACGCGATTAAGGCCAAATGTTTTGCCATTGAATGAATGTGAAAAGCATATAGAAACGGAAAAAAGAGAGAATGATTCCTTCATTGTATGCCGTAAGTAGACAAAGTAACATATTTTTATACTTATTTATATTATTAGCATTTATATTATTTATGATTGGATAATGCCTACTGTTTGTGGAGGTTGTGGAGGTAATATAATTGCTAGAAATACAAATTATTCATTGTATTATTATATATTATATAAAATATGTTTTGACGTTTAGCACAACCATCAACAACAGATAAGGAAACAATGACATCGATACAACCATGTACAGCAGGGAAAGCAACAATGGTATCATTTAAAAGAATTTATAATTCTCCAGAAAAATGTCGATTGAGGAATCTATTAATATAAGTTTAGTAATAAGTATATTCATATATAATTATGTAATATATATAATAATAAATATGTATAAGTATTGTTTTATATTTTATGAAAGTTCTTATAATAAATAATATTATTTTATAGTATATATGCATATTTATTTTACTCATTATATAACTTCAAATATTACATAATTTCTATTCCTACTATGAATTTCTGTACAACAAAATAGTTCTTATCATTTTGTTACATTTACTATTTGCCAGTGACAGCAAAAGTCGTTGCATCACACGCTCTGAATATGCGCACTATTGTAGCCAATGAAACTTAGGCACAGTTGCCCCCCGTATTTCAGTACAACTCCCCTCGCCTATCTTACGGGCTTATGCTCTGTCTCTATATTCCTATGTCTATGGTCCCAGCTTAACTATCTCTTTCTGACCGCTCGGTATAATGGAGGGAATAGGGCAGTGCTCCTTCCATGGTTATATTTCAATGAAAGGACCTGACTGCGTTCCTCTATTTATGAACCTTGACATAAACTCATAGACCCATATTCAGAACATGCTTATAACTATGTTAAGCCAGCGGCACACGGTGCTTGTTTTCGTGCTGGATTGCTTGCTGGATGAAAATACTGCGTTCTGATTGATGCATTTCCATCCATCTTCGGAAATGTACCAATCAGATCGCAGTATTTTCATCCAGCAAGCAATCCAGCACGAAAACAAGCACCGTGTGCCGCTGGCTTTAGTGCGCTGTTAACTAATCAGAAGGCATATTGCGTGGCTTTTCATTGGTTAACAGCGCGCTGACATAGTTACAAGCGTATTCTGAATATGGGCCATAGAAAATGGGTGTAGTATGAACATGCAATAATCGGTGACTTTACCGGCAGCGTTTGGAAATGGATGTAGCGAATACAGTTCCAGCTTGAAAGTGGGCGCAAGTAGCGTAAAGTCCTGAAAATCAGTATTGGCCAAAACGCCGGGGTGATTATTTTTAGGCTTTTATTCATCTGCTCCGGTTTCAGACATTGTCATAATATAGAAATATTGCAAATTGTTGTGACAGGTATATATTGAATTATTTAGTATTTCGGTAAAATTATATATAATTATAAGTACTGTTGCTTTGTAATATTATTATTATTTGTATATTTATTTTATATTTAGTATATCTATTGATTATTTATGCAAAACGGGATTGCCATAACCTTTTTATACATAACCTTAAAAATAATTCACATTAAATTGTATCAAAAATAATTTAATCTACAGTTTGCTTAAGTGAGTGAAAAAACTTTCTTGCATAATTAATCCATAATTCGACATCTTCCCTTAATATATAATTTAATACATAATGTTATATTCTTCTAATTTATTCAAGTTATAAATTAATTATTTTAAAACAAGCATAAATTTATAAAGCACATGTGTCGTATAGTATTTTTATTACAATATGTCATATGTTTTACATAATTTGTTTTTCCTGGAATTATATCTTGTTTTTAGAAAAATGGTTGTGAGACAATATCAAGAAGAACTTAAATATTTAGAAAAAATAAGTGAATGTTGTTGGAAGATAAAACAGGGCTTTCAACCTAATATGAAGGTAATATTTTCTTTATATTATTCTTTATATATTTCTTTATATTAGATATAGCATGGCATAGCTACAAAAAGATATTAGAAAAATATTAATATTTTCTTATATTTATTTTGTTATATGTCAAAATATAATTCAAGGTTGATGGAGTATTTTATGTGAACAATACTTTGGAAAAATTAATGTTTGAAGAGCTACGTAATGCATGTCGGCCAGGTACAATTGGAGGTTTCCTTCCTGGAATGAAACAAATTGCTAACGTTGCTGCTTTACCTGGAATTGTATGGAGATCAGTTGGATTGCCTGATGTGCACTCTGGATATGGTTTTGCTATTGGTAAAATTATAAATATACTATTATTACAATCGTAATAACAATATTCAATAATAAAAAAGACATTAAGTAAAATTTACTTACTTAAGTAGTAATTATTACTAAATTAATTACTTATTACTTATTTAGGTAATATGGCAGCATTTGACATGAATGATCCAAAATCGATTGTCTCACCTGGTGGTGTGGGTTTTGACATAAATTGTGGTGTTCGTTTATTACGAACTAATTTGTATGAAGAAGATGTCTTACCAGTAAAAGTAATTTTTCTATAATTAGTATAATAATTAATATAGATTTAAAAGATAAAATCAATCCCTGCAAATTTATATTTCTATAATTGTGAAATAATAGATGTGTATGTATATGTGCATATGATGTAAAGCAGAGGATGTAAATGTGTTTTTTTTTTTTTATAGGAGCAACTTGCACAAAGTATGTTTGATCACATACCAGTTGGTGTTGGTTCTAAAGGAATTATACCAATGAACTCACGAGATTTAGAAGAAGCATTAGAAATGGGAATGGATTGGTCCTTGCGGGAAGGTAAATGAAAAAAACATCATGCAATAAAATCAAGTAATAATGCAAATACTCAAATGTTAAATATATTTAGGTTATATTTGGGCTGAAGATAAAGAACACTGTGAAGAATATGGTAGAATGCTCAATGCTGACCCATCAAAAGTATCAATGAGAGCTAAGAAACGTGGACTTCCTCAAGTATGATAAGATATATTACAATATTCTGAAATTAAAACACTGAGGCACATATATTCTATTGTGTATATGTTCCATTAGTTAGGTACCTTAGGTGCTGGAAATCATTATGCAGAGATTCAGGTAGTAGATGAGATATATGACAAGTGGGCAGCATGCAAAATGGGTATTGAAGAAAAAGGACAAATTTGCGTTATGATCCATTCGGGAAGCAGAGGATTTGGTCACCAAGTTGCTACAGGTTATTTCTTTCATTTCAAATAACTTATTTTCGATCATAAAGTATATTTAATAAGGATTTTCGTGAAAATCATATAAAACTATAATTGATATAACAAAGTAATATTTCAGATGCACTTGTGCAAATGGAAAAAGCTATGAAGCGTGACAATATAGAAACTAACGATAGACAACTTGCATGTGCTCATATTAAATCACAAGAAGGTCAGGATTACTTAAAATCAATGGCAGCTGCAGCTAATTTTGCATGGGTTAACAGGAGTTCAATGACATTCCTTAGTCGACAGGTATTAAAGATATATATTCAAGTGCTAATCAATAGAAATACAAAAGAATAAATGATATACTTATTAATAGGCGTTTGCGAAACAATTCAACTCATCTCCTGATGACTTAGATATGCATGTTATTTATGATGTTTCTCATAACATTGCCAAAATAGAAGAACACATGGTTGATGGGAAACAGAAAACGCTTTTAGTTCATCGGAAGGTAAGGTTTTAGAAAATATTCGACACATTTCAAACAATTATGTATATAATGAATGAAAATTTTGCTTGAAAGGGATCAACAAGAGCCTTTCCACCGCATCATCCTTTAATTCCTGTAGACTACCAATTAACAGGACAACCAGTTTTAATTGGTGGTACAATGGGAACTTGTAGTTATGTTCTCACTGGTACAGAACAGGGTATGAAAGAAACGTTTGGATCAACGTGTCATGGTGCTGTAAGTATATAGGAATTGTATTAATTTTCTGAGTATTATTTATATTAAATTCTATAATTCCAGTTTTCTAAGTAACTTTCTGCAACTAATATGTATTTTGTAATGCGAAAGATGTATCTATATGCAAAAATATATGTATACAGGGACGTGCCCTCTCAAGAGCGAAATCACGTAGAAATCTGGACTATAAGCAGGTTTTGGAAAAATTAGAAAATTTAGGCATATCTATCCGAGTTGCTTCACCGAAATTAGTTATGGAAGAAGCACCGGAATCCTATAAAAATGTAACAGATGTCGTCAATACTTGCCACACAGCTGGAATCTCTAAGAAATGTATTAAATTACGACCAATTGCAGTTATTAAGGGATAATCTTTGCCGAAAGAATATTTTGGTCACTCTGTATAACATCGTGTGAGTGTGTGTCTATTGTGACATGTTGCGCAAACACATTTCCTAAGTAATATTTATTAAATTTTGTGTATAAACACAAAAAATTGGCCAATTATCCAACATCTATGTGATTGAATGATATTGTATTTTATATGAATTATATGAAAGATATTATCACATGATATGAAGATATATCAACATCACATTGATTGATTACATAATACAATTAGGTAATGTAAGTAACTTTACTGTAAATTATGTTTTTACTGTTACATTGTTGCATTTTTCTATATACATTATAAAATCAAGCAATTCTGAAAATAAACTTAATTTAGTCAAATTGTGTTGCATTTATATCTCACGAATTATATATGTAGTTTAATAAATAGAAAATAATATCAGGGTTTTTAAGTCTTTTTTAAAAATCTTTTTAAAAATATTTCGTTAGCATTTTATTAGATAAAATGTACAATTACCTATGTTCGCAATAAGAAAGCTATATTAGACTAATTCGTTGACTTTACACAGGAATTAAATTCGCAGCATTACATTTATAACAAATCCTCCACTGACTAGAGAAAATAATACAGGAGAAACATATGAAAGAAGAAGATAGTCCCATATTTTTTTGCTTGCAAGTAGATAATGGAAGCAAACCATCACCATAAATAGTATGTATGTAGCGTCGCAGTACACATGTGTGATATGACAGTGACATATCGTTTGAACCCTCGAAAAAGAAAGTGCAGTGACGAAGTGATAGTCATTGGAGGAGTTGTATACAGAAATACAAAACCGACCAATAGAACTCATGGTCTGAGATGCATTCCATTGAAATATTATAAAATTTATGTTATTTATAAAATATTAATTATATATTCTAAAGGACTTATGATAGGTGATAGTCAGGAGAAGGTTCAGCTACGGATTCAGTAGTGAACAAGGGGTTTGGGAACTCTGGTGGGTGTGGCAGTGGTCCAGCAGTCTTTGGCTGGCGTCGATACGCCATAAGCCAGCATGACACAGCAATAGCTACGGCAACCAGTGCCAAAAGTGCCGTAATTATCAATGCTATGATAAAGCCGACCATAGAAACACAGATATCTTCCACTCTTTGTGCTGAAGGAGCTGAAACATATTACAAGGAGAGATTACTAACTTTAATATTTTTCACATGCACATTATTGTACAGTACATTTGAGAAACATAAATGAAGACTCAATTAACCAATAATACTCACAAAATGAGTGAACAAACACACACATACAGTCTTGCAAACTAATTTTATTCTCAAAATTGAATATAAAAAAACAATATTTCTCTCATTATGTCGATTCGTATTATCCGCGATTTATGATATTTTTTTAATTTGAGGCATCCATAGTAAAGTATGATGACGGATTTGAACGAATTTGTTCAAAAGAGATGGCCTTGATGGGCTATAAGTCAGCTTAAAAAATTATAAAAGTAGAAACAGGTGCATTTCTCAATAGCGAAGGTGCATTCCCCGAATTCTATTAGGTATCTACAGAATGCATATTTTGACATATATGGCATATTTAGGTATATACAGAAGGGACATTCATGCCTACGGAATATCTCGTCGACATCACACGAACTTAAGCAACGTCGAGTTCGCTGAGTCGAGCGATCGAACGCACGGTTGAACATAGTCGTCGATTATCTTTGGTCCTAGAGCATGTAAAAAATTAAAATAACACTCGGAAAGTTAAGGCCCATATTCTGAACTCTCTTTTCTCACTAAAAGTGACTCTAAAAGTGGCTTATAGCCAATCAGTGATGCGATTCTTTAACTCGTTATTGAAGTTAACGAAATATCGTTAATTCCAATAACGAGTTAAAGAATCGCACCACAGGAGGCTTATAATCCACTTTTATAGTCATTTTTAACGATAAAAAGAATTCAAAATATGAGCTTAAAACTTCCGTGCTTCAGATAGATTTGAAATCGTTGCTCTTCGATGAAAGAATTAATTAATAAAGTCGGATTTTCGTGATAGAAAAATGTCGGTTTTTACAAAATTGTAAATGTTGAATTGAACGGAAAATTAAATAAAAATAGAACAATAGAGATGAAGAAACAGAAAATGAAAATAGAAAAATCCCACTCGGCATGGTAATGCTACGAAGCGTTTTTTTTTATTAAGGGATATAAAATGTAATTAGCCAAATAATAGAGAAAAAGAAATAACAGCGGACGCGAATATATAATAGAATTTTTTTCCGCTTTTAGTATCTTTAAACTTTAATCTAATTTGTTTCACGAAAATGTATAGAAAGATCATATCTGAAACCTATAGATGTATATACTGTATATACTATGATGTATATATGTACATATATATGTACATATATATGAAGGGTGTCCAAAGGGTGTCCAAAAAGTCCTAGACCGATAAAATATCTCGAAAACGAAGCATTTAAAAAAAAATGTTTCGGGCAAAAGTTGTATGGTTTCAAAAAGGACATAAAACAACTATATCATTTTGTTTATAGATGGCGATACTTTCGAAATATCATTGATCATTATTTTTCTTAAATTTTTATCGGCTTTTAGAAATTTCAAAATCATCAAATTAGCGAAAGTCAGAGCGCTATTATAACATATATTCTTGAGATCAAATAGAGTAGAAAAGTCTAGTACAACTTTTTCTCCCAACAAATAGTTAGCGAGATATCGCAAGTCAACCTGTGAATATTGAAAAAGTTACTAACTCTTCCTTAAATATTTAAAAATATAGGCAAATAAAAAAATGTTTCAGACAAAAGCGGTTCAAACTGATTGGTAGAAAAAAAAGATGATATAATAAAAAATTGAAGTTTCCATTTAAGAAAAGTGATAATCAGTGAGTATCTCGAAAGTGTCACTTTGTGAACAAAATGATATAGTTGTTTTATGTCCCCCTTGAAACCATACAACTTTTGTCCCAAACATTTTTTTCTAAAATGCTTAGTTTTCGAGATACTTTACTGGTTTGGAACTTTTTGGATATCCTGTATATCTGTATATACTGATTCGACATTTTTAAACTGATTAAGCTTTCGCGATATGGAGAAATAATTTAATTTATTTTTCGGATGGATACCGCGTCCATAAATTATTTCCGAATAATTTTATGAATATTTCAAGTCACTTTTTCAGGAAGAGTAAATCCGAAAATCAATTAAACGTACATATTGAATTTCAAGTAAGTCCCGAATACTGAAGTTACATGTAATTATGTGAAAAATATAGTTTGCGAAACACAATTGAAAGTTGAATAATATCGAACATAATTAGTTGAGTCTTCATCTATAATTCTGAACTGCCAAGCAGACATATTGTGTTTGCATACGTTTTATCTTACCTTCAGCTCGATCTGCTGCATACCTCTCCTCTTTCCTTTCCAGAGTGAATATTAGGTTCGACTGAATCGTTATTTCTTCACGGAGTTGACCCTCGTATCCATCAGATATGCTTAGAGACGTGTCGTTCATTTCGGAGTCAACGTCTCTACGACGACGGCCGAAAGCATTGTAGCCTCGACAATTGACCTTGAGACAAAAAAAAATACATTTTCGGTAACAGATATTGTCCTTCTATTAGCGAATGAAGCAGTCGCAAGTTATAAGCGATCTCACAAACAAGTACTCACAGGTTGACAGCGACCGAAGCATACGCGGATATTGCATTGGAATCTTATATTGTCGCTGCTGGGGAACTTGAATGCGTTGAAACTAGCCATTAACGCTTGAGTCTCAGAATTTTGTTTCCACTCGCCGAAAATCGTAGGATCTGTCGCGCAGCCATTCTCATCCGTCACAATGTATTCGTTCTCTAGATTATCTTCCATTGTCTTAGCTACGCAGTTCCGCGCAAATCCACCATAAATAGCTGCAATTGTCGAATTAATTTTCGTGTTTTATTCGTGAGAGAAAATCATGATAATGTTTGAGTTTTTTTATTTTTATTTATGTTGAACGTTAAACTTATTATTTTTAAAAATGATAATCTCGAAACCCGTTCATTGTTGTTGTTATTGCTTAAATGTTTAAATGTGATGATAATCAAAAGGTCATCATGTGATAATAATCAAAAGTCATCTACATATTTTACCAAAGACAATACTGAATGCTCACATGAAGGTTGAACTTCCACTTGCAGCATCAGATTGTCTCCAATTTCGGCTGAATTAATTTCATCTCCGTTCTGGGCAACTATCTTCATCAGACATATAGGTGGTGGACCAGTGTTGGCAATTGTTCCGGCTGTCGTTAACATCGAGACATTGAAACCGAGGGTAACGTTCTGCTCTCCAGTCTGATATATGCATTTAATGTGATAAGCCTGCGCCTTATACGTCATCAACTTCGGATGCTTTTGTATGACTAGCACGAAGCTAGCTTGTCCCTGAAGAATGGATAGAAATTATGTGTCATTGCCGTGATAAATGATGAATACTATATATAACGTTAATTAATATAGCATACGCAGATAATTATATAATAATTAAACTTTTTTACTAACATTCACGTGTATCAATCCGCAATTGCCGAATGCGACCTTAAAGGTTTCCGTCTTGTGCTCGGTTTCAGCCGGTATCGAGACAACCCGCCTGCATTGCTCGTCTTTGCTGCGTCCTTTCACGTACAGAACCCCGTCAAATTCCTGATGTAAATGTATCACGACTTGCACCCCGTCTGACAAGCAGCTCACATCCATTTCCGGTTTCGGGAAGTCCGTTCGGCCGTCCTTTCTATCATCTAAAAAATGGAAGATATATGTTAAAATGTTTTTCTCCAGTGGAACGTTATTTTGTGAGTACTCGTAAAAAATCAATTTTATGCAAATAACAAACTATTCACAATATATATCCTGATCATTTTCCCTCAATGCGCAAAAATTAATATTATTATTAGTCTATTTCTGTAAAGGAACATTTATTTTAAATATATTTCTGCAATAGAAATTAATTTCATATATTACTCATTTTTTATAGGAAAAGATTTTTACGAGCCAGCTTTTGTTAAGTATTAATTACATCAATTTTCCATAGATGTTTGCAAATATCTTCGCAATTTCTTTACTTACAGCATTGCGTGTACGGATTGCCTAAATAGCCATTGATGCAAATGCACACAGCTTGATGTCTAGTGGCGTTGCAAAGCGCGTGCACTCCGCATATTTGCTTCTTGCAAGGATCTTGACAGGTCCGAGTGGTCTTTTCGCAATATTTGTCGTCGGCACAGTCGTCGTTACGCCTGCATTCTATCACACCGACTGAAATACGAACCGCGAAACTTGGGTTAGCGAGACGATCATGGAGAGAAGTAGCTCTTGATTAACGTATATACGTATAACGATTTCACAGCCAACTCACTGGTTCTGCAATATCCACTGGTGTCAATCCTGTATCCGTGCTGTGTCGGGCATACGCAACGGCCATATTCGTCGATACTGAAGCCTTTTTCCAGATCGCATACGCAGTAACCCTCCTCGTTTATCACCATATTGGACTGTCTACGGCAAGCTATACAATCGTCGTTCTCGTCCTTGCCGAATCCTGGCGGGCAGACGCAGTTGCCATATTCGTCGCGAACCTGACCTTTCTCGACTGGACATATATTTGCTAAAGCAGAAGAAAATAGATATAATTAATATTCATAATTAATATTTTGCAGCTTAAATCCTTATCAAATTTTTACTTTTATTTTTTACACTTTAACAGTATGGCATCTACCCTTTAATGAAATTGGTTACTACTTAATTATCAGTGATTACCTTTCTCACAACGGACAACCGCGTTTCCGCGGTATCCTGGGAGACATTCGCATATCATGGTCCTAACTGGGCTAGTATCCAAGACCTTGCATACGGCGTTAACACCACAGGGCTCGATCTTTGTACATGGATTGATACATTGTCCGTTGAAGCAAGCGGTTTGAGACGGACACTCGTTGTCTGCCTTGCATTTTTCTTTAACTGTGTAAGAAAAAAGAGTTAGAATCATATTAAACTTTGATCGATTTATAATTAATTATTATTTGGATATGCTACACGTTTTTCACTTTCTGTTAATAATATTGGGTTGTTTGGAAAGTACGTAATTTCAATTTTTTTAGGTAGTATTAGTTGCCTTTTTAAATAGTTAATCTCATTCTAAACCAGAAAATCATTTTACATTTTTACAAACACACATTTCAAGCTTTGTTTGAAAAAAAGTTATTTTGGAATTTGTCAAGTTGTTTTTATTTAGCGTCGCATTAAAAATGGAAAACCGTAAGCATTTTTGTCACATTTTGCTTTTTTATTAACTGTAAAAGTAAAAATGCAGCGCAAGCAAGAAAAAAATTGTGTGCCGTGTATGGAGAGGATGTGTTGACTGAACGCCAGTATCAGAATTGATTTTCGAAATTTCGTTTTGGAAATTTCGACCTTAAAGATACACCATGTTCTGGAAGACCAGTTAAGGCTGATGAAAACCAAATAAAGGCATTAGTAGACGCACATCGTCATTTAACAACACGAGAAATTGTTGAGAGATTGAATTTATCGAATTCAATCGTGCATAAGCATTTAAAACAACTTGGTTTTGTTTCAAAGCTCGATATTTGAGTTCCACACGAGGAAAAAGATCTCAAAGAGAAAGATTTGATTCGTCGCATTACTATCTGCGATTTGCTTGAAAAGTGAGGAAAACGATCCATTTCTGAAGCGACTTATAACTGAAGATAAAAAATGGATTATATACAATGATATTAAACACAAAAGATCATGGAGCAGACGTGATGAACCATCTCAAAGCAGATCGAAAGCTGATATCCATCAAAAAAAGGTGATGCTCTCTGTTTGGTGGGATTGGAAAGAAATGGTTCTTTTTTGAGCTGCTACCAAACAACTAAACGATTGATTCGAATGTGTATTATCATCAATTGGACAAATTGAATGATTCCATCAAGCAGAAAAGACCAAAATGGACGAACAGGAAAGGTGTTGTGTTTCATCGTGACAACGCCAGACCTCACACAAGTCTAATGACTTGCCAAAAGCTATTAGCGCTTGAATGGGATTTGGTACCGTATTCACCATATCCACCTGATCTGGCATTATCCGATTATCACTTATTTTGGTCACTGCAAAATTCTTTGTATAGTAAAAATTCCGATTTAAATGAAAATGTCAAAAACTACTCAATTCAGATTTTACCAATAAGGACCAGAAGTTCTACGAGCATGGAATCATGTCATTACCTCAAAGATGGCAAAAGGTATTAGAACAAAATGGTCAATACTTAACAGAATAAAACTTTTTTTTTCTATTAAGAATATCGTCTTTCATCTTCATGCAAAAATGCGAAATTACTTTCCAAACAACCCAATAAAAGGACAATCTTCTTTGGACAAATCTTTATTGATTGATAATGGAGAGAAATGAACTCTTACCCTTGGTACATCCTATTTTGACGTCGCCAACGTAGCCGGGTGGACATGCGCATTCCACAACGTGATTGTAAACGTTGCATTCCATATTACCGGTGCACGGATTCACCGCGCACGGGTTCTCGCAGCGGTTGTTGATACACGCCTTGTTTGTCGGGCAATCCGAGTTGCTTCTGCATCCTAAGAGTACGCAAGATACCCTTGGGTTTCCGCCGAAGCCGGGCGGACACTCACAGATAGCTTTGTGATTTATACCGTGGCATACTGCATTCTTGCCGCAGGAAGCCAAAGACGGCGAACACACCGGTATGCAACTACGCTGGAGGCACGCGTGCGAGCCGCTGCAATCACCGTCAGTCCTACATCCTGCAACTGGATGTCAAAATATAATGTTACACTTCAAATAAAACTATCGAATAAAACTATAATTTTTCCAATACATCAACATTAATAATATGTCTCATGTGAGATATTCGAACTTGAATTTAGACTTAAATCTGAGATTTTCAGTTAAATTATATAATGTGACGCATTATATAATGTGATATAATATATGTGACACATTAATTGTCGTGATTTAACCGACAAAATCTTACATCTAACTCCAAGTTCAAATCTCATTTGAGATAAGATTCAAATAATGTCTAATTAATATAGGTCCAAGTACTTAATTCCCAGTTGTATAGATAACTTTCAAATAAATGAAAAAGTAAGAAAAGTACAAAAGTATAAAATAAAATAAAATAAAGTGGGATAAAAAAATTAATTAAACGATAAGGCGCAATCGAATAATATCTAAAGTAAATATAAAGATACTAGGAATGAAGAGAAATAAATGCACCACCTTTCGTGCAAATGATGTCCGGGTTGCCATCGTATCCCAGGACGCACGAGCATATCGGCTTATGATTGATGACATTGCAAACGGCGTTGGGTCCACAGGCGCAGGGATCCCTGCAGACAGCATTGATGCATGACCGCTCAGGCGCACAATCGTCATCATTGGTGCACTCGATCTTAAGGATCGGTTTGGTGGCGCGGCAAGTACCGCTACCGCTGCTGACATAGCCACTAGGGCACACGCACACCATAGTGCGTACTGGACGCGTTGGTAGGACCCGACACTCGGACGGCTCTGTGCACGGTTGTATGACCGGGCACGGGTTTTGGCATCTGTTGCTAAGGCAGGCGAGCGAGTCCGGACAGTCGATGTCTTCCCTGCATTCGGGCCTCTCTTCCGGTCGACAGTTGATGTATGGATTACCGGTGAAATGCGGCGGGCAGCGGCAGATCGGCAGGTGGTTCAGGACCCTGCACTCGGCGCGGGCCGAGCAAGGGTTGTCGTGGATGCAAGGGTCGATGCATTGCATGTTGATGCACGAATGGTCGCCTGGACAGTCACCATTACTATAACAGCCGATCACACGACAACGGTCCAGAGGATTGCCGTGGTAGCCTTTGCGGCAGCGGCAATCGGCCACATGGTTGTTCGGAAAGCATTCGGCGTTGGTGCCACAGGGCTCAGCAATCAGGCATGGGTTCACGCAGTTATTGTTCTCGCAGACCTTGTCGATCGTACACTGGCTGTTGTGCCGGCACTCGACCGAGTGACACGCGATCTCAGGATTGCCCTGGTATCCTTGTTCGCAAGAACAGATCGGCTTGTGGTTCCTCACGTAGCAAACCGCATTGGCGCCGCAGTTGCAGGGGTTGCGACATTGCCGGTTGATGCAAGCGTCACGATCACCACAGTCGTCGTTCGTCGTGCATGTGCCAATCACTGTCAGTTGTACTGTATCATTGGAAAAATTTGTGAATTAAGAGTATATTCGCTTTATATTATTATACACACACACGCGCGCGCGCGCACACAGATATATGTTACATATATATACAGGATATCCAAAAAGACCCGGACCGGTAAAATATCTTGTAAAAAACTAAGCATTTTAGAAAAAATATTTCGGATAAAAGTTATATGTTTCAAAGGGGACGTAAAACAACTATATCATTTTATTTACAAATAGCGGCACTTTCGAGATACTCACTAGTCATTACTTTTCTTAAATGGAAACTCCAATTTTTTTATTATATAGTTTTTTTCTATCAATTAATTTGAACAACTTTTGTCTAAAACATTTTTTTATTTGTCCAATATATTTTAGATATTTAAGAAAAATTTGGTAATTTTTTCAATATTTAACTTACTTCAATATATAACTTACGATATCTCGCTATTTGTCAGAAAAAAATAGTACTTTTTTACTCTATTTAGTCTCAAAAATTTGTTGTTACAAGTGTTCTAACTTATCGACGATTTGAAAATTTCAAAATCATCAAATTAACAAAAATCAGGACGCTATTGTAATAATATATTCTTGAGACCAAGTAGAGTAAAATATCTAATATCACTTTTTCATCCGACAAACAATTAGTGAGATATCGTAAGTTAAATATTAAAAAAGTTACCAAGTTTTCCTTAAATATCTAAAAAAATACTAGGCAAACAAAAAAATGTTACAAACAAAAGTTGTTCAAATTAATTAGTAGAAAAAGATGATGTAATAAAAAATTGGACTTTCTATTTAAGAAAAGTAATGATCAATGAATATCTCGAAAGTGGTGCCATCTGTAAACAAATTGATATAGTTGTTTTATGTCCCTCTTGAAACCATATAACTTTTATATGAGACATTTTTTTCTGAAATGTCTTGTTTTCGAGATATTTACCGGTTCGGGACTTTTTAGACACCCTGTATAATATCTGTACATTTATGATGAGAGAATATTTTGATCGGAAAATTCAATTTAATTTTTAATAACATCGCACACATGCATAGGCAACCAGATTGATAATCTGTTTTCAGAACGTTGACGATAAATTATAGATAATAGCTGCGTTCAGAAAATACAACGGTTGCACAACGGTTGAGTAATTCACCAATATTACTGGTCCGAATGTAAGGATCTAACAGTAAAGACCACTAATCACTAATCGCTCAATGAGTGCTTTGTTATCTGAACGCAGCCATAAGACGATTGTTTGGTGGACAAACGATTTTTTAAATACAACAAACCCAAATTTGATTCCAGAATTGGATTTTTCGATTGATCCAATACTTAAAATATACACTAATTTGTGTATAACTTATAATAATGTGAACAATTAAAACTTTTTATGAGTCATGAGTCCATATTTTCAGATATTTTCACAGGTTTACATTACTTTCAAATTAACTAACTCAGGTAATCTCCTATCGCTGATTTTACTTACTTGGCCTACATACTCCGTCGACGTCGGTGATCCATCCCTCCGGACACGTGCAAATCATAGTTCTAACAGGCACAGTATCGAGAACGTCACAACGAGCGTTCTCCAGGCATGGTTTGATGACCGGGCAAGGGTCGATGCATTTTTCCCGAATGCACACTAGTTTATCCGAGCAGTCGATGTCGACTCTGCATTCCGGCTCGTCAAACTCTTCTACGGAACGTCGTTCGCAATAGGAGAATGGATTTCCCAACGGCAAGTTCTCGGGACAACGGCAAGAAGCTATGTGATCTTGCACGTAGCAGACCGCATTCTGCGCACACGGCGAGTCCTCAGCGCATGGATTCACGCAGCGGCCATTGTTGCACGCTAGATTGTTGGGGCAGTCGTGATCCGTGTTGCATTCGACCTTCTCGCAGTGAATTTGAGGATTGCCGTAGTAACCTGGACCGCAACGGCAAGCCGATCGGTGATTCTTTCCATAGCATTCCGCGTTGATGGCGCATTTGTTGTCCAAGATGCAAGGATTGACGCATTGGCCATTGTAGCAAGCGGCTGCGTAGTCGCAATCGCTATCGGACTCGCAATCGACTGAAATAGATCGTTACAATTGATGTATATCACAACTTCTGAGAGATTTTTCGAACGGTGGCGATATATATTTACATAAATGTTATACAAGTATGTTAACATTCTAAGCAGCAGAAACATTAAAAAATATCTGAAAACATTCAAAAGACGTCTTTTAAAGTTTCTTAAGCTATCTTTTAGAAGTTCGTGCTATCTAGGATGTTCGATTATTTTCGCGGTTATAAAAATTTAATTCCTTATAAAAAAAAAGAAAAGAAAAGAAAGAGAAAGAGAAAAGAAAAATTGCACTTACGTTTAAAGCATCCCAACTGAGGATTTCCGGAGTACCCCGGCAGACATATGCAGGAAGGATAATGGTTGACGACGTTACACTTGGCATTGGGTCCGCAATTGCACGGGTTGATGCATGCGTTGTTTACGCACGCATAATTTCCTGCGCATTCACTGTTCGACACGCATTCGGGCACGATCTCGGCTGCGACAAAAAAATCCCGCAATATGAAAAATCATTCTACATCTTCGGGGAATAATATAGTTTCCAAGACCAAATTTTCATCAGCGAGATTTCTTACGTGGTATGCACTTAATTCTGGGATCGCCGTTGTAGCCGATCGGACATCTGCAAATCGGTTCGTGACGGTCCACGTGACACAAAGAATTCCTGCCGCAAGGATTGCCGGCGACGCATGGATTTACGCAGAGCGAGTTCACACATTGCTTGTCGCGTGCGCATTCGCTGTTCGTGTAACACTCCGGCCGATGTCCTGGCAACGGAGTGAGTGGAACTACACAGTTAAAGATAAATTAAAGATTATACGTGACACACTCAGGGACACTCACGATTTGGAAATAATGAGGAATTTGTGAGATAACGGTATAAAACAAAAGTAATTTAACTTATCGTATTTGTAATATAGCATACCTCTTATACATTCGATATAAGCATTGCCTGTGAAATCCTGTGAGCAGAAGCAAATGCCGGTATGAGACGTGGACTTGCATTGCGCGTTGAGACCGCACTGGCTTGTCAAACAAGCATCCACGCATATTCCATCGAGACACTTTTCGTGATTGGCGCAATCTTGATCTAGATGACACTGTACATCGCCCAATACTACAATACAATATGCATGTGGAAAATTAATAAGAGATATCGAATAGAGAAGCTTGCCATTTGATTGCATCATATTTTATAGATTCTACATCTTTTTTAAACGGTACGTACCGATCGGCTTGCACTGTCCGTTCTCATCGGTGATCGTATTCGGTGGACACAAGCAAATCATGGTGCGAAGCGGCACGGTGTTCAAAACCTTGCATTCCTGCTCACTGGTGCACATGCTACTAGCGGCACAAGGATCTTGGCACTTGGTGTTAATACAGGCGAGATTCAACGCGCATTCGCTGTCCTGCGTGCACTCAGGTACAATAGGTGCACCTAAAAATGACAAACAAGTTGTACATTTTTATGATGTACTAAATTCACGCTAAAATTTGATTCTTCAGAACGATATATTGATTTCAAATTAATTTCTGACTAGTTATAATTTCAAGAAAATAATGAAAGTTGAAATTATTAAAGTTAAAAATATCGAAACTTAAATTATCAATACCAAAATATTTAAATTTATTAGGGAGAATTCTTCGTAGAATAAAAGTATTTTAATCCAGATTACATATGATTTCAACAAAATTGGGCACAAAATAATCAAGATCGGGAAATTTATATTAAAAGACGGTTTTGAAAATATCTTGAAAGAATTGCAATTATAAATAATCACGTACCAGCGCATGTTATATATGGATTTCCAGTGGTACCCGGAGGACACGTGCACTTCGGCTGATGGTTGCGCGCGATGCAAGTTGCCGTTTCGGCACAAGCGTCGTCGTCGCAAACCGGTCTACAAACTCTGTTCAGTCTGTCGCACGCCTCATGATCCGCGCAATCTTCGTTGTAGTGGCAAATCGCTGAAATGCATGCGACTCGCGGATCACCCTGAGTGCCTTGCGGACAAATGCACTGAGCTCTGTGAGACACCGTTCTACATTCCGCACCACGGCCGCATACGACGTCACCGATGAAACAAGGAGTGACGCAATTGTTATTTCGGCAGGTCTTGTCGTAAGGACAGTCATTGTCCGTCTTACATTCCGCTGCGAGAAAAAATTATGCGATAATTAATCGTCAATCAAACAAGTGTCTGCAAAGCGAAGGCAATGAAAAAGTCGGAGAGAACATTTAAAATCAGAAATAAAATTAAAACGAAAATCAAACTTGAAAATAGAAATGAAATTTACATTTTATTTCTACTGATAAATTTAATAGAAAAATAGATTCGAGTAATATCTAAATTTTATTCTTATTTGTAAATTTTGTAACGGAGACAATGAAATAAAATTTAAATTTTCTTTCTATTAAATAAAATTTGGAAATGGAAGTTATTTTGGAGAAACTTACGTCTGTAGCATTGAAGCTGCGGATCGCCAGCTAAACCCCCTTGACAATGACAAGAAGGATGATGATTAATCGTGACACATTCGGCGTTAAATCCGCAGCGGTTACTAGAACACGGATCTTGGCAAAGTTGATTGATGCACGCCTTATCAGAGGGACATTCGGTGTTCGTTCTGCATTCAGGGAGAACTATGTTTTCTGCAAACATCAGAGAGTAGATATAAAAAATGCTCAATGGTTCAGATCAGACAAATAGTCAAAGCGCTCAACACGATACCTTCGTAGCAATTTATGAACGGATCGCCAGCGTATCCGTGAGGACACTGACACACGCGACGGTGGTTCTCGATATGACATTCCGCGTTCGAAGCGCACGGATTGACATTGCACGGGTTGATGCATCGACGGTTGAGACAGGCCATGTCCGGCGTACATTGAGAATCACTCTCGCAGATTGCGCTGATTTGGTTCTCCACTGCAAATGTATAAAAATATATATTTACAATTCAGTATTATTGAGTAATAAATCTTCTACAATATGAAATCAGTTAAGTGTGAAACAATTATATTTAGTCGGAATTTTACCTGGTACGCAAAGAACAGTGGCATCACCAGCGTAGTTTGGCAGGCATTCACAGATCATTGTTCTCATCGGTAGAGTATCTACGACACTGCATCTAGCGCTAGCGATACACGGTTTCGTTTCTGCGCACGGATCTTTGCATATACCACTGAAACATGCCAGCTTGGTGGGACAGTCGCCGTCAACTTGGCATTCGGTCTTCGGTTCCAGAGGTTCTGAAGTGAAGAATAGACAGTCAATTCTGCTGTTCTAATAATTACATGAACAATAATACTTTGAAAAATATCATAAAATAATGACACTTTGATAATAGTACCAATTACGTTATATCGTATTAGAAAATAAGTTTTCGACTTTCGAAGTAATTTTTTAAACACTATAATATTAAAGTAGATTCTCACCCAGAAGACATGAACTGTAAGGATTGCCGATATAGCCAGGTGGACATTTGCAGATCGATCGATGGTTGACGACAGTGCACAACGTCGGTGGCGGACAGTTACAAGGATTCACGCATTTCAGATTGCGACAGGCCAAGAACGAGGCACAGTCATTATCACTAGTACATTCCGGTCTCTCGCATACTTCGTACGGATTGCCCGTGTAGCCATCCGGACAATAGCAGCGGGTCTTGTGATATCCATCGGCGGTACACAATGCGTTGAGACCGCACTGCGTTACCAAGCAGGTGTCAATGCATTCGTTGTTGATACAGGATTGAATTAATGGGCATTCGTTATCGTTGCGACAACCGACTAAAAGAAAAATGTCGATAGAATGGTTAGTCACAATATAATTGTGTGTAAGCGAAAAACGCGTATCGATCAAGTGTATTTTTGTTACACACGCTGATGGCAATATTGCTGAGGGTTTCCGCTAAATCCTTCGTTGCAGACACATATGGCTCTGTGCATTATCACGTAGCAGTGGCTGTTGAGGCCACAGGAGTCCAGAGTACACGGATCGACGCACTTCTGATTAAAGCAGGTCTTGTCGTTGGAGCATTCGGTATTCTGAGTGCACTCTGGGATTGGTTCTGTAAATACATACTTATTAATATTGCCCACATACTTGTACTTAAGTACATTTGACTCGAAATTTCATTGCTTTCGATAAATTGTCTTTTTCGATATTTTAATGGAACGCTTCAAAGTATAATTCAGAGAGAAAATATATTAGGAGAATAATATTTCGTAGACACGTATAATCCCTCACCTGCAAGAGTTGGTATTGTACATTGCACTCGTGCGTTGCCCGTGAAGCCGACCGGGCAGGAGCACACCGGCTTGTGATTAACGGTCTGACAGAGAGAATTAATACCACACGCGCCGATGCAAGGATCTCTACATTTTTGCGAGAAACAAGCCTTGTCGCGAGGACAATCAGAATTGATGACGCACTCGGGATAAATGCAGACCGCGACTCCGTTCTTCACTCTGCACTCACCGTTGTAATTGCAAGGTGATGGGCTACAGGGGTTGGTTTCTAAAATAAATTATAACGCAATTAATAAATTTAGTAAAGTTAACGTACTTATGAAATTAAATTAACATACTTCTCGCGGTAAATTTCGTTGGCCTATACTTACCGATTTTCGTGTAACACTCCTCGAAGGGATTGCCGATCAAGGGAGACGGACAGCTGCAGAGCGGGCTGTGATTGATCGTCTTGCACACCGCCTTGCTGCCACATACATTTTGAGAACAAGGGTCTTTGCATTTGCTCTGTATGCAAGCTTTGTCGCCTGGACAGTCCGAGCTGAGTATGCACTCCGGATGGCAGCCGGTGACGCTCGTTGGAACGCCTAACAGCCCAGGTAGACACTTGCAAATTGCCGTATTACCGATTTTCTCGCAAACAGTGTTCGGGCCACACGGTGAAGGGTAGCACGGATCTGTTTCCTTAGTATCTGAGACAAAAAAATCATAATTTGAATAATATCTACCTCAAGGAAAAAACCAAAGGAAAAACCTACCAAAGGAAAACAAGTTTCACGTTAACGAATTAATAAAATTGCGGAATGAAGTCCTTAATCTTTCGTTTATTTCTATAATCTATATCTTTATATTTTTAGATTAAATATTGTTAGTAGGAATGTAAGACGGATTCTAATTCATTTCTTCAAGGTAGGTGACATCATATAATATCATATAATAATGTCACGAGAGGCGGGGATATAAAAAACTAAATATTTATTAATCAAAAGCTAAATATTTATTAATAAAAAATTAAATATTCATATTCATCAATCAAAAAATTAAATATTCATCAATCAAAATTAGATACCCATCAATTCCTCGTCCTACCCTCCATGGAATTTCACTCCTACGCTCGTACATTCTTTCTGAATTATTTTAGAATGTGTTTAAAATGTTTTTTATGGGAGGACAAATTCTTCCATTTCTCAGATAATCATGTTTGCCAACGTATATTTCCAAGCTATGCAACCCTGAGCAAAAGATAATTTTTGTCTATGACTAACACACTGACAAGCACTATCAGATTAGATATTTTAATTGTTAGAATCTAATTGTTAGTTAGATTCTAATTATTAAAATATCTAGTCTGATAAGCCTGACAGTGCGTTTGTCATAAATAAAAATTATTTTTTGAGGTTTATTTTTCGAGGCTACATGACTTAGTAAGGTACGTTGGCAAACACGATTGCCTGGGAAACGAAAGTATTTATCCTCTTTTAAAAGCCTCGAACACATTCCAGAATAGTCTAGAAGGAATATATAAGTATAGAAGTGAAATTTTGTGGAAGAACCGAGGTGATATTGATAAATATTTAATTTTTCACTAACGAATATTTAATTTTTGATTAACAAATATTTAATTTTTGATCCCATCTCGTGACATAGGCGTGATGTCATGTGACGCCTTGAAGAAATAAATTAAAACTTGTTTTATATTACTATTATTATTCTTTTTTTTTTATTAAAATAAACGCTAAGTCACAAAATAATAGGAAATATGAATGGTAAAATTACCTTCCACGGGAACTTGACAAAGCGTAAAAGCATCGCCGATCGTTGGTAGTGGGCACGAGCAGATGGGCACATGATTCGACACCGTGCAGATCGCTCCAACGCCGCAAGTACCAGGACAAGGATCTTGACACTTAGTTCTTATGCAAGCCTGCGATTGCGGACAGTCGGTGTTGACGAGACACTCCGGTTGACAGCCTTGGTACGGGTTACCCCTGTAGTTTGGTACGCATTCGCAAATGGCAGTGTTGAATCTCTCATGGCAGTACGCGTTTATACCGCAAGGCGAGGGGTTGCATGGTCTCAAAGGTGTCGGCGGTGCTGGAGTTGCTGAAAGAACAGTAGAAAACATACGATTAATCCCACAGTCGTGCTGATGTCTTTGATGATTTCGCATGCGATGTATATTACAATAATGCACGTAAAATTAACGTTTGGCAAGATAGAGATTTACATATAAAAGTAGAAAGAAGCGAACATGCATATTTTTTTTCATGCGTGCATCGCATGTGTCTTCTGTACACGGTACAGCATGTATATTGTATATACATCCAAGAAGTGTTTACTGAGATACGCCAAGTAGTCAAATATAGCATTTTAGAGAATGTTGCAAGATTGGGAAAGGTCAACATTGCGAAGGAGAAACTCGATACGTGCGTGCGCTTCCTTAGAATACGCATTCCATTGTGTATATACAATAGGCACGACATATTTACAGGCTCGAGAGAAATCGAATTCGATCGGGAACTAGAGAGATTGAAATTCCTACATTTTGGACGAAAGGTTCCGAATATACATTATACATCAGATAAACTATCGGGTTGTGTCAACAAAGATAACAACGGAGGTGTTTCTTACATGGTATCACAGAACAAACTGTGAATGGGTCTCCGGTGTATGATTCGGGACAGGTGCATCGGGCTTGGTGCAAAGTGACTTGGCACAGTGCATTGAGTCCGCACGATCCAACGCACGGGTCAGTACATTTCTGCTTAATGCATGCTCGATTGGCGGGACAGTCGTTGTTTACACGGCATTCGGGTCTACAATTGGGCGGAGATCCTATGAAAGTGAGTAAGCAGGAGCAGGAGGGTTTATTATCGGCGGATACTGTGCATTGCGAGTTCGGTCCACACGGCGAGGGGTAACATGGGTCCTTGGACGGTTCTACGTCCGATGGTGCTGGCGATGAAAAATAAACAGAAAGACATTTCATTAATGGTTTCAACTCAAGAAGCGCCGTCTCCAACAGCACGAACGACAGGGAAAACGTGATCATCGGAAAGATCTTCTCGAGACGTGTCTCTTCGCGAGATCTCTGCAAATGGATTCTCCACGATGTTTCCTGGACGTTCGTGTCATCCGAAAGAACGACTCTCTCTCTCTCTCTCTCTCTCTCTCTCTCTCTCTCTCTCTCTCTCTCTCTCTCTCTCTCTCTCTCTCTCTCCCTCTCTCTCTCTCCCTCTCTCTCTCTCTCCCTCTCTCTCTCTCTCTCTCTCTCTCTCTCTCTCTCTCTGGCTGGCTACTTACTTATGGGGAAGCAATTGACGAACGGATCGCCGGAATGCTGAGCGGGACACCTGCAAAAAGGATTGTGGTTTCGCACAACGCACTGTGCACTCGGGCTGCACGCGTTCTCGCAGGGATTGCGGCATCTCGTGTTCACGCAGGCTTTGCTCTGCTCGCAGTCGGTATTAACGAGACACTCGGGTCTACAGCTCGGCGGAACTGCGAAGTAGCCGGGCAGGCAAGAGCAAGAGGCCTGCTCGCCGAGTTCACGGCACACACTATTGGGTCCACAGGGAGATGGCTCGCACGGTTTCACGCGCGCTATCGAGATAATGTCGGATTAATGGCTTCTCTTGACAGGGGAAAGGGGAAACGGGTCAAGGCGCTCCAAAATGAGCAAGAGAACTCACGTTTCACGCGCGTGCATAGGGTGAACGGGTCGCCTTCGTAATTCTGAGCGCAGTTGCAGGTGGCGATGTGCGCGATGACCGCACACTCCGCGTTTTGGCCGCAGATGCCGACGCAGGGGTTTACGCATTTGTTGTTGGCGCAAGCCTTATCGTACGGACAGTCGGAATTCTGCACGCATTCCGGCCGACATTCCCGGTAAGGATCGCCGCGATACTCGGCTATACATCTGCAGACACCGTTACCTGTGCATTCGGCGTTAGGTCCGCATGGTGACGGATTGCACGGGTCTGGCTTTGCGGGTGGTGTTTCTGTGCGGAGGAGATGTGTGTGAATCAAACATATGTGGGATGGGCAAATGTTCGCTCATTCTGTTTCTGCTTCGAGTAGAAACTCGACTATTATGTGCGAACAAGTAACAACAGGTAGTCTTACGTATGGGTGTCGGGTAGCAATTGTTGAAGGGATCGCCCGTGTATCCGTCGGGACATGTGCAAGCCGGGGTGTGGTTAATGACAGTACACAGGGCGCTAAAACCGCAAGATCCGGGGCAAGGATCTCTGCATTTCTCTCGTATGCAAGCTTTGTCGCCTGTGCAATCGGAATCGATCGAGCACTCGGCCCGGCAATATGGCGGCGATCCGATGTAATTGGGCATACATGTACAAGATGGATAGCCTCCCCTGTCTTGACATGTGGAGAACGGGCCGCAGGGCGACGGAATGCAGGGGTTCGCCTGCTGCGATGGTGCGGGTATCACTAGAATAAAATCAAATGACAATCTCCGTAGGTGAGGCATTCTTGAAAGAAAACGACAATTCCGTTTCTCTCTCTCTCTTTCTCTCTCTCTCTCTCTCTCTCTCTCTCTCTCTCTCTCTCGCTCACTCACAGCTTTACTAGTTTCCAACCACTTACGAGGCATGTCGAAACACTTGACGAACGGATCCCCGATTTGACCAGGTGCGCAGCTGCAGAATGGACTGTGGGATAAGGAATTGCACTTGGCGTTGATGCCGCACACACCTGGGCACGGATCAACGCACTTCTGATTGACACAAGCGCGATTCATAGGACATTCCGTGCTAATGACGCATTCGGGTCTACATGCGGGAGGACTTCCTTGGTAACTCGGCAGGCACGAGCAGCTAGCTTTCCCGTTTCGATTCAAGCAGTTGCTGTTGGGGCCGCAGGGAGACGGCTGACAAGGGTCACCTACGGGCTCTGGAGCTATACGACACGAAGCACGACGAGATAAGAGATAGTGACTTCTTGTGAACGCGACGTCGCGAGTAACTTCGACGCCCGAGCGAGGTCCACTTACGAGTATCTTGTATGGGCATACAATATCTAAACGGGTCTCCAGTATGCCTTGGCTGACAGCTGCACGCCGGTATGTGATTGATGACCTCGCAGATCGCATTGACCCCGCACGTTCCTGGACAAGGGTCTTGGCAGCGGTTCCTTATGCAGGCTCGATTAGATATACAGTCGGAATTGATCACGCACTCGGGCCTACAACCTTCGTACGGGTTACCGTAGAAGTCGGGTAAGCAGATGCAGGAGGCCGAGCTGGATACCTCCCGACACATCGCGTTCGCACCACAGGGAGATGGTTGGCACGGGTTTAACGGGACAGGCGATGTTTCAACTAAAATAGAGAACCGTGAGTCGTGATCCTACCGCGAATAGCTGGAGAAGAGAAACACCGCTGCTGGCTGTCAGATCTAAATATAAAACTCATAATCGCTCATCATCGGCGCGTTATCGGAAACTTACTCGGTCGAGGGTTGCATTGAATGAAGGGGTCTCCGGTAAAGTCACCAGCGCAAATGCACATGGGGGTGTGACTGACGGTCCTACATTCGGCATTCCTGCCGCAGGATCCTGGGCAAGGATCTTTGCACTTTTGATTGATGCAAGCCTGTTGTCTCGGACACTCGCTGTTACTCACGCACTCTGGTCTACAGTTGGGTGGGATTCCGATATACTGCGGCAAGCATGAGCAGGACGGAGCGCCGTTGAGGACTTGACACTGCGCGTTCGGGCCGCAAGGTGAAGGTCGGCAAGGATCGGTTGGTGGTGGCGGTGGTTCTTTCGCTGAAATTCGCAAGGGGACCGTGCTCATATCTCGATCAATCAAGAAGGTCGTTGTACTTTGCGACAACTTGATCGTGAGGACTTGCACACACAGAAAAACTTGAGCAGTAAGATGTAAGTAATAAGGAAATTGATTAATCAAAACAGCCCGAAGATATTCAACTATGATTAGTTAATTCGCTTACTGCTTACATCTTGTTGCTTATTTTTTTTCTGTGTGCCTCTAGCTGAAATATCACGTAGTTATCTCTTACGTTGCGGGAAGCAGCGGACGAATGGATCGCCCGTGTACAGTGTCTGGCAGCTGCACACCGGGTTGTGATTCACTACGGCGCACTGTGCGGCTATTCCGCATGCACCGAGACATGGGTCAATGCACTTCTGGTTGCTGCAGGCCCGATTGCGGGCGCAATCGGCGCTAATGAGACACTCCGGTCTGCAAGACGGCGGAACTCCTCTGAATCCGGCAATGCACGCGCAAATCGCCTGGCCGTTCGACGCACGACAATGGCTGTTCGGGCCGCATGGGGACGGGTTGCACGGTTCGAAGATGGTCGTATCTGTTTGACAATCATCGTAATGCACTCATGTCGTCAGGAGACAGAGCGGGGCGGGAGGGCCGCGTATACAAACCTTGCACGGAGGTACATGAGATGAACGCGTTGCCACTCATGTTTCGCGGGCAGCTACACATCGGCAGGTGATTGACAACGTTGCATTCTGCATTGAGGCCACATGTGCCGGCGCACGGATCGCGACACTTGTGCTGCATGCACGCTTTATCGCGCGAACAATCGGTGTTGATGACGCATTCCGGCCGGCAGCCGACGAATGGGTCCCCGAAGTATTCAGGTATGCATGTGCACACTCCGTCGTTACACCGAGCGTTTTGGCCACACGGTGATGGATTGCACCGGTCGGGGGGTGGTACTGAAACGCGCGGATGTGGCTGATATTTTGTGGTGATTTCAAATGCTTGCTAATTTTGCTTAATATGGTATAACACCTTTGGGCAACGATCATAATAAACGATAATGTTTCCGTAAGTGTAGAGATGTGAAAAATGAAAAAGAAAGATTTTACATTTCCATCGGACGAAAATCGTTAGATAATCGCTGAAGTGTCTTCAAGCTTATGTAAAACTTCTCACGTTTCCGATCTTAAGAAACAGTTGCATAATCCTTGGATATACAAATAAATAAAAAAGAAATTTATGAAGGAGACTCAGTTTGCGGAAATTTTCGCATTCGTAAAACGGTACCGTTCTTGTTATCATTGATAAAAATATAAGCAAGAGTGCGGTTCTTACGAGGTTTCTGAGGCGCAGGGTTACAACTCACGAAGGGGTCGCCAGTGTATCCTTCGGTACACACGCAGGACGGTGTATGATTTATCACCGTGCATTGCGCCAAGAGGCCGCACGATCCCGGACAGGGATCCTTGCATTTCTCTCTCATACAAGCTTTATCGGCAGGACAATCTGAATTGATCGAGCACTCGGGTCGGCAATTTGGAGGCACACCAATGTAATTCTGCATACAACTGCATGCCGGTGTGTTGCCGATGTTTCTACACAGAGCGTTCGGTCCGCAAGGTGACGGTAGGCATGGGTCCTTCGGGTATTGATCTTCTGGTTCTGGTGCTGAAGAGAAATACAAATAGCACACATGTTTTTTGTGTGACGATGAATTCCACCAAGTCGGAAACTAAGGTTGACTCCTCAAATTTGTCAAACTCGGGTGAAATTTGGAATTGAGGAAATGAAAATAGAAATTTCAAGTCCGTAAGTTATCAGAAACAAGATGCTATATAACAAATATTTTTCACAGATAAAACAATGAAATTTTAATTTTTCCGTAATTCTTTTAATTTTACGTTAAACATAAAATAACGAAAAGTAATGAAACAAAAAAGATAAATGAGAAATCTCTTATCTTATTTTTTCGGCACGAATATATACTTTTCCAATCGAAAAAATGTACCAGTTTCCAACTTGATGATATGAATCTGCAATAGTTTTCGCTATTGTGTAACGTACTTGGCGCTAGGAAGCAGTAGATGAATGGATCGCCCGTGAAGCCGCTCGGGCAGTTGCAGATCGGGCTGTGGTGTATGACTTTGCATTGAGCTTCGCGGCCGCAAGTGCCGACACAGGGGTCTACGCATTTCTGATTCACGCATGCTCGGCTCGATCCGCACTCTGAATTTACCAAACATTCCGGTCTACAATTTGGCGGGGCTCCGATGAATTTGGGCAAACAAGAGCAGATCGCTTGACCATTGTTATTGGCGCATTGACTGTTCGGGCCACAAGGGGAAGGTATGCAAGGTTTACGTTCTTCCTCAGGAGCTATAATAACGTAACGGTACATCTTAAAACCTGTTAGGCGACTTTCTCTTTACCGTCTCACATGTTCCACGTCGCTACTTACTCTCGACAGCCTGATAAACGCAATTTATATATGGATTGCCAGTGTAGCCAGAGATGCAGGTGCAAACGGGCACATTGTTGACGACTTGGCAATTGGTATTGACACCGCACGAACCCGGACACGGATTCTGACATTTCGATCCGATGCAGGCTAAGTGCGCGGGACAGTCTGACGAGAGGGTACATTCAGGACGACATCCTTCGTAGGGGTTTCCAATATACTCGGGCAAACACGTGCAAGAGCCGACACCGTTTTGCTCTCTACACACGGCGTTTGTGCCGCAAGGGGACGGTTGGCAGGGTCGACTTGGTGTTGGCGGCTCGCCTAAAAGAACATAGCTTTATCTTATCCGTAACATCGATCCTTCGCTATCTCACTCTTGCAAACAGATTTCAACCGATTTCCACGTGTTACAAAACCACAATAATAATCAAAATGTAACGCAAAACTTAATAATAACGATAGATGGTAGTTTTGTTCGACCGGGAAAATTTGTAAAACACGATACTATGGGGACTCATCTCTATGAGTCTACAGCACTTACTCTCCTTGACCGTGCACTGAACAAACGGATCACCCGTGTATCCGGAGCGACACGAGCAAGTTGGTACATGATTAACGACGTGACAGTCAGCTAGGGCGAAACACGACCCGGGACACGGGTCTCTGCACTTGCGATTGATGCAAGCTTGCTGACTTGGACATTCGCTGTTACTGATGCACTCTGGTCGGCAGTTGGGTGGCGTTCCAATGTATTCCGGCATGCACGAACACGATGGTGAGTCGTTGACTACTTGACACTGAGCATTGGGGCCACAGGGTGAAGGTTGGCACGGGTTCACCGGTTTCGGCACGTTTTCAGCTTTAAGAGGAAGATATAGGTTGCTATGCGTCCGATATAAGTGCATACATATCAGAGAGACCTCAGATGGTGGGGACACTTACGTCTTGGCGTACAATGTATGAAGGGATCGCCAGTGAACGCGGGAGGACAGCTGCAGATTGGATTGTGGTTCAGCACTTGGCAACGTGCAGATATGCCACACGCACCTAAGCAAGGGTTGCTGCACTTCATGTTGATGCAGGCCTCGTTCAACGCGCAATCAGTATTGACTATGCATTCAGGCCGACAGGCCGGCGGATTTCCTATAAATCCAGGCACGCATGAGCACACTGCTTGACTGTTAATGCTCTGGCAACGACTGTTCGGGCCGCAGGGTGATGGGTTGCAGGGGTTCTCGACCACAGTGGGATCTGCAAAGGGGTTTACATTTCTTTACGTAATGGAAGATGAGGCTTCGGTCGTTCGAGCAAGTCGATTCGATGTTATCTCGCGAAAAGCTCGTTCTCGATCGCCGATGAGTTTACCTTGAGCCGGGTAACACACCGCGAATGCGTTACCAGACATTCCATCAGGACAAGTGCACATCGGGGTGTGATTGATGACCGTGCACTTTGCGTTCTGCCCGCAGGCTCCAACACATGGGTCGAAGCACTTGTTGCGCACGCAGGCTTTGTCCAATGGACAGTCCGGGTTCTGTACGCACTCAGGTCGACAAGCGGAATAAGGGTCGCCGTGGTACTCGGGCAGACAAGAGCAGCTGCCATCGCGACATATCGCGTTCGCTCCGCACGGATTCGGATTACAAGGATCTTGTGGCACTGGTATGACGGCTGCAAATATCATTATTCGTTCTTCGTCAGTGAGTCTGTTCTTCGAGACTCACAATACAAAATAGGAGTCTTCAAACTTGGAGTTGGTTTGAAACATCTGAGAATGTCTTTATTTTGTGATAATAATCAATGTTGAAAAATTAAGTCATATTAATTCGTCATAATAAGTTACAATCGACAAACTTGGGGGTTAATTTTACCGACATTCGATATACATATGTGTGATTTAGAAATTGGAAATCTTTTCATTCTATATTCATCAGTCTCCTCTCTTATAACTCATATGATCTATATATCAAAAAATAAAGATGCTCTATATTGCGAAATATGTAGAAGGCTTACGGGGAGGTTCGGGATAGCAGTTGGCGAATGCGTCTCCAGTGTAACCCTTCGGACAGAGACAGACGGCCATATGATTGACCACAAGACATTGCGCTCCGATACCGCACGAGCCCGGGCATGGGTCTCTGCATTTCTGCCGCAGACACGCTCTGTTACTGCTGCAGTCAGAGTCTACAGTACACTCTGGCCGGCAATTCGGGGGGCTACCGATGTAATTTTCCAAGCACGTACACGTAGGGACACTAGCGTAGCCGCTATCACGGCAAACGGCGAATGGACCACATGGGGATGGCACGCACGGATTCGTTGGCGTCGTAGGGATGTCTTTGTCTATTTCTGCAAACGAATATTTCTCATAGGACGTAATATTCCTCGTCTAACATTTGTCACGTACACGGCGAAATTCTGCACACTTTAAATGTGATTGCTTACTAGAAAAAAGAACTCACAACTTGCTTTGCTAAAATCTCAAGCGTGAAGAAAGAAAAAAATTATGTATTTTGAAAATTTGCAAAATTATACAAATAAAATGGAATGTATTACAACTGCCTCATGCGACGTACTCACCTATCCGGAAGCACGTTACGAAAGGATCGCCGGTAAAATCTTGATTGCAACTGCAAATCGGACTATGATTAATCACTTCGCATCTTGCGTTGATACCGCAGATACCCGGACACGGGTCGACGCATTTGCGGTTCTTGCACGCGCGATTTTGGAGGCAATCGGAGCTGACGGTGCATTCAGCCCGACAGCTTGGCGGGGTTCCGATAAATGTGGGCAAGCACGAGCAGATCGCTTGACTGTTCAATTCACGGCATTGGCTGTTAAGTCCGCAGGGAGATGGGCTGCACGTATTACTCTCTAGCTCTAAAAAAGTTTCTTCATTAATTGCGAAGACTGCCGAATAGCCGAATAATAAATTCATAACCCTCTTGTATCACTCACTCGTGTCTTCTACGATATTACAAGAGATGAACGGGTTGCCGCTGTATCCAGATTGACATATACATAACGGTGCGTGATTGACCACTTGACAAATCGCGTTATACCCGCAGAAGCCTGGACAAGGATTCTGACATTTCGAACCGATACATGCGCGATCTGCAGTGCAGTCGGAATTCATCGTGCATTCGGGTCGACAGCCTTCATAAGGATTGCCTATATAATCCGGTAGACACGCGCACGAACCAGCGCCGTTTAGTTCACGACACACCGCGTTGAAGCCGCAGGGCGACGGAATACACGGGGTTGGTTTTACAGTGCTCATCACTTCGCCTACGGAAATGTTTCTGATGTACTTTTTGCTTTCAAGACGTCACCGATAAAGTTGCTTTAATGTATCACTAATATATACTGAAGGTACACTATAATTATCAAAAATATACACTTTCTATTAGCTATTGATGAGTAGTCTGAGATAACTGACAATTACTTTAATAAGCAACAAAACAATGTTGTTAAATAAAAATTGAAAATAATAACACAGATTATTTTAAATCTAGTCAATTTTAAGATACCAACATCTTCAAGAAAATTTTACTATTGAAAATTAAAAATCAGCGGAGCGAATAATGATATGTACAAAAATATTTACCAGGAAAAGTGAACTTAAGAGTAAAAAATTTAATAATAATTAAAATTGTGATTGAAAGTATATCTCGCAGTTTTGGGCGCTCTCTAGACCTAACATCAAATGATTGGACTTACTTCGCTTGGGGTTACATTGTACGAACGGATCACCCTCATATCCAGCAATGCACACACACATGGACGTATGACTGATCACTCGACAGTCCGAGTTAACACCGCAAGATCCTGGGCAAGGATCGCGGCATTTTTGATTGATGCATGCTAAGTGTGTGGAGCACTCGCTATTACTGACACATTCCGGCCTGCAATTCGGCGGTTCACCGATGAACTCTGCCAAGCAACTGCACGAGGGCGCGTCATTTACGATCTGACATCTACTGTTGAGTCCACACGGAGATGGGATGCAGGGATTTACGGGTGCTGGAGGTTGCTCCGCTATCAGAAAAAAATCAATGCAACGCTTGTTCGTCTGACGAGACATTTCACCTCACTCGATCGACAAATCAATCTCATCAAGTAAACATCAAAAGTAAAAATATGAATTATTTTAACGAAAGATCCTACGCATTCTATGTATGATGCTTCTCTCGAGTTACTCACATCTTGAGATGCACTGTGTGAACGGGTCGCCGGTCAATTCAGAGGGGCAAGAACAGATCGGGTTGTGATTAACCACGGTGCACTGAGCTCTAATACCGCACGTTCCAGGACAGGGATCTATGCATTTTTGATTATTGCAGGCCATGTTTGCAGGACAGTCGGAACTGATAATGCACTCGGCTCGGCAATTGGGCGGTGCGTCCAGGTATCCGGGTATACACGAGCAAACGGCCTGCTCGTTTATCTTTCGGCACTGGCTATTCGGTCCACACGGTGTCGGGTTGCATGGATCTTTCAGTATTGGTGCTGTATAAATGTTATAAAAAGATGAAAAACAATTACAGGGTGACTTTATAGTGTCATTAAAGAGCTAATACCGACTGTCCATTTGGACACGTTTTGGAATTGCTCGTTCGAGTGAGTACCTTCTATCGGGGAACACGTTACAAACGCATTGCCTGACATTCCTGGCGGGCAAGTGCAGACCGGGATATGATTGACAACGGAACAAAGGGCATTGTAGCCGCAGATCCCGTCACATGGATTGCGACATCTGTTCTTAATGCAAGCTTTATCCCTCGGGCAGTCTGGGTTTAAGAGACACTCTGGACGACAGCCCATATACGGATCCCCCTGATATTCAGGAAGACAGGTGCATACGCCATTGAGACACTGAGTATTTGCACCGCAGTTTAAGCACGGGTCTGTCGGCTTGAGCGTTGTATCTGAAGGGCGAATTTGAGAACTTAATTTTAGGGAAAACTTCAAGTAAAATATTTTCTAGAGTGCAGATGATGAAATTTTCACTTTCTTAACAAATAAGAAGTCGACGCGGAACGTTGCTCGCTATGGATAATAGCGATGTTTTGACGTGGTGGCGTCGATATTGATCTACTGATTGTCTTACCTTCCTCGGGAACTGGTCTACACATTACGAAGGGGTCCCCAGTGAACCCGCTCGGGCAAGAACACGTGGGTAAGTGGTTAATGACGTTACAAGTTGCTCCTACACCACACACTCCATCGCAAGGATACCGGCACTTTCTCTGTATGCATGCCTGATTACTCGGGCATTCGGAATTAATCAAGCATTCGGGCCTGCAATTAGGTGGTGTTCCCATGTACGTTGGCAGACAAGCGCAAGACGCTTGGCCGTTAATGTCGCGGCATTCCGAATAAGGTCCGCATGGTGAAGGTACACAAGGATTCACAGGTGGACGATCTTTTTCTGGGGCTATGGACATACAAAATGGGATTCGTTACGCGCTTGCTTTCGTTCGTATGCCGTAAAATGCTTTTGAGTCAATTCAATTTAATTTCGTATTTCCGAGGTAACGAATGAATAGAGCATTAGCAGCAAGAATGAATCGTTAGTGTTGGAATTATAATAATTATCTATTATCGAAGGGAAAGAAAATCATCGGTAAAATCTTTTCTGCACGGAGAAGCAACCGATTGAATTTACTTGATAATGAGCAAATCAAACGCGGTTTAGTTGAGAAAAATAAAATTTCAGATTCTTAAAATCGAATTTGAAAATAATATTTTGACGATCTGCAGGAAAACAGCTCCCTTTCAAGAATTCGCAAATTACTCGACTTATAACATATGATATGAGATTTTTCGACGACTCTTACGTGGAATTTCGAAACAGGCAACGAATGGATCACCCGTGAAGCCAAGTCGGCATGAACATATGGCGTTATGATGGATCGTCTCGCATCTTGTGTTAGAACCACACAATCCAGGACAAGGGTCGGTACATTTGTTGTTGACACATGCCAAATTGAAAGCGCATTCGGCGCTAACCGTGCACTCGGGACGACAGTTTGGCGGGCTTCCCAAGAAGGTGGGTAGGCAAGTGCAGACGCTCGTGTTATCCACGACGCGGCACTTGCTGTTGGGTCCGCAGGGTGACGGTTCGCAAGGACGACTAATGGCGCTGTCTGCTTCTAAAAATCACATTGCGCATCTCATGTGGTCAGTCAAATGGGTTCACGAGCAGTCACGAAGGGCTAAAAAAAGGTGCGAATTGAATCTCGAGCGAACGATATCGTACCTAGCTCTATCGGGTTGCAGTAAAGGAAGGCGTTGCCAGTATGTCGGGGGTAACAATTACAGACTGGCAAGTGATTGACCACTTGGCACAATGCATTACGTCCACACGATCCTGGACACGGGTCCTTGCACTTCATATTTATGCAGGCCAAACTCGCGGGGCAGTCCGTATTCAACACGCACTCCGGCCTGCATCCTTCGTATGGATTACCGGTGTAATTCGGCAGACACGTGCACGAACCAGCTCCGTTGAACTCTTTGCAGAGCGCATTTGAGCCGCAAGGAGAAGGAATGCAGGGATCAACGGGCGTGGGTGGCAATGGTGTTGCTGAAATGTGACATCGATGAGCACGGGGTTTTCGATGCAAACGTGCATATAAGGACGAACGTTGAAATCGATGTAATTTTCTCGAGATTGCGTCAAAATTTCAGCCTCTAGATGTTACTTACGCTCCCTAAAGACACACTGCGTGAACGGATCGCCAGTATAGCCGTTCACGCAGGTGCACATTGGGGTGTGACTGACCACGTGGCAATTGGCGTTCGCGCCGCAAGACCCAACGCACGGATCTTGGCATTTCTGATTGATGCAGGCTAAGTGATTGGCGCACTCGCTGTTACTGATGCATCCCGCTCTGCAATTAGGTGGGCTGCCGATGAAACCAGGCAGGCAGGAGCACAGAGATATGCCGTCGGACGGCCGACATTTGGAGTTGGGGCCACAGGTAGACGGTTCGCATGGTGTTGGAGGAGCTGGTGTGGGCGCTAAAAGATGCGAGGACTCGCTATGTAGGTGAGACAAAGCGGCACGCGAAGAGGAGTCGAGAAAATTTTCGACAACGATTTCTCGCGACCGTGTTCGATCACTGGGATCGTCGTCGAGTACTGACAGGACAGTACGAACGACAAGACGGTACTTACGTGGTTGATTGATACACCTAACGAACGGGTCACCCGTTTGAGAAGGAGGGCAACTGCAGATGGGATTGTGATTCACCACATGGCATAACGCGCCGATTCCGCAACTTCCCAGGCAAGGGTTCGTGCACTTCTGGTTGTTACATGCCTCGTTCTGCGGGCAATCCGTACTGACTATGCATTCAGGCCTGCAGGTCGGAGGACTACCTAAGTATCCTCTTATGCAGGAGCAGACTGCTTGATTGTTTACAACACGGCATTCACTGTTGGGTCCGCAGGGTGACAGGCCGCAAGGATTAGCAGATATCATGTCTGACAAACATAATGGGTATGTTGAAGATGTTGGCGGGCGTCCAGCGTGAGGAAGGGTGCATATATAATCGTCTCGCGTAATTTCACCTCATTGCGAATTAGACAGTTATAACAATTTCAGTGTGCGGTAAACGGACTCTCGGCTGTATACCTTGTATGGGCGTGCATTGGCTGAACGCGTTGCCGGTCATATTTCCAGGGCAACTGCACATGGGAACGTGACCGATCACAGTGCATAGAGCGTTAATAGCGCAAGCTCCCGGGCAGGGATCCACGCACTTGTTACGCATGCACGCTCTGTCACGGGGGCAATCGGTATTCAGAACGCATTCCGGCCGACAACCTACGAAGGGATCTCCTCGAAACTCCGGGAGACAAGTACAGATACCGTCAGAGCATTCCGCGTTGGGACCGCAGGGTGACGGGACACAGGCGTCTTCGACTGGTGATGGGGCCGCTGCAAAATACAATCGGGTATATTCACGTAGAGGTATTTACCGCTTAACGGGACATGAATTATAACAGGTCTCCAGGTTTCAAGGCGCAAGAATGTGCCGGTGAAGAATGCTTACGTGTCTCTGGCAACAACTCGCAAAGAGTGAACGTGTTGCCAGTGTAACCCTCGGGACATCTGCACGTGGGTATGTGGTTAATCACCGAGCACAGGGCATTGGTACCGCACGAACCCAGGCAGGGATCCATGCACTTCATGTTGACGCAGGCCTTATCACTCGAGCACTCTGAGTGTATGGTGCATTCAGGTCTGCAATTAGGCGGTTGACCCATGTAATTCTCCAAGCAGGTACACGCGGGCGAGCCGCCGATGTTTCTACATTGGGAGAAACTACCGCACGGGGATGGCACACATGGATCTCTCTCTATCGGGCCCGGTGGAGTCACAGCTGAAAGACGTTTGGAGTTACGATTGACCGTGATCGTGATAGTGCAACGGGTTAAGTCGATCGTGAGTTAATCGAAAGACGAAGAGATCAGCGAAGAATCTTACGTGGAATCGATGTACATATGGTGAAAGGATCTCCGCTGTAACTAGGCATACAACTGCAGATGGGGCTGTGATTAACGACCACGCAATTGGTATTAAGTCCGCACGGGCTCGGGCAAGGGTTCACGCATTTATAATCCTTGCACGCTAACTGCGAGGGACATTCTGAGCTAGCGACGCATTCGGGTCTACACGCAGGTGGAGTTCCAACGTAAGTTGGCAGACACGAGCAGACCGCCTGTCCGGATACCTCTTTGCATTTGCTGTTGGGTCCGCAAGGCGACGGGGAGCAAACATTTTCGTCTTTGACTATTTCTGGGAGAAAGATTCGATTCGTTAATATAACATGGGAATACACAAATATCCTCAAGTGTAGTGAATATCGAGAGATTATGTTTCAAAATCAGTGGCTCATCAATACTTAATATCATTTTGCAAAATTATTAAATTGTTAATTATTAAGACGCCGGTATCTTCAAAATATGTTTGTTAAAATCAAAAGTTTAAGAATTATAACTTTGGGAATTATAAGTTTGAGCAAGAGAATTAAAGTACGTTCCTTTGAGAATGTTAAATATCTCATTTTTTTTAACCAATCAAACAATATTTCTCTAAACTCCAAAAGACTATTTTTACTTTTCATTTCACCCAAATTTTGATATCTGCCACTAAAACACTAACGAAGAAAAAGGAACGTGACAAAGTTAACTCGATCAAAGACAAATGATCTTTGCTAAAGAAGAACTGAGGTGGTCTGGTCGACACTTACGATCTACGAAACAATTGCTGAAGGGATCTCCGGTGTATCCTGGTAAGCACGTACACATCGGTTGATGATTGACAACCGAACATTCGGCGTTCCGACCGCACATGCCCGCGCAGGGATTCACGCATTTGTTTCTCACGCACATCAAATTGGACGGACAGTCAGGATTAATGACGCATTCGGGTCGGCATGCCAAGTAAGGATTGCCAATGTAACTAGAAGTGCATTGACAAACTGCGACGCCGTCTCGCTCCCTACATATCGCGTTCGCGCCACACTCAAAGATCGCGCATGGCGAAGGCTTCGGCTCCACCTTGCTCGCTAAAACAAGGTGCAAAGGGAGGAGGCAAAGTTAAAGAAACGTCGCATGAAGTTCTGTGTGTCGAGTGTGTAGAATTAATCAGTCTCAAAATTCCTCTTACGTATCACCGAGCAGCGCGTATATGGGTCACCAGTGAGACCGTATGAACACACGCAATGTGGCACATGCTGCACCACGTGGCACTCCGCACTCTCCCCACATAGACCTGGGCAAGGGTCCTTGCACTTTTGCCGCACGCAACTTTGGTGGCTGGGGCACTCGGGATTGGAAATACACTCGGGCCGGCAGTTCGGGGGCGAACCTTTATACTCGGGTAGGCATGAACAGGAGGGCAAATCGTTTATGACCTGGCACGCAGCGTACGGACCACAGGGCGAAGGTTGGCATGTATTTATAGGCTCCAACGGTACTGGAGGTACTGGAGAGGAACAAAACACGTTTCTTTAGCAAGTGTGATCGTACCGAAACTTTGCCACGAATCTAAATAGTTCTTACTAGTTAGCATGGTGCATCTGATGAAGGGGTCGCCCGTGTAGCGTTCGGGGCATGAACACACAGGATTGTGGTTGACGACCACGCATCTCGCTTGGATGCCACATGTACCGGGACAAGGGTCTTTACACTTCTGATTGGCGCAAGCTTCGTTCTGTCGGCAGTCAGAGCTAAGGGTGCACTCGGGTCGGCAGAGGGGCGGTGAGCCAAGGAATTCGGGGGCGCAGGTGCATACGGCGTGTCCGTTCGACTCCCGGCATATACTGTTAGGTCCGCAGGGGTTCGGGTTGCATGGTCTCGTTTCCGACGGAACTATATGACAGAGCGACGCTCACATCAGCGTGTTCTCAAAGTCTCATCGAATGTCGGGACTTTCGTCGTTACTATACCTTTCATAGCGTCGCAAGAAATGAACGCGTTCCCGATGGTGCCGTGAGGGCAACTACACATCGGCGTGTGATTAATGACGTTGCACAGGCTGTTTCGTCCGCAAGTGCCCGGACAAGGGTCTACGCATTTATTTTGTATGCACGCCTTGTCAGTCGAGCAGTCTGCACTGAGCACGCATTCTGGTCGACAACCGGCATATGGATCGCCGAAGTATTCGGGAATGCAAGTGCAAAGGCCATTGTTGCATCGAGCATTCGATCCGCAAGGTGACTTACTGCACGGATCGATCACTGGCTCTTCGACTTCTATGAAAACGATTATAAATTCAGTTCACGCCCCGGTGAGAAGTATGCTTGCAATTAATCGTGAGGATTTCGGAACTTACTGATTGGTACAGGTTGACAACCGATAAATGGATCGCCAGTGTAACCTTCTATGCATCTGCAGGTTGGGATGTGGTTGTGAACGGTACAATCGGCGTACAGACCGCAAGAGCCTGGACAGGGGTCCTGACACTTTTCGCGAATGCAAGCCTGATTACTCGGACAATCGGCAGGTATGACGCATTCAGGCCGACAGTTCGGTGGACTACCGATGTAATTAATCATACAAGAGCACGACGGGTAACCGTTGACATTGCGACATTGCGAATTAGGCCCGCACGGAGATGGGAAGCAAGGGTCCGAAGGTGGACTTGGTAACGGGACGGCTAGAATTTCAAATAAAGTGAGTTTGGCAGTGAGAAATTGGCAAAAGATCATCTCCAAATAAAAATTAATTATGGTAGTCGGTTGAATAGAAATATAACGACAGTTGAAATATATTAATACGAAAGGTAAATTTTAACGCGACAGTTACTTCGTTAAAGAAGAAAGAAAACAGTCTCAACGGACAGGATATCTATACTTAGTTGAAATGCAAAAGATAGTAAACTGAAAAATAAAAATTTTCAATGAGATAAAATTGGCTTCTCGCTTACGTGGAATGAACGAGCAGCGCGTAAATGGATCGCCGCTGAATCCGGCTTTGCACATGCATATCGGGCTATGATTCACAACCCGGCATGTCGTTCCTTGACCGCACGAGTTTGGACATGGATCAACGCACTTGTTATTCTCACAGGCGAGATTTGTCGCGCAATCCGTGCTAACCGTGCACTCTGGTCTACAACCAGGCGGTGCGCCTACGTAAGTCGGAAGGCATGAGCAAACGGCTTGGCCGTTGCTTTCTCTGCATTGACTATATGGCCCGCAAGGGGACGGCTCGCAAGGATTGACATTATCTGACACAACCGCTGTAAGAAAGATAACGTTAACTTTATGATCAGGCCGGATACGTAACGGGAAAATTTAAGAGCGATCGCTTACGAGTTTCGACGATAAGATTGCAGAATATAAATGGATTTCCCGTATATCGTTCGAAGCAAGTGCAAGTTGGAGCGTGATTGATCACGTAACACTGCGCGTTCTGGCCGCAAGTTCCTGGACACGGGTCTTTACACTTCATACCGATGCAAGCTTGATTGGATGGACAGTCGGAATTGAGCGTGCACTCGGGCCTGCACCCTTCGTAAGGGTTACCGATGTAATCGACCGAACATGTGCAAGAGCCCGCATTCTGCTGGACTCTGCAGACTGCATTCGCACCGCACGGAGAGGGTGTGCACGGTGTCGGTATACTAGGCTGTATGTCGACTAAAATGAGAGTACAATAGCAGATTAAAGAGCATATCCGTTGATGAATTTTGATTCTCTATTTCGCAATAATTCAAGATAACGAATTCATCCAAATTGACGTCTAAAGATTTTTTCCAGAAACGAAAAAGCGTTCTCTAAAGTAATATGTGACGAGCGTAAAATTTTCAAAAGTATTATGTATGAATAATTTCCTTACATTGTTGCGGAGAGCATTGCGTAAACGGATCACCAGTGTAACCAGTCGTGCACGCGCACATAGGTGTATGGCTAACAACGTTGCAAACGGCGTTGATTCCACATGCGCCGACACATGGATCGCGACATTTCTGGTTGACACAGGCCATTTTATTTGAGCACTCGCCGTTGCTGACGCACTCATGCCGACAATTCGGCGGTGATCCGATAAATTCTTGTAAACATGAGCAAGACGGTTGGTCATTGACCACTTGGCATTGCGAATTCGGTCCACAAGGCGACGGTTGACAAGGATTGACCACGGGTAAAGGATTCTCAGCTTTAAAGATAACGACGCATTAATTAGGCGACGCTGACATTAACAGTGAGATTTGTTAAAAAAAAAATTTTCCAAAAAAATTAATTGAAACAAATTGCGGAAGTTTCAAGTTTAAAGACATTTTTGGGAAAGAGGAAAATTTTCTTACGATTTGGGAAGCAATTGATAAACGGATCCCCGGTCATTCCAGCGCGGCATATGCAAACGGGATTGTGATTGATGACGTTGCAGATCGCATTGCGTCCGCAACTTCCGGGACAAGGATCCTGGCATTTCTGATTGGTGCACGCCTCGTTCTTTGCACAGTCCGAGCTGATTACACACTCGGGTCTGCAAGTCGGCGGCGCTCCAATAAAGCCGCTTATACAACTACACACGGCTTGCATATTATTCTGTCGACATTGACTGTTCGGACCACATGGAGATGGATTGCATGGGTCTCGAGTAGTGGGTGCTGCAATAACAACCCGCGATTAAGAAAGAATCTCAATTGTAAATTGAAGAAATCTGATTGTAATAATTGAAATATTCTCGAATTGCAAAAATTTAGACCCTCGTGTGGGATCTTGAACAGGATACTACATATGTCTGATTGTAACTGATTGTTACATCTCCAAAATTTCGTAAAAATACCTGGAACGGGAGAGCATAAAACGAAAGCGTTTCCATCCATGCCTGCGGGGCAACTGCACATGGGCACGTGATTGTACACATTGCACACAGCATTTTGGCCGCAAACACCTGGACAAGGGTCCACACATTTGTTTCGCACACATGCTCGCGTATTCGTGCAATCGTTGTTCAACACGCATTCTGGTCGACAGCCGCTGTAAGGGTCCCCGAAATACTCCGCTAGACAAGTGCAGACTCCTCTGTCGCACTGTGCATTGGATCCGCAAGGTGTAAGTGCGCATGGATCCTTTTCGACGGGACTGACAGCTACAATATCACCGTGTAAGAACGAGTAATGCGCTGTCAGAGAACGTTAACGAGGGTGATATTAACCGATATAAAGAATCTTACTTGGGTTCAAGGTGCAACTGGTGAACGGGTCACCGGTGTAGCCGGCCAAACATGAGCAAATCGGCACGTGATTAACGACGCTACATTCGGCTAGGATACCGCACGAGCCTGGACAAGGATCCCTACACTTTTGCTGCATGCAAGCCATATTAGCCGGACATTCTGTATTGACGGTGCATTCTGGCTTGCAATTTGGCGGACTGCCTCTATACGTCGGCAAACAAGAACACGACGGTACGCCTCCTATATCGCGACATTCGGAGAACGCGCCACAAGGTGACGGTATGCATGGGTCTCTCACGACGTCACTTATAACGGGCGGGCTCACTGTAAGTCAACGACAATCAATAGTTTGGAGACTGTGAGACTTTCTGATTAATTGTGAATATAGTACACTCGGATCTCGTTACAACATTTCTTTGGTCAACAATCCAGTAAAAATTCGGACAAGAGGAATTATCTTTTATCGTGCCAAAAATCGAACTCGACAAGTTGAGACATTGTGAATTGCTTTCATTATGCTTTTGGTAGTTCGAAGGAAACTTTTGAGGTAACAATCTTAGGATAGTTTGCCACACTTCTGAGATAAACGCTGTATCAAGATCTGAGTCTACTTATTTGATAAAAAAATATATTCAAACCGGGTAACGTATTCATTATAAAAAAAGATACAGTCATTAGACAAGAGTCAAAGTTCATACCAGGCGTTTGGAAACAAACGGTAAATGGATCCCCGGTATAGCCATTCCTGCAGGAGCAGATTGGATTGTGTTTGACGACCTTGCAATTTGAGTTCTTGCCGCAGGAGCCGGGACAAGGATCTTGGCATTTTTGATTTACGCAAGCAAGCGTCAGCGAGCAATCCGGGCTCGTAACGCATTCGGGGCGACACGCAGGTGGACTACCGATGTAAGTCAGCAGACAAGAGCAGACCGCTTGATCGTTATTAACGCGACACTGACTGTTGGGCCCGCAAGGCGATGGATTACAGACATCCTTCGGAGTTTCAACTACAATAATTGACAGGAACAATGTATGTAACTTTCAAACTGTTTTAGGAAAAAAACGACATTTAATAAGTCTAAGTTAATAATTCAATGAAAGAAGAAAAGAAATTTGAACTAAATGCAACAGACGGACGTGAATGGAACTAAAACAGATAGATAATTGAACAATTCCGCAAAGAATCAACTTTGATAACATTAACAAAAAATATGTTTATGTTAATAATATTCAACATGATAGCATGTACATATTAGGCCAGTTCTAATCTATAACAAACATTATTGGTTTTGACAGCTAACAACTGATCATTGGCAACCATCATTTGACGGCTGTTGGTGGTAAGAAAGATGGGAAGCAGCTTACACTATGAGGTGAAGGGAATAAAAAAAATAAACCAGGGCTCGATCAGAATCGAATCCGAGTCTTTCGCTCGCCGTGTAACTACACTACTCAAAAGAATTATAGCATAGATAATTTATTGCCGAAAATTGGCCAACTTTGACTGGTGATTAATTCGCGAAAAATTATTGTAGACTAATGACGTTTTTTTCCAAAATGAAGCTTGAAGTCTTTACTTTAAGAATCTCTATTTTTTACATGCGATGCACCGCTATCCCTGTAACCCTTGACAACTGAGGGCATATTTAGTATACTGAAAATTGCAAAGTTTGACGGAATGCATGGACGTGGACAATTTTTTTTCGGGGATGCTGTTTGCATCATCATAAAGTTCAAATCTTCCCTTTCAATTTGAAAAAAAAATGCAGACGCTAAAATTTTTTTTCAAATTGAAGGGAAAAATTTGAACTTTATGACGATGCAAACAGCGTCCCAGAAAAAAAATTGTCCACGTCCGTGCATTCCGTCAAACTTTGCAATTTTCAATATACCAAACATGCCCTCAGATGTCAAAGGTTACAGGGATAGGGGTACATCGCATGCAAAAAATAGAGATTCTTAAAGTAAAGACTTCAAGCTTCATTTTGAAAAAAAACGTCATTAGTCTACAATAATTTTTCGCGAATTAATCGCCAGTCAAAGTTGGCCAATTTTCGGCAATAAATTATCTATGCCATAATTTTTTTGAGCAGTGTATTTATTGTATACGTTTATCGTATGATGGTGGTTCAATATGGTGTGATAGTTATTTCATAATGGTTCGATAAAAGTCAAGTATGTTTGATCATAGATGTTTGATAGTAGTTTAATATGATATGATAGCAGGCACAATCGCTTTCATTGATAATCCGTGAGTAGAGACATCTTCATTCCATCTATTATTGTAAGAAGCCATTTTCATAGAAGATACTTCACTCTACATCTTCCATCAAGAATGTACGATAGTTTGATTAACAGGATAATTGCATATCGAGCGATAGACCTGGGTTCAATTCTGACAAAGCCTGTTTTATTTTTTTCTTTTCTACCATTTCGTAATGACAAGTTCCCCCCTCCAACCAATAGCTATTAAATGATGACTGTCAACGATTAGTTGTTAGCTGTCAAAACTGATGACGTTATTTGTTTTAGGTTAAAGCTGGTTTAATATAATATACCTAATTAAGATTGAAGTATTTAAATACCTATTGGCTCAATAAAACTCGATTCTATTAATTTTCTGCTATCAAATGTAAAGATTAAAGACTTATAAAACCCATAAAAAAAGACTTATAAATTCCTTTTCTCTCTAGCTCTTTCAGTTTGATGATCAATAATGTTTTACAAACGTGTATCGTACCAATATCGCGAATCACAGCACAGTACTGGAAAGGATTGCCGCTATAACCGGGAATACACGTGCAAATGGGTCGATGGTTAATAACTTGGCACTCAGCAAACTGTCCACAAGTGCCGGGGCATGGATCCTGACACTTGGATTGTATGCAAGCAAGGGTGGATATACAATCCGTGTCGATAACGCATTCCGGTCGACATCCTTCGTAAGGATTACCGATATAATCAGCCAAACAAGAGCAAGATCCGGCGCCATATTGTTCTTTGCAGACGGCATTAAAACCGCAAGGTGACGGTTTACAGGGCGATACCGCGATCGGTGTGGCTGGAAAGTACATGGGTAAATTGGAAAATACTTAAAATAATGAGAGATTTCCACAGTAATTTTTCGAGGAGAAAATCAGGAATAAGAAAAAAATCAAGCACGACTGTCCGACCGAATAAAAATTGACGCGAATTTTACATGTTACTTCAACTCTGAAGTTCAAATCTTCTTTCTTTGGTACGTATCGTTTTTACGAATGACAAAAGTTTTGGGATGAGTAAAAAGTTTTCCTGGTTTTCCTCACAGACACGTGGCACGCACAGAGGATAAAACTAGTAAGTGCTTACGTGGCTTGATTGTACACTGCGTGAATGGATCGCCGGTGAAATCACTGGGACAAACGCACATGGGTGTATGGCTCACTACGCGACATTCGGCATTGGCGCCGCATGAACCTTCGCATGGATCTTTGCATTTCTGATTAATACATGCCAAATGCGACGGGCACTCGCTATTGCTGACGCACTCCGGCCTACAGTTCGGCGGCACGCCTAGGAATTCGACTAGACAAGAGCACGAAGGGCTGTCGCCTACAACCCGACACTCAGCATTTGGTCCGCAAGGGGATGGCACACAAGGGTTTGTCTGTGCCACAGGCTTGGGCGCTGATGGAAAGAGAAAATCTGTTGTCGAGAGGCTTGAAAACAAATGAGAGTCTAAACCGAACTTGCTTTACGATTACTTTGATCAAAATACACAAACCGCTGCAAATATCGAACGACTTCCGAAAACAAGCAGAGTATTTGCAGTAGAAATTCTGTTAAAGTTTCATGAGGGATGCCTCGCGCTTGTTAAATAAATAAATAGTGATAAAACTGAAGCCAATTTCGTTCTTGATGAGTCGCACGCCAAGAGTGTGCATGCAACTTGTGATAATTTAAAATAAAATTGCTCAACTCGTATGTCATTCTCGTGAGGATCTTCAAGATTAGCATTTCGTGCGCGAAACGACCCTTACGACTAATAATGGTTCAAGAAGGCCAAAAATTCTTACGTCGTGGAACACATCGAATGAATGGGTCTCCGTCGAGTTCTGCTGGGCAGCTGCAAATAGGATTGTGATTGATCACTTGGCACGTAGCTCGAATTCCGCATGTACCGAGGCAGGGGTTTATGCATTTTTGATTGCTGCAAGCCTCGGTCAGCGGACACTCGGAACTGACGGTGCATTCTGGCCGGCACGTCGGCGGTACACCGAGGAATCCGGCGACGCAGGAGCACACTGGTTGCCCGTTGTTCTCTCGGCAGAGACTGTTGGGTCCACAGGGCGAGGGTGAACAAGGGTTCCCTTTCACGGTATCTAAATACGATACGTGATCTTATACATTGCCCTCGGAGGGGTGATGCGAGACAATGGGCGCGATATCAATAACAATAATAGTAGAGCAACGGTGATTCGATTGATGGATATTAATGCCAATTGATGTTCTTTGTTAGAAACATTCATGTTTTGGGAACACGATTGAAAGAGAGTTGGATCTACGATTATCATTATCGATATAACGTAACTGAAGCGCTTTCGTAGCTTCAAAAGTGACAAGACGCGTCTGTACCTTCGACAATGGAACACTGGACGAAAGCATTGCCGGCCATTCCAGTAGGACAAGTACATATGGGTATGTGATTGTACACTGAGCACAATGCATTTCGACCGCACGTGCCGGGGCAAGGATCCGCGCACTTATTACGGATGCATGCGCGATCATGAACGCAGTCGATGTTCATGATGCACTCGGGTCGGCAACCCACATAAGGATCACCCTGGTATTCGGGCAGGCACACGCAAACACCGTTGTTGCATCGCGCATTTGATCCGCATGGATTCAAATCGCAGGGATCGATAATTGTAGGCGCTGCTGCAAAAGAATTGCTACGTTGTGGAACATGTAGAAAAATGAACGTCGCGATGAGCCGGAATAAAATATAACGAAGTTTCACGAAGTAAACGTACGACTTTTTACATAAATAAATGTGCCTCATCTATTTCATAATGAGTAAAGAGATTTTAATTAGGTTACATTGCACAATTAAGAGCGGGTTTATCAATGCTTAACTAAGTTAAATTTGACTAATGGTTAAGTGTTAACTATAAGTTATGTGTTTATCAATGCAGGATAACTAACAGTTGCGCATGAACTGTTAGTTATAGTGTTTGTTAAAGTAACTGGCAAAATTTTTGTTTACTAAACATAACTGACAGATGGTCATCACAGATTTTAGCAGTCTGTATATAGAGAATTGAGCGAAAACATAATATATCTCACTTTTGTGTTGATACAAGTCTCTAAACAACGCGAGCATGCAATATAACAATTACTTAATAATTAATTATTCTTGATATTTAAACGATTTCATTGACGATAATAAAGAAATCATTGACTTCTTGAAATGGGAAAGAAGACCATATATTATAAAAGATAAAATTAATCATTTCGATGGGATGAGTTGAATTTTTTTCGTAGATTTTGTTTGCAAAAACATATTGTTTTGATCCTTCCAGAACAAATAGAAGACATCATTGACAGTTCTACGGATAGATATTCGGATGGATACTGTACATCTGCCTGTTGAATAAATTTTCTATTTTTTCCTTCATGTTTCCTCCTTTTTTCTTCATGTGCAACCATCAATTTTTTTGCATTCGATTACATTTTTGTATTTGTTTCATATTCTTAATAATATCAGATAGACCAGTTTCGGCATATTGTCTGCATACAGACTGAATTCGAGAATTCGAGAATTAAAATAGTACATAAGTACATAAGTATATAAGTACATAAGTACATAAAGATGTGAATTCAGCAAAAAACGTTTTAGCAGCATATAAAAGAAGCTATTTGATGTCATGAACATTGCGACACATGCCACAATTGTGTCAGCAAGAGGACCCAATTAATCAGCAATACAAACTGATATTTTGTTGCAAAGTATGGAATAATAAATACGTATTTCTTACGGCAAGCATATTACCAACATGTTATGAAGTTTAAATAGTCATAAAATATACCAGGCGTTTCAGACCACCCGGGTCACCCGATTTCTTCGTTAACGCAACATTTTAGAAAAAATATTTCAGACAAAAGTTGTAGGATTTCGAAGGATCTATTTACTGACGCTATGAATTTGACCTTGGGCTAACCTTGAAAAGTCCAGTCAAGATCAACATAAAAATCTTAAACGGATACCCCAATTTTTTATTATATCATCCTTTTCTAGCAATTAATTTGAACAACTTTTATTTGAAATATTTTTTTATTTGCCTAATATTTTTTTAGATATTTAAGGAAGTTATCCTTTAATGCAAGTTTTCCTTTAATGTTTCAAAAAATATTAGGCAAATAAAAAAATGTTTCAGACAAAAGTTGTTCAAAATTCGAATTAATTATCAGAAAAAAATGGTGTAATAAGAAATTGAGGTTTCCATTTAAGAAAAGTAATGATCAGTGAATATGTCGAAAATGGCGCCTGTACACAAACTGTCTGTCTGTAAACAAACTGATATAATTGTTTTATGTCCCCCTTGAAACCATATAACTTTTGTCTGAAATGTTTCTCCTTAAAATGTCGCGTTTACGAAAAAATCAAGTAATACGGATGGTCTGTGATATCCTGTATATCATTTAAGTTGGAAGAATATAAAGTAATGGAGGACACAGCATCCAATATTTAGGAGAACAGCTTTTCAGAGAAGAATCTCTATCAGAAAGCTACTCTCCTATTGGATATCGTATGATGTATGTCGTATTATCGGACCAAGGTAAATCTCCTATAACCAATTAGAAACGCATAACTTTCCTAACAATATTGCCAATCCACGTCAAAACGAAACTAACTGACAGTTACTTACCTAATAGTTAAAAATGCAGTGGATTAACATATAAATGACTAGAACAATAACTCTTAGCTATCTCTTAACTTTCAGTTATATAGCAGTCATTTTTAGCTGAGCATTGATAAACTCCCCTTAAATGTGTTATTTTTATACGCATAAATGTGTAATTTAGCCAAAGTTCTTTTTAAGTCGTATCAATTAAAACATTTGATACGTATAACATGTTCAATAAAACAAACTTGGATGATGACCATATGGAAAAGATAGTCATGGACTATAATTTCTCTAATAATTGCTAAATAGTGCGTGGTAATTCTCAAAGATAATTGATATTTATAGTAGTTCATACAATTCAAAATAACAATGTTGTAAATATTGTATCATATTTTTACTTTCGACTGCGCCTGCAAAGTTTTTCATATATTTATTAAAAACCATTTCGCCGTCGAATAAATTACAGTTAAGTAAAGTCTTAAGTCAACGTTCGACACAACGAAGGTATGTAAATTGTAATATGACATATAATTTTGATTTCAGTTTTTACTATTTGTTTTATAAATATTATGACCGTCTATTCCTCACAGTTTAAATAAAATGGTTCACTTTTTTCAAAATAAGTTGGCCAATATAATCGACGTATATTAGCATCAGTGCAGCAGGCGGAAAACTATCTATATGCCACGCAGTCAATAATCGATAATTTGTAATGTTTTCGGTAAACTATCGATAATTACCGGTAATATCATTGAGTTAACAGCTTGAAAACATAGTTTTCCACCTATAATCAATACCGTTCTATAAAACAAATGGTTTTTTTATCATTTTACAAAATGTTAGGTACATTTAATATAAAATATCTATAATATGATCAATTGTCCTATAATGCTATGGCCATCTTTTCCTAAAAAATCAGGTAAGATAGCCAATATTTATGTTGTAATATTTGAATAACATAAAATTTTTATGTAATATTTTCTCCTTATAAGTTCGATAATATCACATACTAAGTGAAATAATACACCAAGCGCTATTAAAAAAAGCAGAAAAATACGGACAATGATAAATTGGCCAGTGATAAATCATTGATGCTCAATAATTTTATTACTCGTACGAGTGGTAAATAATTTATGATTGGCCATTTTATCATTGTTAATAATACTTTTATGTTAAGGAATAACAAATATAAAAATATATTTTTTTGCATTTTAAAAAGCTATGGCCTTCTTACCTATATTTATCCTATATTTAAACGTTTCAAATGACTTTTTAAATGACTTGAGACAGCAAAAAGCGTACAAAAAGAACTTCAGCCAAAATAACACACTTAGATTTAAAATGTAGATATGCCAATATCTATGCCTACATGGCAAAGATATGTTTTCAATCGAATGTCGTTGACGTCGTGCGTTATAATTCGCGAAACTCTTTCTCTGAGGAGAATCGTCGGCGATTTCGTTCGTAGGGGATCTCTTACTTGTGATCGGTCTGGGATAGCAATTATTGAAGGGATCGCCAGTGTATCCTTCGGGACAGGTGCACACGGGTACATGATTGTACACGCTGCACAAGGAAGTGATGCTGCACGAGCCTAAACAGGGATCTCTGCACTTTTCATTGCTGCAAGCGAAATTCATCGGACAATCAGAATTCACACGACACTCGGGACGGCAATTTGGCGGCGAGCCTTTGTAAGTCGGCAGGCAAGAGCAGGAGGCTGTGCCACCAGTATTCCTGCACTCCGCATACAAACCGCATGGGGACGGTATGCATGGGTCTTGGGGTATCACGGGATAATCCGGCAACGGCGATTCTGAAATTCGATTAATGAATGTGACGTGTAACAAAGTTTTCGGAGACAGCCTCATCTGATTAAAGTATAAATTAATCGCGATCATGAGGGTGACAGTGAGAAGCTGACGTAAGAAGCTGATGAGATGAGTGTAACGTACGCATATATCGCATATATCGTACATGCGTACGGTAGATGATAACATCATGAGGAGAGGCAAAATGATATCCTGACGTGGTTATACGTCGAATTGAATCGAACGACGTTCTCGATAATGTCGCTCAGTTTCGACGATTTCGAAGTGAAACGATCGGTTAAATGCATCGTAAGAGATTAAGGGCCAGTCCAGGATAAATCGCAACGCTCAGTTGCGAGTTACGGAGTGGAAAGTTGTCAATTGCAAATTGTAAATCATTGCAACGCCTAATCTACATATAGATGTCAAGAGTTGCAAGTTGTGAAGAAATAGGCAATCAGAAAATTTAATATTCGCTTCCTCGTTGTCCATTAATTTTATCGATAATTAGTTAGAATAGTCAGATAATATTGGCTATTTCTGCCAATTAATCGAAGTTTAATGAAAGTCGCTTTAATAAGATAATAACATTAATACAATAAGAAATAAATAAAATTATTTGATGCCTGAAAATACAGTCTTGAGGCTGTATTGAGGCTATGAATGAAAACTAACCTCAATTTTTACTTAAAGATGGTACATAAAAAAGAGATACCTATTTTATTGAGTAACATAGCAATAATTTTCCAAGCACCATCTTTTTTCTTTGTTCCTAAAATTTGGTTCAATTTTATTAACCCACTAGGGCTCATCCTTAAACCAGTAGAGATATGAAAAAAATAACTATTGGGTTTCTGGCATGGGTCATAGCAATGATTATTAGTGCTTCAAATTGATTGAAAAAAATTTTTTTTAACAAATTGTTGTAAACAAACAATGAAGAAAAATTAATTTTGTAGGCATGGATTGGAGCGAGTACATCCGTATAGAGATTGTAATTTTTTAACAATAAATGAAGCAAAAAATCGGAAATGTAACATATGTTTTTTTGATGATTTTTCCCATAGAATCGATTGGTGTGATTAGTTTTTCGGAAAAATTAATTTTTCTTAATTTGTTTACAACAATTTGTTTAAAAAAATGTTTTTTCAACTAATTTGAAGCACCAATAATCATTGCTAGGACCCATGCCAGAAACCCAATAGTTACTTTTTTCATATCTCTACTGGTCTAAGAATGAGTCTTAATGGTTTAATTAGGAATTGATTCGTCTTTATATGTACGATTAGTGATCGTATTTCGAACTCATCTCACTCTTCTTCAACTGCTTCAAGCATCCAACTCATATTGCTTTTCAGTATCCATTTTTTTACAAATAATAGAATACACACACATATAAGTATCTACAAAACTATCAAAAATTATACTACATCATTTATATCACACAACCTTTATCTATGATATCGTGTTTCATTTTTCGCGCTTTTCCTGAACTCGATACTTGATTAGCTCTGATGTTGCGATTGCCAGTTACTGTCACCAAGAAGTTAAAAGTTGGACAACTCTCTTTTAGCAACCGCGACTGTTTCTCATAACCAGAAATAGCACTTTGCAGCTAGTAGTTGCTATCCTTCACAACTCGCAACTGGGTGTTTGCAACCTATTCTGAATCGGCCTTAATAGTCACGAATAAATCGTGTGGACTGAATGATAAACGGTAAAGCCGATAAAAAGATAAAGTTATTCTTACGTGGTGCAGGGAAACACCTCGTGAAGGGATCCCCGGTAAAACTGAGCTTGCAGACGCAGATAGGACTGTGATTGATAACTTTGCATTGAGTGTTTATTCCGCAGGGGTCCGGGCAGGGTGATGCGCATTTCTGATTGATGCATGCGAGCTCCAGGGGACATTGGCTGTTCACCACGCATTCAGCTCGGCAGTTGGGAGGGCTGCTGATAAAGTTCGGGAGACAGGTGCACACGGCGAGACCGTTTGTATTCTGACACTTACTGTTCGGTCCACATGGGGATGGACTGCATGGGTCTGTCTCTGGGAGGGCTGCGTAGAGAAAAGTATCATTACGCGCGCATAGTTTTCCGTAAACTCTACACCTCGTATGGTGCTGAAGAACGACTGCTTTTCCGCGAATTTCAATCGACATATTTCGTCCACACACAATAACGACTACCGTAGAAAAAATACAAATAAAAAAGAAATATCAATGTAGAAAAATACTATCGCAATCGATACCGATTTATATTGAAAAGTTTAGTAAAAAAGATGCGAAGACTAGTTTGATGCATGAGTAAATTTGATAAGTTAATTGAATTTCTCCTTTCCTTCCGAACGTGGTCATTAATTGATGAGGCTTACGGGTCTCGACTATCGGGGAACAGTACGTGAAGGGATTGCCGGTATAGCCAGGAATGCAAGTGCACATCGGCAGATGATTAACCGCTTGGCACTGGGCGTTCATTCCGCATGTGCCTGGGCAAGGATCTCTGCATTTCAGGGCGACGCATGACATTCTCGTCGAACAGTCGGAATTTTGCGTGCACTCGGGTCTGCATTCCGTGTAGGGGTCGCCTAAGTAGTCCGGTGGACAGGTGCATGAGCCGACGCCATTGTTCTCGCGGCAAATTGCGTTTATACCGCATGGGGAAGGCTCGCATGGTTTTCTAATATCTACGAGCGTATCTGACATGGAAAGAGAAATTTCACTTAAACTTAATCGTGCATGCAATTCCCTAATTATCGCGTCTATTACTCTCCTTCTTTCTCATTCTTTCTTTCACATTCTCGCATCACTCTTTCGATCAGATCCTGCTAAGCAGCAAGCCTCGTATGATAGTGCGACATAATTGTTCTAAGTGATTTTTAGTGCCAGTTATCGTCGTAGACGGATATTTCGTGTGCGTCTGGGGGTTTTAGTTTCAACGGATAACGTGTTCCACAGCGGCGATTCTTGAAATCATCTCGTTTGGCAAGCGTGTACGATCTTTGATCGAGTCGATTAATCGAGTTAATTACAAATTACGGCTCACGGTAGCTGACAGCTCTTTTTGTTAGGGTCTTTGGCAACTAGTGAGAATATTATTACTTGTCGGGGACGGGATTGTTATCTTATCTTGGGATTTGCGTTGCGAGTGGGCGAGGTGTGCTTTACTCTCGTCGGGTTTGTTACTTCTCAAGGTAGGGAGTTGCGTTCTTTACGGCGATGATAGCGTTTCGATATCGCTCTGTTCGAGAACGGTGCGAGTAGCATGATTACTGGGAGGTCCGCAGCGTATGCCAAGGTCATGGTGCTCTTACATATGTGAGTGAATCGTACGACGGGTTCGCTTTGATTGGACTATGCGTGCAGCAAACGTCTTGGCAATTAATCGCAGGAATTTTCTGGAGAGTTGTATCGTTTAGTTACACTTAGTGTGTCGATTAGGGATGAGTGCAGCGCCAAGAGCCTATCGACTCATAGGCCCCCGCCACCAGTTTTGCGTGATTATCTACCGCTACTTGATCTCTTCTACATCGGGTTGAGTCAAAGTCGGGTTTGGGTACGGGTCAGTAACGTTCAGGCATAGGGGTGAGTGCGTGCCGCTTCGTCTTTTCTGTTAATCATAGGGACTCGAGACATATGTACGTTACATCGATGGTTATTGACTTTTAATCGAGGATGAGTGCAATTATGAGCCTAATAACTATAGGCCCCATCACCTCACGTATGTGTTGGAACATCACCCTCTCTTCTTTAGGGACTCAATTGCGACAATGCTTTGTCACACACGCATTCTCACACAATTAATCTTCCTCAACAAGCTTTCTGTTAGGACGCGTCTCACTCTGACGCGCTTCTAAAACTACATAGAAACATGTGTCTGATGATAATAACAGGACGGTGGTACTCATTAAATAATCTCATTAAATAATCAAGGTTTTGATATTCAACTATGTTTGGCGTAACATAGTTTTCGGAAAATTTTGAAACTTGGGCAATGATAGGATGCAAACTAATTTCAATAACTCTCGAGATTTTGAAAATTAAAAACACGAGACATCGAATAACGTCGAAGAATCACGTTGAGGAAATTTTACTTTTGAATCTACCATCTTATATTATTATCATTGATCACATCGTATGTGAGGATGAAAGCACTTACCTGCTGCGCCTACATGCAAAAGGCGGCATTTTCGCGGGGTCGGGATTGTAATGCGTAAAAAGAGAGGAGAAAAGTCAGCGTGTACTCACCCTCAGGTGTTTGTTGACAGGCGCTGAACGGATTTCCGGTGTACCCGGCGATGCACGCGCAAACCGCATGATGATTCACTACCGAACACTGAGCATTCAGACCGCACAAACCGACACATGGATCGCGACATTTTTGCTGCATACATGCTAACTGCGGCGGACACTCCGGGTTAATCGTGCACTCCGGCCTGCAATTCGGCGGCAGGCCAACGTAATTCTCGATGCACGAACACGCGGGACTATCACCCCTCACTTGACATTCCGCGTTGGGACCACAAGGCGACGGTTGGCACGGATTCGTCGGCACTGGCGGTGTTTCTGCAGACGTATGGTTAATAAGTGTGCGATCTTGCATTTAGTGAGAATAAAAATAACATTTAGTAGAATAAAATTTAGTGACTATATAGAGAAACAGCTTTCCTTGTTAAGAATACAGAAATTAAAAAGGACGAATCTTAAACAATATAAAACAATGTAAACTTTTCCCTACCAATTTGCGCTGTTTCTTTTCCCTTGAATTTTATAGATTGTATGTAGTTAATAAATTTTATCTTAAAATATTGATTTCACTATTGTTGTGAAAAGGAGAATACACAGAACTTACTCGGTTGCGGATAACATATGGTGAAGGGATCGCCCGTGTAAGACTCAGCACAACTGCATATTGGATTGTGATTGACTACTTGGCAATTAGTGTTCTGTCCGCAGGTGCCTGGACACGGATCTTGACATTTGTTATTCAGACATGCTTGTGTCAATGGGCAGTCCGCACTGACGACGCATTCTGGCTTGCAGGCGGGTGGACTACCGACTAAGCCAGGCTGGCAGGAACAGACAGCATGATCGTTTACAACTTTGCAGACGCTGTTTGGCCCACAAGGCGAAGGTGTACAAGGTTGCTTGATACTGTCTGCAATTAAAACGCAATTGACATTCAATGCAAGCAATATTGATCGTTGATTACCAATGCCAAACTAGATATTGGAAAAAAAAGTAATTGAGAATACAAATGAAAATAATACTTTTAAACTCACCATCCGGTATGAATGATCGGCACAGAAGGAACGGATTTCCAGTATAACCGGCTGGACAGCTGCACATTGGTACATGATTGACCACGTCGCAACGCGCATCACGACCACACGTGCCTGGGCAAGGATCCACGCAGTTCTGATTGATGCATGTTTTGATGCGAGGACAATCAGAATTCATTGTGCATTCCGGCCTACAATACGAATATGGGTCTCCGAAATAATTAGAAAGGCACGTGCATACGCCTTCGTTACAGACAGCGTTAGGTCCACAAGGTGACGGATTGCAGAGATCCTCGGGAACCTTTGGTTGTTCTGTAATAACGATTTCACATATAATACGAGTTCATACATAATAAATAATTTTCTATTATTTTAAGATAAAATGATCATATAATTTAAAATATTTTAATTTCTACTGTAATAAATAAATAGCTAAATGAAGAATTCATTAAAGAGCTAATGGTCATTTAACTTTGACATTTTCTTTCTTTAATCATCTAATATGACATTAAAAGGTTGAATTAGTTCTGGTCTCTAGCAGTAGATGGCTTTAGTAACAAGTCAACAGTTAGGACAAATGTTGAAATCTGGCAACACTAAAATATTTGACATTTCTTTGATATGATAGTTAGCGCGCTATTATTACTGATAATGTCATTGTTTATATGCGTCTGTACGTAAAATGTCTGTAAAATGAATCGTACAAAATTATATTTTCGACTTTCATTATTTTTTTTTTATTTGAAAAAATCGGCAACTGAAGCTCATGAAATGCTTGTTACAACTTATAGTGATCAAGTTCTATCGTATTCCAACTGTAAATTTTGGTTTCAACGATTCAAAAGTACTGGTTAACTAAAAAAAATTCGAAGATTCTGAATTACAAGCATTACTGAATGAAAACACTGCTCAAACGGAAAAACAATTAGCTGAATAACTCAACGTTGATTAATCAACAATTTCTAAACGTCTACACGCTATGGGAAAAATTCAAAAGGAAGAAAAATGCGTCTCACATAAATTGAGTGAAAGTGCCATTGCAAGGTGTTTGTATATCGCCATGTCTATACTTGCCAGACAGAAAAAAGAGTTTTTTGTAGATTGTAAATTGTAGAGACGAAAAGTGGATTTATTTTGATAATCCAAAGCGCAAAAAATTATGGATTGATTCAGGAAAACCATCAACATCGACACCAAAATGGAACATTTACAGTTACAAAGCAATGCTCTGTATTTGGTGAGATATGGAAGGTGTGGTGTGCTAGGAGTTTCTAAAACCGAATAAAACAGTTACGGGGGAGCGATATCAGCAATAAATTGAATAATGAATTGTTGCAAGAAAGGCCAGCGATAGTCAGCAATAAACGCAAAATGATTCTTTTACATGATAATACTCGTCCACACGTTGCTTCAATCATTAAACAAACATTGTTAGAGCTCGAATGGTAAATCTTCTCACATCCAGCGTACTCTCCAGACTTAGCACTATCTGATTACCATCTATTCCGATCAATGCAACACGCTTTGACAGATATACATTTCAATAATTACGAGAATGTGCAAGAAAGGGTATCAGATTGGATTGCTTCGGAAGACAGATCGTTCTATCGTCACAGAATCGCTATGTTGCCAGAAAGATGAGAAAAAGTCACAGCTAACGACGGGAAATATTTTAATTAATGTAAATTTAACAATTTCTTTAAAATAAAAATAAAAAATTGTCAAAATAAGACCAGAATTAATTCAACCTCCTAATAATTATTAATTCACAAATATTACTGATAGAAGATCATTATGTTTAAAATACAATACAAATAGAATTATTCTGAGAAATTTGATAAAAATACGCACCTATGATTAATGTACACAACGTGAAAGGATCGCCAGAGTATCCAGGTTGACATAAGCAGACTGGTATATGATTCTGAACGCGGCAATCGGCATTTTGGCCGCAGGAACCGATGCAAGGATCTCGACACTTCTCTGAGATGCAGGCTTGATCCGACGGACAATCTGTATTGACCACACATTCCGCACGGCAATTCGGTGGTAGGCCTATGTAGTTCTTCAAGCAGCTGCACGCGGCTTGGCCATTGACGACTTTGCACTCCGCGTAAAGTCCACACGGACTGGGAAAGCAGGGGTCCGCCGGTGGCATTGGCACAACTGCAAAATATAATAATAATTTACAAGTCGAAATAAAAATAATTGCGTAAATTTTTCTAATTTTTCATTTGAATTAATTACCTGGTTCAGGGAAACATCTGGAGAAGGGATCGCCTGTCTTCCCTTGCGGGCAGCTGCAAAGAGGATTGTGATTGATGACGCGACAATTGGCTTCCACGCCGCAAGTGCCCGGGCATGGATCCGTGCATTTGTACTTGTAGCACGCTCTGTTTTGTGGACACTCCGAGTTGACGACGCATTCCGGCTTACAATTCGGTGGAGTACCCGCGAAGGACTCCTGACACGTGCACACGGCTTGATTGTTCACTGCGCGGCATAGGCTATTCGGTCCACAAGGTGTCGGCGAGCATGGGTCGCGGACAGTCGGCTCCGTTTCCACTTCCGGTTGAAGGGTGCAAATAGTGAACGGATCTCCGATATAACCAGGCTCGCAGGTGCACGTGGGGATGTGATTAATGACCGAACACTGCGCACGAACGCCGCACACGCCCGGACAAGGATCCTTGCACTTGTTACGTACGCAGGCTTTGTTTGTCGGACAATCCGCGCTGAGAACGCACTCGGGTTGACAGCCTTCATAAGGATTGCCGTGGTAATCGTCGATGCAGATACAGGCACCCGCGTTATCCCGTTGCTGACATATCGCATTGGCTCCGCATGGCGAAGGCTCGCAGGGATTGATCGTTTCCTCTGCAAAAAGAAACATTCGGTCAAGTAAGATAAAAAAAGTTAAACGAAGATAAAATATAAAGATAAAAAAATAAAGAAAAAATAGAATTGAAAAAATAAAAATAAAATGAAAAAAAATAGAGATATAAAAATAAAGAGAAAATGGAGATAGGAAAAAATAAAGATGAAAAGTAATTCATTGTGGAGAAAGCAAAATATTTCAAGATTAACTTAAAGAACGATAACAAGTAACACACGTACCTTCCAGCACGCATTGCACAAACGGATTGCCCGTGTATCCGATCTTGCAGGAACAAGTGACTGCGTGATTCACCACCTTGCACTCTGCGTTGTCACCGCAGGATCCTGGGCAGGGATCCTTGCACTTCATGTTTATGCAGGATTTTTCCGGAGGGCAATCAGGGTTGATTAAGCATTCGGGCCGACACGCTGGCGGAGTGCCGATATACGTGGGTAGACACGAACACGATGGTTGTCCGTTTGCGTTCTGACATTGAGCGTTTGGCCCGCACGGTGAAGGATTGCAAGGATCACCCTGATCTTTCGGCTCTGGCGGTACTGAAACATCCAGATTTGATCATTTAAAAATACATCTCTTTTCCACTCATTATAATTTTCAACGATTATGCTAATAGTGCGCTAGTGCTAACTAACGTTTCTGAATTTGACATTAAAATTATATGAAACTTCGAACATCAATTAATCCTTTGTATAGCAATAATAAGTATACTTACTACCTTTTTCTTTTTCATTTTTATGATGTACAGTTTAATAAGTGAAATAAGTATGATCTCACATTTTTCTATATTAACACTCACTTTATATGTTTCTCATGGATTTATATCTGATTGTTCATTTCTAATTATTTATAAACAAATAAAGAATTTTGCAATCTGACTTCAGATTTGTAATCAGCAATTCAAAAGAACATAGATATGTAAAATTTTACAAAAATCCGTCAGATAGAAAATATGTTTACACAAAGGATTAATTAATATTACCGACATTGATGTTACAATTTTCTTTATGATTATATGTTAGATTCCTCTTACTTGGCATGTCGTAACAACTCTTGAACGGATCTCCAGTCTGTCCAGGTAAGCAGCTGCATATTGGCGAATGGTTGATCACTTCGCACCTTGCGTTCAGGCCGCAGGAGCCCAAGCATGGATCCGTGCACTTTTTATTGACGCAGGCTCTCGTCGGTGGACACTCAGAGCTAACGAGACATTCCGGTCTGCAGGACGGTGGAGAGCCGAGATATCCGCGGAGGCAAGAGCATACGGCGTGATCCTCGATATTGCGACATTGACTGTTCGGTCCGCAAGGCGAAGGTGTACATGGATCCCTCTGAGGTAGTGGCACTGCGACACACGTGAGACAAAAATTAATTTTGCGATCAAAACAATGCGATTTTAAAATTATTCATAACGACAATACCAAACAAAGCAATTTCAAGGAACGTCTGGAGAATGCTCTTGCATACCTGTAGGCTGCACGCGACAGCTGACGAAAGGATCACCTACGTATCCAGATGGACAGGAACAGACGGGAATATGGTTCACTACATCGCATTGCGCGTTTTGACCGCAAATTCCGGGGCAAGGATCTTGGCATTTGTTCTTCAGGCATGTTTTGTCGCGAGGACACTCAGAGTTCAGAATGCATTCCGGACGGCAGGCCTCGTAGGGGTTGCCGATATATTCGGGCAGACATCTACATTCACCATTGTCGCATATTGCGTTCGGGCCGCAAGGAGATTGAGCGCAAGGATCGGTGGACGGTGCTATTGTGACTAAAAGAGAAAATAAATATTACAGATGCAAATGCTGCAATTCAAATATTGTAACCGAAATATTATAATTGAAACAAAATTAAATGAGCAATTAATCATACTTTATGAAAAAAAAACCCTCAATTTTTAGTGTTGACACTCAAGAAACGCTTAACTTTGGGTGTTAAACACCGATAAAAAGCGCTCAACTTTGAGTGTTATACATCGAATAAACGCTCAATTTTGAGTGTTATACACCGAAAAAATACTCAAATTAGCTGTAATTTCGGATCAGCAATTGAAGGTTACACCCAAATGAGAGTTAACGCTCAACGGAAACCCTCAAAATAACACCCAAGAAAACTAAAAATAACACCCAAATAAAACCCTGAAAAGGAATCCCTGAAATTAAATGCACTAAATTTTGCAATAGACAGCACTACACACAAATGAAAGCATATGTTCGTGAAATCTTTGTTTATTTGTTGTTTTCACTTAAGAACTTAAAAATAAGCTATTGATCGAATAAATAAATAGGCTAAATATACTTTCATTTAATTGTATATATATTCATTTTGATGGTGTTCGTTTTCAGTGTAATTGTAGAGTTAACCATCAACTGTAATACTCGAATGAGGTGTAATACTTGAATGAGGGTATATACCGGGTGTTTCAGATCATCCGGGTCACCCGATTTCTTCGTTAACGCGACATTTTAGAGAAAAATATTTCAGACAAAGTTATAGGGCCTCAAAGGATCTATTTACTGACGCTATGAATTTAACCTTGGGATAACCTTGAAAAGTTCAGTCAAGATCAACATAAAAATCTTAAAAGGATATCCCAATTTTTTATTACATCATCTTTTTCTAGCAATTAATTTGAATAACTTTTGTTTGAAACATTTTTTTATTTACCTAATATATTTTGAGATATTTAAGGAAAACTTGATAACTTTTTCAATATTTAATTCACGATATCTCGCTAACTATTTGTCAGAAGAAAAAGTGACTAGACTATTTTACTCTATTTAGTCTCAAGAATATATTGTTCCAATAGCGCCCTGACTTTTATTAACTTGCTAACTGATTTTTGGAAATTTCAAAATTATCAAATTAACCAAATTCAGTGCACTATTGTAACAATATATTCTTAAGACTAAATAGAGCAAAAAAGTCTAGTACCACTTTTTCCTCTGACAAATAGTTAGCGAGATATCGTGAGTTAAATATTGAAGAAGTTATCAAGTTTTCCTTCAATGTTTCCTTCAATGTCTCAAAAAATATTAGGTAAATAAAAAAATATTTCAGACAAAAGTTGTTCAAATTAACTGCTAAAAAAGGATAATGTAATAAAAATTTGGGTATCCATTTAAGATTTTTATATTGATCTTGACTGGACTTTTCAAGGTTAGCCCAAGGTCAAATTCATAGCGTCAGTAAATAGATCCTTCGAAATCCTACAACTTTTGTCTGAAATATTTTTCTCTAAAATGTCGCGTTAACGAAGAAATCGGGTGACCCGGATGGTCTGAAACACCTGGTATACACCCATTGCGCAAATAGTAAACATTAGGTATTAAATACATATGTTTAATGTCCTACTCAAAAACTATGACATTAAACATATATGTTATGTATTTAATACCTAACGTTTTTACTATTTGCAGAGTGAGTATATATATAGTGTATATCTTTATTCGAGTATTACACCCAATTGATGGAACACCATCAAAATGAATGTGTAACAGTCAAATGAAAGTATATTTAGTCTATTTAGTTATTCAATTAATACCTCATTTACAAGTTATTAAATGAGAATACAATGAATAAACAAGGATTTCACGAAAACATACTTTCATTTATATATATTGTCGTCCACTGCAAACTTGAAATATTCTGAAAAATGAAGAATAAAAGACTAATTACTAAACATTATATTTTATTCAAAATATAGATTTCTTGACCACTGGCACGCGCGCACTATTGCACCATTGACGCTCTAACTGACACACACTATTAAATATCTATATTAAACTAACACTGAATATTAATGGTCATACTTAACCGACACTCAATACTGATGCCCAATGCTTAACTACTCAATATTCAGTGTCTACACCAATAATATACCGAATATTGATGGTTACACCCAACCGACACCCAATATTGAGTGTCTACACCAAGATAATAACGAATATTGATGGTTACATCCAATTGACACTCAATATTGAGAATCTACATCAAAGTTACACCGAAAATTTGATAATCACACCCAACCAACACTCAACATTGATGCTCAACACTCAACTAACACTGAATGTTGACGGTTAACACTTAACTTTCATGGTAAACACCCAAATTTCAGTGTTTACACCCAAAATTGAGGATTTTTTTTCATAAGGGTATTCCTCTAAAGCAAGCGTTATAACAGAGAAATAAAAATCTAGAAATTAAATTCATTCATATAATTCAAGTATCTAAGATATGGTGGTTTTATGATATGTTTCATTTACCTGTCGGGATAACGCTGCACTGCGTGAACGGATCTCCCGTGAAGCCTTCCATGCATGTACAGACCGGCAAATGATTCAGCACGTGGCATTGAGCATTTACTCCGCACGAACCCGGACATGGATCTGCACATCTCTGATTGACACATGCCAGATGACTCTTACACTCGGAGCTTAAGATACACTCTGGTCTACACTGCGGCGGCATGCCGATATAATTTGGCAGGCAAGAACACGCAGGATTGCCGGATATTATTTGGCATAAAGAATTCGGACCGCAAGGCGATGGAGTGCAAGACGGTGGTCGTTCCGTTATCGGTAAGTCTTCTGGAACTGATAAGCGAATATTTTTTATGCCCATATAGAGAAACGAGAAATTCACGTAATTAAAAAAATTCCGTTATTCTCGTAAAATAATATTTTTCAGATATTAACAGACGCAAAAAACGCAAAAGGTTAAGAAGCAGTTCTTAATTTATTCTAAAGAGTTATTACTTATTAATGTTAATATATATAAAATATAATATAATTCAAAATAGGATATATGTATTATGCTTACTGTGTGGCGAACACAGGGTGAAAGGATCGCCCGTGAAACCGGATGGGCAAGTGCAGATCGGGTTGTGATTCTTCGTAGTGCATTGCGCTCTGAGTCCACAGGTATTCGGACAAGGATCCGCGCATTTCTTGTTCACACATGCCAAATGCGGTGGACACTCTGCGTTAACAATACATTCTGGTCTGCATGATGGTGGAATACCCCTGTACTCTGGTAGACAAGTGCACACAGCTTGACCATTGACTACTCGGCATTTACTGTTGGGTCCACAAGGCGACGGGGTACATGGTTCCGCTTGTTCTGAAAAGAAAGATAATATTTGCAAATTATCAGTTATAGATAAAATATTTATAAACAAAACGCATGTGAAAGTTATCATTGTTATCAACATGATTTCCTTCGATAGTTCTAACAATAGTAAGAAATATTAACATCAATAGTAATAAAAATGACTGTATTATACAGTGGCTCAAATGTTAATATCATTTTCATTGTGTAATTAATCCTACAATGACACTCACGTTTGACCTCCACAATTTCACAGGCGAAGTAAGGATCTCCCGTGTATCCTGGCGGGCACAGGCAAACAGGAACGTGCGCTTGCACGTTACATATGGACAATGTTCCACATGTGTTGGGACAAGGATCTGTGCACTTGAAGCCGACGCATCCCAGTTGCGGTGCACAGTCGTTATTCGTTTCACATTCCCTGTGACATCCCTTGATAATGTCGTAAGGATCACCTATCAGATCCGGCGGACATCCACAAGCGCCAGCTCCGTTTCTTTCGCGACATTGTGCATTCGGTCCGCAAGGATTTGGCGAGCATGGATTCGGGATGGACTTGTCTGTCGCTGTAAACAAATAACACGAAAAAAAGATATATTAATATACAAACATGGAAACGTAGAAATATAAAAATAATAATAATAATAACATATGTGATAATAATCGTACAACATAATAATATATATAATCGTAGAGATGATAATAATAATATCTAACAAACACAGAATATCAAATTTCTGTCGTTAATAACTCGATAATTATCGTGAATATCGCAAGACAGAACAGGATGTTTATATTTATCTTAACATGCTCTATGTGTCTACAAGTAAAAGTCGTCCTGGGACACCCTGTATAATATAATAAGTAATATAATTGATATTATAAAATTTTTTCTTCCGGTATGATGATTGCTTAAATCACTGTGCCTTCGGTCCACCTCGAAGTATATTCCGTTATACAGGCTGTCCCATTTTATTTTAGATCCACTCAAATATCTCAGAAACACTGCGTTAAATTAAAAAATGTTCCAGACAAACGTTGTATGGTTTTAAAAGAGACATATAACAACTATATCATTTTGTGTACAAGTAGTGCCACTTTCGAGATATTCACTAATCATTACTTTTCTTAAATAGAAACAGTTTTTTATTATATCACTTTTCTACCAATTAATTTGAACAACTTTTGTCTGAAATATTTTTTATTTGCTTAATATTTTTGGAAATATTTAAGGAAAACTTGGTGACTTTTTCAATGTTTAACTTACGATATTTCGCTAACTGTTTGACGGAAAAAGAAATGGTACTATACTTTTTTACTTTATTTGATTTCAAGAATATATTGTTACAATAGCGCCCTGACTTTTGTTAATTTGATAATTTTGAAATTTCCAAAGGTTAATAAATTAACAAAAATTAGGATACTATTATAGCAGTATATTATTGAAATTAAATAAAGTAAAAAAGTTTAGTACTATTTTTTCCTTCGACAAATAGTTAGCGAGATATCGTGAGTTAAATATTGAAAAAGTTATCTTTAAATTTTCTTTAAATGTTTCAAAAAATATTAAGCAAATAAAAAAATTTCAGACGAAAGTTGTTAAAATTAATTGGTAGAAAAAATGATATAATAAAAAATTGGGATTTTTTATTTAAGAAAAGTAATAATCAATGAATATCTGGAAAGTAGCGTCATCTGTAAATAAAACGATAGTTGTTTTATGTCCTCTTTGAAACCATACAACTTTTGTCTGAAGCGTTTTTTAATATCTTCCATATTTTTCAAGATTTTTGTCTGGCTCATTTAAAACGGGACATTCTGTATAATGTTGAGGTTATTTTCCTTTTATAATATCAATATAAAATTGTTTTAAAATTGTTATATTGCTTTGTTATATACTGGTTATTGTAGTATGACAACAATATAACTTAATATAGACCGATGTTGGTTTGTTCTTTAGATAGTGTCTGTTTCTCGTACGTAAAAAATGATGCATTAACGCATATAAGAACGGTGCGGACACGGTATATTACAGAATATTATAACAGTTTTGAAATATGGTTATGTTAAAATTGTAAAGGAAAATCATGTAACCTCTAAATTAATAAATAACGTATAACTAATAATAACGTATAACTATTTTTACTTCCATGTTATACAGGGTGTTCCACTTTAACATAGATACCAAAATATTTCGGAAACAATATATTTTCGAACAAATGTTTCAAATAAAAGTTGTAAGGTTTTGAAGGGGCTTTCGGATGAGCTATTTAGATTTTGGATCCGAAACCCATTTTGGACCCACTAAGGCCCAGGTTGATTTTTTCTGTGGAAATACCTATCTTTTATTGCAAATTAATATTTTATGGAAAAAATAAGGAGATTTTGTTTCGTGTAATTCTTCGCTAAACCTCCTCCAACAGGCACATTAATAGTGCTAAAACCTCTTATTTTGAAACACGTTCCGGTTAATGAAGGCAAGACCAATAGATAATGTATCCTTGAGAGAAACATCAGGGGATTCTAAAAGATAATTTCATTTCTTCATCGTCAATAGCACTCATTATTAATATGCAAATGTATAAATCTTGCCTTTAATGGTCGGAATGTTTCAAAATAAAAACTTTATTTTTATGCCTGTTAAAGGAAGTTTAGCGAAAAATTATATAGAACAAAATGTCTTTATTTTTTCGATAGAATATGAATCTGCAATAACAGATAGATAAGTGTCTCCATCGAAAAAAATCAACCTGGTCCTTAGTAAACCCAAAGTGAAGCCCCGGATCCAAAAAATCTAGATAATTGATCTGAGGGTTCGCTTCAAATTCTACAACTTTTATTTGAAACATTTTTTTTTTAAATGCATTATTTTCGAGATATTTCGGTGTCTAAGTTAGAACCTGTATAATAAGTATGATATATTCTGTGTTTGCTAAGGATATGATAATAAAGATAATAGTATTTTTCAACGGAGATATATTTATAGAGAATTACCTCTTACGACTTCATTAAACACGCAATCTCGATACAATTTCAAAATAAAAAAAGATCTAAGGCAAATATAAATCTCGAAAATGCGGTTGAAAAATATTTTACTCACCTGGCGGTGGCGCGAGATCGCAGCGCACGGTGGCGTCACCCTCGTAGCCCTCCGGACAAGTGCAAATCGGATTGTGGTTTTGCACGGTGCATCTGGCGAGGTCGCCGCAAGTGCCTGGACAAGGATTCTTGCATCTCTGGTTGATGCATGCAGCAGTGCTGAGGCACTCCGAGTTGTCGGTACATTCAGGCCTGCAATTTGGCGGCCGGCCAATATAATTCAGCAGGCAAGAGCAGGCGGGATGCAAGCCAATAACCTTGCACTGCGAGTTCGGACCACATGGATTCGGCGAGCACGGGTCTCCATCGCCCTTCGGCAATGGCGGCACGGTGCTGATCTTGAAACAGTGCACGAACGGATCGCCGGCGTAGCCGTTAGCGCAGCTACAGATGGGATTGTGGTTAACCGTGAGGCAATTGGTGTTCTGCCCGCAAGAACCTGGACACGGGTCCGCACACTTGTTGTCGATGCACGCTTTGTTCTGCGGGCACTCAGAGCTGACAATACAACCAGGTCGGCAGGTTGGAGGGATTCCGGAGAATCCTGGCTGGCACAAACACACCGCGTGTCCGTTCTGCGTCCGGCAATTGCTGTTAGGTCCGCACGGCGACGGGTCACAGGGATCTATTGGCGGCGGCAATGGTGTCACATCCATTACCGTGCAACCGTTCACCGGGTCGCCGGTGTAACCCGGCAAGCAGGAGCATGACGGGGCGTGATTGACGACGCGGCATGTGGCACCCTGGCCACAGGTTCCGGGACATGGATTCACACATTTGTTGTTTAAGCAGGCTTTACTGCGGTCACAGTCGGCATTGGTCACACACTCGGGCCTACAGGCAATGTACGGGTCGCCGAAGTATTGCGGTAGGCACGTGCAAGATCCGACGCCATTCCGCTCGTTGCACACGGCATTAGCGCCGCATGGTGACGGGTTGCACGGTGTGGTATACCGCACCGTTGTGATAGGTTCTGAAAAAATTTCATCATAGATAGATATATTATTAGAGAGATAATTCTGCTACTGAATAATAACGAATGTTAAATATTAATAAAAATAAGAAGACTAGAAAATTATTATGTAATAATGGAAATATAAAAAGTTTAGCGAGATGGATAACCGAAGAATACAAAGTACTGAGAAAAATAACGTATACGTCATTATGATGCATGTAACGTTTTGCGAAATTTAAATCGTGAGAGAAACGTGCCATCCATGATGAGTGTGCATTCCGTGAAGGGATTGCCCGTGTAACCCTCGTTGCAGATACAAACAGGGTTGTGCTTCACGACGTTACAGTTGGTGTTCACGCCGCAAGAGCCTGGACACGGATCGACGCACTGTTCGTTCTGACACGCCAAGTTGCCAGGACATCCTTCGTTTATAACACATTCGGGACGACAATTCGGCGCACGGCCCACGTAATTCGGCAGACAAGAGCACGCCGGGAAGCCGTCGATCACTCGACACTGGGAGTTCGGGCCACAAGGCGATGGAACACACGGATTGCCACTCGGTTTCGGTGTCGATGTTACCTCTACTGCAAACGAATTGACACATTGATGTTCGAAAACGATATTTCTGTTACATTAAGCAATACATTTTGAACTACATATTTATCATAAACAAATTGGTGTGATTAAATTACAAGAATTACAAGAATTTTAATTACATTTGAATTTACCACAAACACAAATTAATATGATATAAATAATATTCTTTTTATCATGAAATTAAATAGAAAATTATAAAAGTATCTCATGCAAAATTCAGTATTTCATTCGAAAACTCGAATAATTAGTGACTACAATTATTAAGAAATGTATAATACATTTGAATAGCCAGGCTATTGGAAGGACGCAAAAATTCTGCAACTAAGGAAGAAGCTTCAAGACTTGCCTTCTTTAACACAACCGAAGAACGGGTCGCCGCTGTACCCAATCGCGCAAATGCAAACTGGATTATGATTGATCACCCGGCATTCCGCATTCACGCCGCACGTGCCAGGACACGGATCCTTGCATCTCTGATTGATGCAGGCCGCGTTCGCGCCACAATCTGTGCTGACTACGCATTCCGGCCGACAAGACGGCGGGCTGCCGATATAATTAGGCTGGCAAGAGCAGACCGCGTGATTATCGATAACACGGCAGTTGCTATACGGCCCACAGGGGGACGGTTGGCACGTATTATCTGGCACTGGAGGTTCTGAAAGAGAAGATTAATCGTTTTACAACGTATGTTCTGCAAAAATGTGATTGCTCACGGCAGCAACGTTGCTAGCATACATACCTATCGGCACGTGACAAGATTTAAGCGGGTCCCCAGTGTGGCCGAAGAGGCAACTACATGACGGCTGGTGATTATAAACCTGGCACTGCGCGTTGATCCCGCACGCTCCAATGCATGGATCCTTGCACTTGTTGTTGATGCAGGCTTTCGTGTGAGCGCAATCCGAATTCTGTACACATTCCGGCCGGCAACCTTCGTATGGGTCGCCAGTGTAGTCGGGCAAGCAAGTGCAAGAGCCCGCTCCATTGCGCTCTTTGCACACGGCATTCGCGCCACACGGCGATGGATCGCACGGCATTTGCACCGGGAACACTACTGTACAGTAAAAATGTCGTTTAGGACATGTGAATCAAAAGGTGACGAGATATCTATAAAACAACATTCCGGCAAATTTATTTAAAGAATATCTCCAACAGGGTGAGCTAAAATTTTACCTTTAGCACAGCCTGAGAAAGGATCTCCCTCGTAACCGTCGTAACAATGGCACATAGGTCGGTGATTTTGCACTGTACAATTTGTGTTGAATCCACAGGATCCGATGCACGGATCCAGACATTTCTTCTGAATACATGCTAAGGAACTGGCACAGTCTTGATCGATCACACACTCCGGTCTGCAGTTTGGCGGTGCCCCGAACATGCCGCTAATACATGTACATATAGGGTGGTCCTCTTGAACACGGCAGTCCGCGTTCGGCCCGCAAGGCGATGGCAAGCAAGGATTCGTGGTCGGAGGTAAAGGTTCTGAAAACAACATAATCTGGTATTAGAAATTTTTGGAAAAATTGCTTTTCCATAAAAAAAACGTCTAATTATAGTATATGTGTTGTTGCTTTAATTTTTATCTTATTTTTAATTGCGTATTTTCGAGAGTATATTATCAACATTAAGCTATCAAATATGATAGATAAATTGATTACCTTCCTTGACGCATTGCGTGAACGGATCACCGACGTATTGACGAGGACAACTACAAATAGGATTGTGATTGAGGACCTGGCAATGAGCATTCAAACCGCACAAGCCCGGGCAAGGGTCGTTACACTTTTGATTGATACAAGCCAAATGAGTCGGACATTCCGTGCTGACGAGACACTCAGGACGGCAATGCGGAGGTGTGCCTTGATAACCAGGACTGCAGGAGCACACCGCACGGTCGTTCATTACACGGCAGATACTGTGTGGTCCGCATGGCGATGGCATACATGAATTTTGATCTGGCACTACTATAAAAAAATATATAATCAAATTAAATTCTTGAAGTATCGCTACGTTGTAATATGATTTCCATAGAAATCTGCCTTTTTATGTCATAATTGTGCACATGTGTACTTCAGTAAACAATAAATTAAAAGTAACATTACATCAATGTTATAATATCTTACTCAACAATGTAAGTGCAATATAATTAATTAATATATAGGGTATCACAGATCACCTGTACCATCCAATTGTTTGTAAACACGACATTTTAGGGAGAAATGTTTCAGACAAAAGTTGTATGGTTTCAAAAGGGACATAACACAACTATATCATTTTGTTTAAAAATGGCACCACTTTCAAGATATTCACTGAATATTACTTTTCTTAAACAGAAACTCCAATTTCTTATTATATCATCTTTTTCCAATTAATTAATTTACGCCCTGTAATATAATAGCGTCCTGACTTCTATTAATTTGATGATTTTGAAATTTCCAAAAGTCGATAAGTTAACAAAAATTAGGGCACTATAGTAACAATATATTCTTGAGATAAAATATAGTAAAAAGTCTAGTATTATTTTTATTCCTGACAAATAGTTAGCGAGATATCGTAAGTTAAATATTGAAAAAGTTCCCAAGTTTTCCTTAAACATCTCAAAAAATATTAGGCAAATGAAAAAATGTTTCAGACAAAAGTTGTTCAAATTAATTGGTGGAAAAGGATAATATAATAAAAAATTGGGATTTTCATTTAAGAAAAATAATGATCAGTAAATATATCGAAAGTAGCACCATCTGCAAACGAAATGATATAGTTGTTATATGTCCCTTTTGAAACCATACATACTTTTGTCAGAAACACTTTTCTCTAAAATGTCGCGTTTACAAAAAAATCGGGTGCTGCGGGTAGTCTATGACACCCTGTATAACATATGTCGTATGTAACAATTACATATGACGAATTATTGAGTGTGAAATTATAATATTGGTGTAATGTTATTGTTAGTTGATGTTTGCTGAGACATTTTAGGACGTTAAAGGAACATTCGAGAAATCAAATATAAAAATATTACAAAAATTCAGAATTTAAAAATTGTATTCGTCTTCAAAGAGCTGTACTTAACCATTTATGGAAATTTCAAAAGCTTGTCAATTGTTTGATGTATTTTATAAAACACACTTTGTATAAAGTGCATCCCAGTAAAATCCAAGTAATAATAACATAATATTAATATTATAATTTCCCATTCAATGAAATAATATACGCGTTATATGACAGTTATATTATTGAGTGGAAAATTGTAATTTTTCTTTACTGGGATCAAACAAAATTAATATAGACTGAGAGGAATATTCACGTACAAGGTTTTTCTACTTTGCAAGATCTGAACGGGTCGCCAGTATATCCTGGTAAGCAGGAACACATTGGAAGGTGATCGACGACCTCGCAACGTGCATTAGCGCCGCATACGCCTGGGCATGGGTCTTTACAGTGCTGATTGAAACAGGCTAAATGATTCTCGCAGTCACGACTAACAATACATTCAGCCTCGCAGCCGTCCACATAGGGATTGCCGACGAATGGCGGTACGCATGTGCATTTAGCCACGCCATCAAACGAGGTGCAAATAGCATTTTTGCCACAGGGTGCCAATAAGCAGGGATCGTACGTTTCAGATGGTCGTACTGCAATTAATAAAATATCGTTGTTATTCATCATCGATCCTCTTAATTATTACTATTGCTCACAACATTCATTATGAGAAGAGTTAATATAGAAAATAAAATATAAGATAAAGTACTCTAACTAAATATTAAATTAAAACAATCATAACAACATTATAAAAAATTATTAAAAAATCGTAAATTATAAAAATATTAAGATATATGTTAAGAGATTAAAAATTAATCAAAATATAAAAGGTGTCTAATGATAACATATAAAGATAATATAATAGATTAAGTCAAACTGAACGAAAAATTTCTTTACTATTTTGCGAACAACTAAGGTAAACGTACCGAATTACGCCACTAACCCGAATTACGTCACTTTAGCTTATTCTATTTGCGTAATAAAATAGCTGAGTAAAAGTATTTAAAAATTGTCAGAAAACAGTCATAATAATGTATCAAATGACTCCGCTAAAGTAAGTATTCGAAAATATAATGTGGTTTTCCATAAAAGGCAATTTCACACAAAAACCTATGTCAAAGATCTGTCACTTTCGACTTTTGTCGATTGAATTTGTTTCTAAATGATTACTAACCTATGAAGTGACATTGTACCCTATAATGTGATAAAATAAAATATTCTTGGGTAGTAATATAAAGTGTTTTAATTTTAAACGATTAAAATATAAGATGATAAAAAGGTAAAATATTATAAAGTTATATGGTTTTTATATAATATAACATGGGTGACAGATTTATGTACACGCAAAAAGTACCATGTACATAAAATCGCCATGGATATATAATAGTATGTTTAATTATTTATAAAATTAATAACTATAAATAGTGTAGATAGTAGATAGTAGATAGCAGATAGATAATAAATAGTAGTCTCCCATTAATTAATTCCGAACTTCATAATAGAAAAGTTACATATGAATAAATTAAGTTCATTTATTAGCATTTACGATTATGTGAAAATTTATAATTAAATTGATATTCTATGAAAACATTATATATTTATTACAATATAATGCTTTCACAGATGAATGACATCAAAGGACTTGCACAGCAGCAAGAGAAATAACAAATAGTAGAAGAGAAAAGTTGCTTCGAAAGAGATTGCGTGATGAAAAAAATAAGGGAAACATTAAATCAATAAAAAGAAACAAAAGGACGAATTCAAATTAAATTTAAATGTTTAATTTCTCGTATAGATAGTTCAAAAAGTTATTTTTCTGATAAACTAAAATGTAACATTAATCTATAAAGAATTATATTAAATTAATAAAAGTGTTTGAATAAATAACAGATGTAAAAATTTCATTTTTTTCATTAAAAATATAACTATTTATGCTGAAAACAGGTAGGATAGAGTGACGTCATTTGGTACATAATTAATGGTGTAAATTGGGACATTCTACAATTTTAGTGGGCATTATTCGGGACATTTGCAGTTCACACTTAATTTTTTTATATAAATAAATAATTTTTATTTCTAATTTATTTCTAATTTTTATACGTGTTTCCACTAATTCACAATAATAACTTTTAATAAGATTCATAGTCTTACCTCTCTCTAACACCACTTTACTTTTTTAAAAGTAAACTTTCAAAAATTAGTCTTTGGCGCCTAAAGTGGCGTAATTAAGTACGTTTACCTTATGTAAAATTTTGAGTCATTAATTAAAAAAGATTTGTGAATAAATAAATAAACTGCGTGATTTATTAAATAAGCTGTCATGTGTTTGTAGATTATGTCCGAGCGAACAAAAGAATCCTCTGTCATTTTGCAAAAAGAACGTAAAATTTTGAATTATTGATTCAAAAAGTTAGTATATAATCGTGTGCAATCAATCATAAATATTCTTTAATTAATAACATAGAATTTTATGTAGGTTTTTACGAAATGATAAAGAACATTTTTGTTTAGTTTGACTTAATCTATAAACATACAATAATAGACGCTATCATAACTCATTTTATAGATTGTTCAAGCTCATCTACCAGTTTTCTTTAATTAATAATTCAAAATTTTACACGATTGTTCACAAAATGGTAGAAGAGTTTTGACCTAACTTACACAACAACCTTATATGTACCGTCAGATATTCTATATAATAAGAAAAAGAAATAATTACAAACACTAAATAAAATAGTAACATAACTGTTAATTTTAATTTCTCATTTAACAATGTAAATGTAAATATATAACACGTATGTTATATAAAAATTACATTGCTGAATGGGAAATTATAATTAACAGTTATATTACAGTCATTTGATGTTTGTTGGGAAAAAATCATGTTTGAGCAATTTTTAAATTGCTAATTCTAATTTCTAATTTATTTTAATCAATTAGCGAATAAACTATTAACCATAATTACCTCCGCAGCTCTTGTATGGATTTCCGACCATGAGATCCGGACAGTAGCAAGGTGGTACTCTCGTGCTGTTGCATGCTGCCCCAGAGCCACAAGGGTTAGATTCGCATTGATCGGTCTTAGGTACACATCCTCTGATCGTGTTAGGGCTCTCGATGTATCCTGGTAGACAGGTGCATTTCGCGAAACCATTGCTCAACACCGTACAGCGGGTATTAGGGCCGCACGGAGAAGGATCGCAGGAAGTGCTGGGAAGTACGCAAAGAGAAAGTGGCGGGTCTCCTTCGTATCCTGGCAAACAAAAGCATTTCACCTGTCCGCCCACCACTCGGCATCCAGAGTTAATGCCGCAGGGATTGCCTTCGCATTGGTCGCCTTCTGGAACTAACGCGACGATTTATTGGAGGGTTAAAGTCCGTTAATTAATTCCCATTAAATTTTATACACGAGCTGAGACTAATTTAACACTTTGCGGCTCGCGGTGTATGCAGAGTCGTACTCTCATTTGTCTTGATATATCGAAAGCATAATACATACTTAGTCACTCATTTTTCGCTATTTTTCTGATTATGTAAATTATTATGCTTTCGCTTATGTTTTTCACGTTAACAGACAATATACAATCATTTGTATAATATATTGATAAAGTCAACATTGTCAAATCGCGACAGCATAATTCCATCTCAACGGATCGCAAAGTGTTAAGTTTATAACTTGAAACAATTTTTCAATGTATACTAATCTAGATAATTATAAAAAATATATATATTTACTGCATTGTTCGAACGGACTGCCGGTTAAACCTTTCGGGCAAAAACAGACGGGATTTCCATTGTCGTTCTCACACAATGCGTTCAGACCACACGGATTTGGCACGCAAGGATCGGAAGTCAGTATCTCTTGGCAGCCGATATGGGGATTTCCTTGGTATCCTGGCAAACAAATACACTGTGCCTCGCGGTTGGTAGACACACACTTTGCATTTTCTCCGCAATCAAACTCGGCACAAGGATTGATGCACAGTCTGTTGAGTCGATCGCAATATTTGTTTGGTGGACAGTCCTCGTTGTATTGACAAATATTCTTGCCTTCTTCCACTGAAATCGTAGAACATGTTAATACAAATCAATATGAATCTTCATATGAGAAAGTCACTATATATCTTTTATATCTTTTTTATATTTATTATTAAGAGGTTGAATTAGTTCTGGTTCCTAGCAATAGATGACTTTAGTAACAAGTTAATGATTAGTACGAACGTTGAAATCTAGCAACACTGAAAGATTTGACATTTCTCTATGATATATGACAGTTTGTACGCTATTATTACTGATAGTTTCATTGTTTATACGTGTCTAAAATGGATCGTACAAAATTGTATTTTCGATATTTATTATTTTTTTGTTTGATTTGAAAAAATCGGCAACTGAAGTTCATAGAATGTTTGTTACAACTTATGAAGATCAAGCTCCATTGTATTCCAACTGTAAATTTTGGTTTCAACAATTCAAAAGTGATGATTTCGATTTGAGTGACAAAGAATGTACTGGTCAACCAAAAAAATTCGAAGATTCTGAATTGCAAGCATTATCGAATGAAAACACCGCTCAAACGGGAAAACAATTAGCTGAATAACTCAACGTTGATTAATCAACAATTTCTAAACGACTACACGCTATGGGAAAAATTCAAAAGGAAGACAAATGGGTTCCACATGAATTGAAAGTGTCATTGCAAATCGTTCGAATATCGTCATGTCTTCGCTTGCCAAATAGAAAAAAAGAGTTTCTTGTAGCGAATTATAACTGGAGATGAAAAGTGAATTTATTTTGATAATCCAAAGCGAAAAAAATCATGGGTTGATGTAGGACAATCATCAACAACCAAAACGAAACAAAAGGAAACAATCAAAACGAAACATTCACAAAACAATGCTCTGCATTTATGTAGGACATGGAAGATATGGTGTGCTATGGGTTTCTAAAACCGAATGAAACAGTTATGGAAGAGCGATACCAGCAACGATTGAACAAATTGAATGATGAATTGATGCAAAAAAGGCCAGCAATAGCCAGCAATAAACGCAAAGTGATTCTTTTGCACGATAATGCTCGTCTACATGTTGTTTCAATCGTTAAAAAAACATTGTTAGAGCTCAAATTAGAAATCCTTCCGCATCCAGCGTACTTTCTAGACCTAAAACCATCTGATTACCATTTATTCCGATCGATGCAACACGCTTTGGTAAATACATACTTCAGTGATTAAGATGTGCAAAAATGGGTGTCCGATTGAATTACTTCGAAAGATAGATCGTTCTATCGGCGCGGAATTGCTATGTTGTCAGGAAGATGGGAAAAAGTCATAGCTAACGATGGGAAATATTTTGATTTATGTAAATTTAACCAATTTTCTTTAAAATAAAGATAAAAAATTGACAAAATAAGACCAGAATTAATTCAACTTCCTAATATATCTTTTATACCCAAAAGAAAGAAGAAAGAAATTGGATTTTTTGTCTAAAAGATGTCTTTTATAGATATTTTTATATCTATGCATCAGTTGAAGATTTATAAATTATAAACATGACATCTCGACAAAACTTACGCAAATCGCAATAGGAGAATCCGTTCCCGTGATAGCCTTCCTCGCAGATACAGTCTGCTCCGTGATTCGTATTAATACAAATCGCATGTTCCGCGCAAGGATTCCGAACTAAACATGGTTCCTGACAAGTATGCCCAATGCACGCCTCTGTCAAAGGGCAATCCCTGTTGCTAGTGCAACCCGCTAGAGAAAGAGTGAGAAAGCCCATATAGCCCCAGGAAGTGTGATGTGCACGAGTATGAGACTTGAAGTAAAAAGAGTTTCTCGTTGCATAGCATGTGTGTGATTTTACGTTTCCGAATGCAACATCGTTGCATAAGTGCGAAAAGTATATGCGGACTGCCAATGTCTCGGGAGGGAAAAAACGCTCTCTCCGAGGAGGCATATGTATACATACATACTCAAAAAGATAACATTTCAAAAAGATATAAACGTTTGCAAAGGATCGTTCTTCGTGATCATGCGCGACAGTTGTAATAGTATTGAATACTTTGTGCCTTGTAGATAGGAGTTATATATATAATTTGCAGAATATGTACGTGAGATATGTACAATACATACATATGTACACGTCTGTCGACAGCTATAAAATACTGAAATTAAAACCAGATGAGACCAAACGCAATGCTGGTGAGTGTACGAACCTTTGACGCAAGTGTTGGTCGCTGAGTCGCACTGCATACCAGGTGGACAATACGGGCACTCCGCCTCGTTGGTGTCCACTGAAAGCAAAAGTAAGAATTTTGCCTTCTTTTTTCGTTTTTCACTAGGAATATATCGGTAGCTATTCAATTGAATCGCAAAAACTTACATTTCACGCAGACCGGTCTATGATCCTGGACATGACATATTTCGATGAAGTCACATGGATTGCCCAAGGTACAAGGATTTAAGCACTGCTGATTCACGCATGCCAGTTGTACCGGGCAGTCGCTGTGCGTGGCACATTTCACGTCTAACGAAACAAACACGCATTAGAACGGTTGAAATTAACGATTGATGAGCGATGAAAGCTTGATGAAATGTTAATCTCTACATCAAAACATTTATAATCTGACCTAATCTTTTGGCCTGCCGCCTCGGTATGCTTTATGAAGAGAACGGCGGCTTAAAGAAACAACAATATACACTTTACAACAATGTGGTAACTTCGCTTAGGTCTATCACAGCGGCCAGTGCGATACATAAATAATATGAACACGAACGAGGATGACGTACACTTTCCTTTAATTCGTAAGACATATAGTGACATTTGTGTTACATGTGTCAAGCCTAGCAACTAAGTAAGAGACATTGATGTGCATCTACCGGGCGAGCGAAATTATCGTTCGTCGTATCGCTTAATTTCGTTACGGATTCTATGTGTGCCAAGAGTCTCCCCGCGACTACGACGTCATCGTGTACGATGCCGTCGAAGGCCCTACACGAAAGATAATTTCCCTCGCGAGTGGACAACTATGAGAAATTGCAATCCTAAGTGTGTTAGACATTCAGAAGCTCTGAGAGAAGTTCATGCACAGGCGTTAATTTACATCATGCGAAGAGCGCTAATGCAACAGTCCTTTGTCTGCATTTGGGAAGTCGATATTTAACTGTCTGACGATAGTATCCGGTATGGTCACCAAGATAGAGACAAACAAGTGTTCAATTTGTGAATTGTCCCCAAGTGATATCGATATCGGTATTTTCGTGTGTCGTGGCTTCGATACAACATTCGAAAAATGAACGAGCGGTTCTGTAGTATAACTGATTGCTCGTCAAGCAATGCTTCACACTCTCCAGAATTGGTTGCTTCCAATTTTCATCTGGATACAGGATGATTACCAGTTTCCACGCTGGAGAAAGCTTGTGGAGAACAAATCGGCAACATGAAATGATACACGACAATTATACGAAACTCCCGACGAGAGAGATCTTTACCTGGGAGTATGCTACAATTAGACGTACTCTGCTTGATACTCGAGTCTAAGCACATAGGCCGGTGATTTGTAACGTCGCATATTACGCTCTCTGGACAGGGGTTACCAGTTTGGCAGGGATTGCGACACAAACGATTGATGCAAGCCTCGCATTCGGTACAGTCGCTATCTATATCACAGACCATATCTGTTTTATTCCGGGTAACCTGTACAGATATGGTGGATTGTTCTGTGGAATATTGTTCTGTCGTAGAATACTCTGTTGAAATACTTCGAGGAGTCGTCGTATATCGTTCTGTAGATTGTTCGGTTGTAGCAAGTTGTCCTATTACGGTGGAATGGTCTTCTGTGAAATATTCAATTATACTATGCTGTATCGTAGTGAAGGGCAACCGTGTGGACGTGGTAGGCTGTTCTGTGGTAGAGTATTCCTTTGTGGGATACTCATATGTACTGGAAGATATCGTAGTAGAGCTCTGTTCCCGGAATTGTTCAGTGGTAGTGTGCGATTTTGAGGTAATGTATTGCTCAGTAGGCTGTTCTGTTGTAGAATATTCCGTAGAATATTTCGGAATGCTATATTGTTCTGTAGTCGAAATGTGCTCTTCAGGTGTAGTGTATCGTTCTGTGGGCTGCTCTGACGTGCTAAGTTTTTTCGTAGTAGTAGAGTACTCTTTTGTAGGATACTCAGTGCTCTGATATACTGTAGTAAAGATTTGTCCAGTCGTAGTGTACTGTTCTGTAGGCTGTTGTGATGTATTGAACTGTTCTGTTATAAAAGGCTCTTCTGTCGAGTATTGAGAGGTTACATATTGTTGTGTACTCGAGGCTTGTTCTGTAAGCTGTTCAGGCGTGGTATATTGCCCTGATGTACTGAACTGTTCCGTTGTTGAATGCTCTTTTATAGAATATTCGGTTGTACTAGGATATTCTGCAGTGAATATTCGTTGTCCAGCTGTAGTGTATTGTTCCGAAGTAGTATACTGTTCTGCAGGCTGTTGCGATGTACTGAACTGTTCTGTTGTAAAATATCCTGATGTGGGATATTCAGGAGTACTGTGTCCTTCTATAATCGAAGTCTCTTCTGTAGGCTGTTTAGCTGTTGTATATTGTTCTGAAGTAAAACTCTGTTCTGTAGTAGAATATCTTTCTGTAGGATATCCAGACGTGCTGTAAGGTTCAGTAATGGAAATTTTCTCTGTGGATTGTTCGGATGTAGTGTACTGCTTCGTAGTGGTATATCCTTCTACAGTCGAAATCTCTTCTGTAGGCTGTTTAGCTGTTGTATACCGTTCTGAGGTGAAATTCTGTTCCGTAGTAGAATATCCTTCTGTAGGATATCCAGATGTGCTATAAGATTCCGTACTGGAAGTTTTCTCTGTGGATTGTTCGGATGTAGTATATTGCTTCGTGGTAGTATATCCTTCTGCAGTCGAGATCTCTTCTGTAGGCTGTTTAGCTGTTGTATACTGTTCTGAAGTAAAACTCTGTTCTGTAGTAGAATATCTTTCTGTAGGATATCCAGACGTGCTGTAAGGTTTCGTAATGGAAATTTTCTCTGTGGATTGTTCGGATGTAGTGTATTGCTTCGTGCTGGTATATCCTTCTGCAGTCGAGATCTCTTCTGTAGGTTGTTTAGCTGTTGTGTACTGTTCTGAAGTAAAACTCTGTTCTGTAGTAGAATATCCTTCTGTAGGATATCCAGATATGCTGTAAGATTCCGTAGTGAAAGTTTTCTCTGTAGATTGTTCGGATGTAGTATATTGCTTCGTGGTAGTATATCCTTCTGCAGTCGAAATCTCTTCTGTAGGCTGTTTAGCTGTTGTATACTGTTCTGAAGTAAAACTCTGTTCTGTAGTAGAATATCTTTCTGTAGGATATCCAGACGTGCTGTAAGGTTCCGTAATGGAAATTTTCTCTGTGGATTGTTCGGATGTAGTGTATTGCTTCGTGCTGGTATATCCTTCTGCAGTCGATATCTCTTCTGTAGGCTGTTTAGCTGTTGTATATTGTTCTGAAGTAAAACTCTGTTCTGTAGTAGAATATCTTTCTGTAGGATATCCAGATGTAGGATATCCAGATGTGCTATAAGATTCCGTACTGGAAGTTTTCTCTGTGGATTGTTCGGATGTAGTATATTGCTTCATGGTAGTATATCCTTCTGTAGTCGAGATCTCTTCTGTAGGTTGTTTAGCTGTTGTGTACTGTTCTGAAGTAAAACTCTGTTCTGTAGTAGAATATCCTTCTGTAGGATATCCAGATATGCTGTAAGATTCCGTAGTGAAAGTTTTCTCTGTAGATTGTTCGGATGTAGTATATTGCTTCGTGGTAGTATATCCTTCTGCAGTCGAAATCTCTTCTGTAGGCTGTTTAGCTGTTGTATACTGTTCTGAAGTAAAACTCTGTTCTGTAGTAGAATATCTTTCTGTAGGATATCCAGACGTGCTGTAAGGTTCCGTAATGGAAATTTTCTCTGTGGATTGTTCGGATGTAGTGTATTGCTTCGTGCTGGTATATCCTTCTGCAGTCGATATCTCTTCTGTAGGCTGTTTAGCTGTTGTATATTGTTCTGAAGTAAAACTCTGTTCTGTAGTAGAATATCTTTCTGTAGGATATCCAGATGTAGGATATCCAGATGTGCTATAAGATTCCGTACTGGAAGTTTTCTCTGTGGATTGTTCGGATGTAGTATATTGCTTCATGGTAGTATATCCTTCTGTAGTCGAGATCTCTTCTACAGGCTGTTTAGCTGTTGTGTACTGTTCTGAAGTCAAACTCTGTTCTGTAGTAGAATATCCTTCTGTAGAATATCCAGATGTGCTGTAAGATTCCGTAGTGAAAGTTTTCTCTGTGGATTGTTCGGATGTAGTATGTTGCTTCGTGGTAATATATCCTTCTGCAGTCGAGATCTCTTCTGCAGGCTGTTTAGCTGTTGTGTACTGTTCTGAAGTAAAACTCTGTTCTGTAGTAGAATATTCTTCTGTAGAATATCCAGATGTGCTGTAAGATTCCGTACTGGAAGTTTTCTCTGTGGATTGTTCGGATGTAGTATATTGTTTCGTGGTAGTATATCCTTCTGCAGTCGAGATCTCTTCTGCAGGCTGTTTAGCTGTTGTGTAGTGTTCTGAGGTGAAACTTTGTTCTGTAGTAGAATATCCTTCTGTAGGATATCTAGATGTGCTATAAAGTTCCGTGGTGGAAGTTTCCTCTGTGGATTGTCCGGACGTAGTATATTGCTTCGTGGTGGTATATCGTTCTGTAGGCTGTTCCGACGTACCGATTTGTTCTGTCGAGTATTCTTCTGTCGTATGACGTAGTGTGGTGTACTGTTCAGTAATAAAGGATTTCATGGTAGAAACAGCAATGCCTTCGTGAGGAGTGCTCGTGTTATCGGTGACCGACTCATTCGTCGGAGTTTTTAAGGTAATTAGCGATAGTGCAGTGGTATCTTTCATATACGACTCAGTCGTGTGTGGCAGTGCAGTTTCGGCAGTGCTAAATTCTTGAGTCTCTTTGGCAGTGTCGTGTTCGATGTATATCGTGGAAGTTTCGGCATGCTGTAAGGTACTCGGAGAAGATACTGTGTGATTGTCTTGCATGAAGGATATTGTCGTTGTATGAGTGGTGCTTTCTATATGTGACTTGGTAGTTTCCTCTAAGGGTTTTACTGTTAATTCACTAGATTCTGTAGAATACTGTTGTGTAGTCGTTGCCACCATTGTGGTCTCTTCAACCTTTCTAGCAGGAACTTCTGTGGAAGGAACTATAGTTATGTTCTCAGGAACTTCGCTCACACCCGTCGACTTTGAAACTATCGTCGTTTCGGGAATTTCATGTGAAATCGTGGTATCGATAACGTCTTCAGTAGTGATTTCAGTAGATTTGAACGTAGTCGGAGAAGTGATGATGCCGATGACCGAAGCGGTGGTTGTTTCGGATATTTCGGTAATCGTGGCATTTTCTCTACGTCCAAATCCTAATTCGCTCTCTGTTATAGCAATTGCAGTAGAGGAAGATACATTTTCCTTAATAGTTTCTTCACTGTACATAGTTGGAGCAACAGAAGCTGTTGTAACATAGATTTCGAGCGTAGATGTACTCGTTGTATATTCTGTCCAATTTCCGAGAGTGCTATTATCTTCAAATGTTGGAGTGGTAAGACGATTGGACGTAACATTGTCCAAATCAATGTCCGTCGTTAGAGTCGATGTACCGTTTGACACATTGACCTCGGTTGCGCTCGATATTGAACGTACAGTCGTTGTAGCACTCGAAGACTCGGTCACAATCTCAGTCGACGCGATTGTCGTGTCCGACTTGTGTATCATCTCAGTAGTAACATTGTCCAACAAAATTATAGTAACTTCGGTCAGAGGAACTGTACTTTCCTCAATATACGCAACGGTCGATATCTCTTTGGTAGGAATAGTCGACATGGACGACAAAGTACCGGTGTTTGCTGTGGTCCGTAATGTGGTAGTCGCGAAAGTTTGATCTGAATCGGTAGAATGCAACGTCGTCGTGCCATTAGTTAAGCAACTTTCGTCATTAAGATCGCAACCGCAAATAGGCCTGTGCGCTTTGACTCGACATTGAACTGTCAGCTGACACCCGTTGATACAAGGATCAACGCAAGAGCTATTGACACAAGCTTCTACGTCGCTGCAGTCATCATCGGACTCGCAAGTTGGCTTGGGCATGGGGTGAAGAACTGCTGCGAAGATACAATGTAAACATAATAACTGATAAAGTGTCAAAACTGAAATCAGGAAGCGACTCTGATTAGGCTATGCTACAGATAATACAGTTTTATATCAATTACTACGAATTAATAATAGTAAGCATGCTTGCGCAATAGCTAAGCCGATTATAAGAAACATTATTAAGTCTTTACAGAGACAGATGTAACGGAAAAATCATTCAGTAGTCAGGAAACTGGCAGAGTAGAGCGGGAGTTTAGGGCGTGGGAGATATTTGTATCTGTAATTTGGAACCTGAAATATACGCGTTCAGACAACAGAACAAGAATACACGCATCTAATTGTCGTTAAAGGCAGTATTCCGATTGATATTCATCGCGAGTAGAAGAACGATTCACGAAGAAATGATCTCGATAAATTCGTGTACACGTGTTAGGACGAATATTCTGCTGTCTGGACGATCGGAAACCTGAAAATAGCAATCGTATGTCTCGTGTAAGGCCAGGCAATGTAAAGACGTGGCTATGAGAAATGACAAGACTCAGATAGTGTTCTGAGAAATGGTGTTTACCTTTCATGCATCCGTATTTAGTATCTGGCACAAAGCCGGGGGGACAGAACTTGCAGATAGGCTTGTGCTCCTCCACGTAACAGGGGGCATCAGCCGGACAGGTAGAGTTTCTGCATGGGTCCACGCAGCGATAGTTGCGGCACGCCAAGTCTGGAGAGCAGCCACTGTCTCGCAGGCAAATGGAGAGGGAAGGATTGCAGTTTTTAGTGCAAATGCACACGGGACGGTGGTCCAGGACATCGCAGGACTTATCGGCCGGGCACGGTCTTTTGTTACGTACGTTACAGGGATTCTGACATTTGCCGTTGACGCACGCTGCATTCGAGGGGCAATCAAAGTCCCTCGAACAGGTGAGCGTGTCGGGAGCGCAAGTCAATTCCCCGACTTCGTTCACTACGAAGCCGTATTTGCAAACGCACATAGGCTTGTGACTTCGCACCTGACACCTCTTGTTGACCTCGCAGTTATACCGAGAGCTTAAACACGGGTCGCGGCACTCGCCTGTCTGAGAGTGGCAGGAGAGACTCTCCGGACAGTCGTGGTCGGAGGAACAACCGATGCTCGGCGTAGGTTGGGGATTGAGCGTGTCGCATTTGGAATCTGGATGGCAGGCCGTGTGGGGCATACCGATATAACAGTGCGGGCACGAGCAACGCGGCTTGTGCAGAACCACTCGGCACAGAGCATTGATCCCACAGGCACCGCGTAGCGCGCACGGGTCCAGACATTGTAGATTTATGCAGGCTTTTTCATTGGGGCACTCTAAGTCGCTGGTGCATTCGCGCTCTATTGGACGCGATAGTAGTGGTGTTCAAGTCGGTGTAGAGTTGGTGGGTCGGTGGGTGGGACAGGAAAAAAAAAGAAAAAAGCATTTATAAGAACTGTGAAAAGAAACTTTCTCACAAATAACATAAACCACATGCTTTGTATTTATGATGAAAGTAGGGTAGGCTCTGTGAAGAAGTATAGAGAACGACTTTACACTTTTTCTCAAGATCATCAGATATCTTCTCAGAGAAATAACAACGGCAAGCAGCGATATTTACAACACAAGCCCCCACAGATTTCAGAAATAAGAAGGAAAATAATAAACCCGTGAATATCAGCAAATATCAAGCATGGGTATATGAGAATGTCCCTTTCGCAGTTCCCAATCTGTATTAATCCTAAATTATGAGATGGTGTCGACTGTAAATGTGTACCTCCTTGTATTCAAGTGGCACTATTTGGCAACGAGTGTCTCTCTCTTTGTTACTCAATTTATACTTCCTTCTTAGACAGATTGGATACTGAAATAAACATTCTACATATGAAGTTATGTGTGAGATATGTGTGACACGTATCCTCTCTTCGTCTCTCTCTCTCTCTCTCTCTCTCTCTCTCTCTCTCTCTCTCTCTCTCTCTCTCTCTCTCTCGCTTTCTGTCTCTCTCCTTCTCTCATCAAATTTATGTACAGTATGCCTATATTGTATATATGTACAGGTAATATGTTGACTTTGCTGTTGGGTAAATATGTAAAAATCCAGTGTCATGGCGATATACTGCTCCAATCACATCTGTCTCTCGATGTTAACGATTTCACTTGATTAACGATACATCTATGTATTATTTAAGTCCTACTAGACGATATACATGGTTATTCTACAGACCATGTTCCTGTGATTGTCAGTATTGCTCGCTAGTCACAAATGCTGTACATAAAATTAATCAATTTGCTCGGTTAAAAAGTTAGTAGGCTCTATTTCCCTACCTGTCGTACACTCGATATCCGGCGAGCCGCTGGTACCTGGTGGACACCGACAGACGAATATAGCCCCGTCTCTAATACATTCGGCATTCTGCCCGCATCCATTTATTCGACAGTCACCCAAATCCCTATCTGAGCTGCCTGTATCGATAAATTATTAATAATAACGATAATGATTTGGGACAATAAGCGACAAATGTTAATCTTCATATTTCGTCACACAATACTAGATCTTGATAAAATTTTAATAGAGATTTATTAAACAAACATGTTATTAAGCAAACAAAATTTTTAAAAAGTGGGAACAAATTTATTTAACATCAGGTTTGACTGAGCCTAATATAGTTCACGATTATCTCGCAAGCGATCAGCATTTGCCGCTACATTTTTCTCGTTCGCTCACACCTCAGGTTCATCAGGTTCAATATAAAAGAGTAATACGTACATGCGTGCATTGGATCGCCTGATGGATTACTCGGCGGGCAGTAACATTGCGGTTGATTTTTGTAAATCCGACAAGCAGCGTTGACACCGCAACGTGTATCCTTGCAGAGATCGCCGTCGCAGAGACATGCCTGATGCGGGTCGCCGTGACATCCCGGGTCGCAGGTGCACTCGAAACCGCTCACAGTGCCTCGGCATTTAGCGTTGATACCACAAGGTCTTCGTAGACATTCGTCCCCACCTGCAAGCGATCAAAGTGCATGCGTATTAAATTACATAGATTTTTATACTTCACTAATTTTCAATATTTTAATTTTTAATTCCGTAGTATTTGACTTAAGAGCAGAAATTGTTCAACGATAAGGTCTTTAATAATAAGATCTTTAAAGCGTTAACGTACCTTTCTTACAGTTGATCTTCGGATTGCCGACGTGTCCCGGTGGACAAGAGCACTGCGCCTTCCTGTTAATCACTCGACACTGCGCGTTGAAGCCACAAACGCTGTGTTGTAGGCACGGGTTGGTGCAAACGCCATATTCACTGCAATGCTTGTTTGGCTCGCAATCGTCGTCGTGATGGCACTCCAATTGGTAGCATTCCTGGCTCGGTTCACCCTGATAACCTTCCGGACACAAGCACACTGCGCGATGATTAGAGACACGGCAAAGCGCGTTGATTCCGCAAGGCGATCCATGAGCCGAACATGGATCCTCACATTGGCCGTTCATACACGACAACGATGCTGGGCAATCGGAATAGGTGCGACAGCCGATCAGACACAAGCCTCCGTCGCACACGTAACCCTGAGGAAAATCAAACACATCTTAATCAATCAAGTGAAATATTTTAAGTAATTGCAGGCTGCACAAACGCTGTCTGATATCGCTTTCATGATATGATAAAACGTACACGAAGCAAATTTAATTAAATAAAACTCGAAAATTAAGAGGCTCGAGAATCAGAGAGTATATTGTGATCCTTTATGTTCTGAGATCGAAAATTATGACATTATATTTATATATATGCGAACATTTGAATTTATTTCGATATATTATTATCATCATGAGTTCCAAAAAATTAATTCTATTTTTAAAACTTACCTTTGGACACGCGTTATTAATATCGCACTTGATGCGGCATTTTCCGTTGTGACAAACTTCTCCGCAAGAGCAATGATCCTGATGATGACAACTAGTGGTGCAGAAACCGATCTCGTCGCATTCGCACGAGCCGTCGCAAGGAATCATGGTCTTCGCGCAATTAATCAACGCATTGCCGTAATAATTGGCCGGACAGCTGCATTGAGCCACGTGATTGACCACCCGACAGCCGGCGCATTCTCCGCATGCTTTGCCACCCTCGCATGGACCTGAAGATAACAATAGATATCATCGATTAAAGTTACATCAACGCTATCTGATATAAAATCTACAGGAAGCGAAATCGATCAAATAAAACTAGGAAATTATGAGACATATATTATGATTTTTCTTTATTTATTATTTATCAGGAATCAAGAATCCAACATTGTAATTTAACAATTCTTTCTTTCTCAGTTTTCTAAATATACTAATTGTTTCTTACTTTGTATTAAAAGGTTGAATTAGTCCTGGTTCCTAGCAATAAATAGCTTTAATAACAAAGTTAATGGTTAATATGAATGTTGAAATCTGGCAACACTGAAAGATTTGACATTTCTCTATGACATATGACAGTGTGCGCGCTTTTGTTACTGATAGTTTCATTGTTTATACGCGTCTAAAATAGATTATACAAAATTGTATTTTCGACATTTATTACTTTTTTTGTTTAATTTAAAAAGAAAACGGCAACTGAAGCTTATAGAATGCTTGTTACAATTTAAGGTAATCAAGTTCCATTGTATTCCGACTGTAAATTTTTGTTTCGACGATTCAAAAGTGATGATTTCGATTCGGGTGACAAAGAACATACTGGTTCATATTGGAACCAAAAAAATTCGAAGACTGAATTGCAAGCATTATTGAATGAAAACACCGCTCAAACGGAAAAACAAATGGCTGAACAATTCAACGTCGGTAAATTAATTTCTAAACGACTATACGCCATAGGAAAAATTCGAAAGGGAGGCAAATGGATTCCACATGAATTAAGTGGAAGTGCCATTTCAAATCGTTTGAATATCGCCATGTCTTTGCTTGCTAGACAGAAAAAAGGAATTTTTTGTGGCGAATTGTAACTGGAGATGAAAAGTGGATTTATTTTGGTAATCCAAAGTGAAAAATTCATGGGTTGATCCAGGACAACCATCAACATTGACATCAAAACGGAACATTCACGGTCATAAAGCAATGTTCTATATTTGGTGGGACATGGAAGATGTGGTGTACTATGAGCTTATAAAACCAAATGAAAGTTATGGGGGAGTGATACTAGTAACAATAGAACAAATTGAATGATGAATTGATGCAAAAAGGTCAGCAATAGCCAGCAATATACACAAAATGATTCTTTTGCACAATAATAATGTTCATCCACGTGTTGCTTCAATCGTTAAACAAACGTTGTTAGAACTCTAATGAGAAATCTTTCCGCGCCCAGTGTACTTTCCAGATCTAGCACCATCTGATTATCATCTATTCCGATCGATGCAACACTTTGATAAATATATACTTCAATAATTATGAGAATGTGCAAAAATGGGTGTCTGATTGGGTTGCTTTGAAAGACAGATCGTTCTATCGTCGCGGAATCGCTATGTTACCAGAAAGATGAGAAAAAGTCACAGCTAACGACAGGAAATATTTTAATTAATGTAAATTTAACTATTTCTTTAAAATAAAGATAAAGAAATTGGCAAAATAAGACTTTAAAATAAGAATTAATTCAATCTCTCAATATTTTAATATTCTCAATATTTTAACCGATCATACTTACTTCTGCAGTGATTGTTGATGCAAGACTCTTCGCTTGGGCACGTGTTATCGCTACGACATCCAATATCGCACATACGATTGTGACATATCTGGTTTGCCACACAATGGTCGTCACTGTTGCATATTGCCTTACAAATGCCGCCGTCACACCGTTCGTCACTCAGGCAATTTGCGTCGCTAGAAAAGATATAATAAATTTTAGCGTGATTCGTGCAACACCGTGATAGCTTTGCAATAAATCTACATGTTGAAGCGTTCCTCACCTTCTACAAGTGGAATAACATGATTTGCCGTAACACGATTGTCCGGGCGAGCACTCCAGTTCTGATGCGCAAGGAAGGAACGCCTGCTTGCATCCAATACGAGCATCTCCGACCAAAGGCCGCGGACACGTGCACACCTTCTGATGATTGATAGTTCCACATTTAGCGTTTACGCCGCAAGCGCCAGGCAACGTGCACGTATCTATAAAGATAAAAAAGCAAACTACATATAATAAACCTATAAAAAACAAATCTGATGTAGGCAAATCAAACGTAAATTTGCCGTTCGCATTTCTGCTGTGTGTTTCCTTTTAAAAATCCTAAATAGCAGAAGCTTCTAAGACAGGTCTAAAAATTGCAGGATATACTTTTCTAAAATTACATTATACTAAACATTTTATTATACTGCATATTTAAATTTTTAAGAATTTTATTTTAAAAATCTGTTGTTTGAGAGGGAAGTTCACACTAAGATCGACAAGCCATTTCACCTGTGCATTGATTGTTGACACACGCGTAATTATCCTGACACTCGATGTCCGCGCGACAACCGGCGATGCATACCAGTCCCTCGCAGATCTCACCGCTTCTGCAATCCTCGTCCCGTCTGCAGAGTGACTTGCAGATGCCGGTGCTGTCGCATCTCTCGTTGCTCAGGCAGTTAGCGTTCGTCGAGCAGACAGCCGTGCAAACTCCAGAGATGCAGGCTGTGCCTACGGCGCAATCCCGATTAGCCTGGCAGATCGGGCCAGGTGACCTGAGGCACGCGACTTTGGCCGTGGGGTTCGGGATGAAGCCTATGGGGCAAGAGCACGTGGCACGCTGATTGAAGACGGTACACTTGGCATTCGGCCCACATGGCGTGGCCTCGCACGGATTCGCGCACTTGTTGTCTAGACAGGCTTCGTTCGCATTACAATCCTCGTCGGCACGACAGCCGAACGAGCACATGTTGTGCAGGCAGATGTGGCCCAGGAAACAGTCATTGTCTAAGCGACAGGTCAGCAAACAATTGCCGCGGATACATTTTTCGTTCAGAGCACACTCGTTGTCGACGGTACAGATCGGCAGACAGACGTTGTCGCGACAGGTGTTACCGTCGCTGCAGTCTTTGCTGCCCAGGCAGGAAACCGGTACTGCGAATAAAAATGAGTGAATTTCGTGAGCTCACAGAGCGAAAGGACGAGTTAAGGGACAAGAATGTTTAGATAAGAAAGTTGATTGTGTACTTACATCTTACGCATTCCACCTCGGAGTTACCGGTGAAACCCGGCGGGCAGCTGCATTGTTTGATGTGACTTCGCACTTTGCATTCAGCGTTTATACCGCAAGACACCCGCACGTCGCACGGGTCTAAGCATTGCCCGTTCAAGCAAACGTCGGTTAAATTGCACTCCTCGTCCGATTGACAAGATGCTGAAACATGATGTATGCGTTATTCGCCATGTAAAATCGGCAGAAGTATCTCATATAATCATGTTATAAACGTCTACTCACGTCGACAAATGCCTTCGTAACAATAAGTATTGACCGAACAATCGACGTGTGACGTGCAGACCACCGGTTTCGGACGGCAGCCTATGCTCAAACTGCTAGGATCGCCTTCGTAATCGGCACGGCATTGGCAGTTTGCAGCGTGATTGCTCGCGATGCAGTCCGCGTTTGGACCGCACTTGATGCGTGCACAAGCATCTAAACAAAAAAGCGAGACATAGAATATAAATCTAGAATATATATTGTGAAGTAGAATAACAACTATTTTTTGAAAGTCGCATAAAAGAAGATATCATATATATTGCATAAATATATGGGGTGACCCATTTTAAATAAACCAGACAAAAATCTCGAAAAATATGAAAGATAGAAAATAAGAAACGTTTCAGATAAAAGTTATATGGTTTCAAAGGGGACATAAAACAACTATATCATTTCGTTTACAGATAACGCCATTTTCGAGCTACTCGCTGATTATTACTTTTCTTAAATGAAAACCACAATTCTTTATATCATTTTTTTCTACAAATTAATTTGAACAATTTTTGTCTGAAACATTTTTTTTATTTGCTTAATATTTTTTTAGATATTTAGGGGAAACTTGGTAAGTTTTTCAATATTTAACTTACGATATCTCGCTATTTGTTAGAAGAAAAAGTGATACTAGACTTTTTTACTCTATTTGATCTCAAGAATATATTGTTGAATAGCGTTTTTTATTAATTTTTGTTAATTTATCGACTTTTGGAAATCTTAAAATCATCAAATTAACCAAAGTTAGGGCGTTATTGTAACAATATATTCTTGAAACCAAATAGAGTAAAAAAGTCTAGTATTATTTTTTCTTCCAACAAATAGTTAGTGAGATATCATAAGTTAAATATTGAAAAAGTTACCAAGTTTTCCTTAACCTTTGGAGGACCGGAAGCCTTTATCGAAGGACTTTATCGGCTTTTGACTGTTATAGTTAATTTTATGCTGTTTTCACTTTTAAAATGTCTCAAAAATGTTGACCATGTCGGCACATATAGGGGGAGTACTGTGGGTGAAGGGAGAGGTAAAGGAACCGACGTCACGCTTGATTGGCTGTTTGGTACAACGCTGTTTGGTTATACAGATTGCGATGCACCACCACTATACGTTGCTCCGTGCTTCGAAGTGTATCACACTCAGACAAACTTCTAAATGTAGCATAAGTAGCATAAGAAAACATAAATATTTTTTCGCCTAATTCCTTCATTTCTTCGATGTTGTACTACGTTTTTTGCTAAATAAATTTATATGAAAACATTTATCGCATTTTGACTTATTTCTACCTCATGAATTATTATATATGAATGTTTTTACATATGTAAATTATGCAAATTTCACCCTAAAATCATTTCAAACATTAATTCTAACGATATCTAATGGTATAAAGTGAAAAAACAAAAAAATGTGGACGGTATTTTTTTCCGGATCGGAAGCCGATATATCGGCGCGATAGCGGTGTTAGTTTTTTCCCCAATTCAATCCAATGACATTGACAAAAAAGTTCTAGCTCTTAAAATAAAAAAGTCGACAAAAATAGCCGGTCCTCAGAAGGTTAAATATCTAAAAAAATATTAGGCAAATAAAAAAAATGTTTCAGACAAAAATTGTTCAAATTAACTAGTAGAAAAAGATCATATAATAAAAAATTAGGATCCCCATTGAAAAAAAGTAATGATAATAATGAAGTGAATATCTCGAAAATAGCGTTATCTGTAAACAAAATTATATATTTGTTTTATGTCCCCTTTGAAACCACATAACTTTTGTCTGAAATGTTTCTTGATATCTTTCATACTTTTCGAGATTTTTGTCTGATTCATTTAAAATAAGACACCCTGTATTAATCCTCATCGGACGTTCATTTCAAAACTCAAATTCAATGTTACGGTCAATTTGATTATTGCAAGCAAATCAATATGCTAATTGAATTTACCTGTAAAATTTAAACAAGGTAACGATAACATTTTGTAATTTGATAGAACCAGAAACCAAAAGATGAAATTAATCGGATTGCAGGAAAAAAAGGTTTCATTCAAATAAATATCAAAAAGGGTCAAATTGACCCCACTGTATGATGAGAATTAAACAATATTCTTCGCATAAAATCCTCATAAAATAAAGAAATATAATAAATTAGGATATAATGTACGAGAAAATCGGTAAATTGATTATACATACCGAAACATTTCGGTACGTTATTAACGTTGACACACTTGGCAGTGAGTGGGCAGTCTGTATCCTGAAGACACTCCACCGGCGGTTGGCAGCCGCTGTTGTAAGCATCCCCGACCGTGCCGGGTTGACAGTGACATTTGAAGTATCCGCGTGAATTTTCGCACAAAGCTCCGGGCGCACAAGGTGCATTCGCACAGTAATCGATCAGTTCGCAGGCACGCGTCGGTTCTCCTGTATATCCAGGTTGGCACGTACAAACCTAGATCGCAAAGTGTGCGTCATCGTGATGAAAGAGTCTAACATGATAAATATGAAAATCGATATAACGATGAAATAATAGGTACTTGGACGTGTTTCTCTGTTGTGCAAATAGCGTTCGTGCCGCAGGGATTATGCGCCAGACAAGCGATTCTACATCTGTGCAAGTCGCAGATCTTCTCCTGAGTACAGTCGTCATTCACTTCGCATTCGATCGGTTGACAGCCGATCTTGTCATCTTTGGCATTTCCGAAGAAACCGGATTTGCAAGAACACGTGGCGGCATGATTGTCAGCCTTGCATTCGGCGTTACGGCCGCAGAGTATTAAGTCACACGCTTTGTGACATCCCGCCTAATCGATTAAAGGAAAAACGTAAGAATATTAATATCGTATCCCGGACAACTTCAATAGAACAAATAATAGATATTTCCGCTCGGAAAAATAATATTGAAATTTTGTAAGTAACAAAAAAGAATAAAATTACCTGTCCGATATTATTATTAATGCACTTCTCATCGTATGAACAATCATTGTCTGATATACAGCGTAATTCTTGAACACATATGTTATTATGGCAGTATTGATATTCCGGGCAGCTTGAGTTACTTCGGCAGGTAGGCTGGCAGAGGCCATTGATACAGAGTTGATCGCCGATGCAGTCTCTCGTACTTCCACAGAGCGCTGCGAATCACGACAGCACGGGATATAAATTGCAAAATTCATAATCGTAACGAATAAACAAGTCAAATTTTTATTTCACTTACCTGTGCAGATACCTCCGTTACACGCTGATCCAGTCGCACACTGCGAGTCACTCTTGCAATATTGAACCGGAGTACATCCGAGATTCGGATCGCCTGTACCGCCAGGCTGACAAGTGCACACCGCGCTATGATTGAGTGATGAACAATCGGCTCCGTGCCCGCAAACATTCGAAACCGAGCATGGGTCGACACATTTATGGTCGAAACATGCGTCCGATTGACTGCAGTCGCTATGATAATTGCATTCCAGGTGGATACATTCCGTCTAAAAATCCAAAACACAAGTATAAGATAAATGGATGAACGGCTAGTAAAATAGTATGAGATTTACGAGAGCGATAACATCAGCTTGTTTGAATTAAATTAAGAAAATCTAACGAATATCAAATTTATCTTTTCATGTAAAATGTTACAGACTAATTTTTATATGGATGGATTGATGTTGATTATTTTGAGCTGTAATATGTACGAATTCCTTTAATTGTACGAAATCTTAGAAAAGAACTTGACACTCACTGCTGGATTTCCTGTGGTCTGTCCGGGGCATCTGCATATCGGAACGTGATCACGAGCGAGACACTCCGCGTTTCTGCCACAAATACCCGGTGTGTCGCATGGATTTGTGCATCTATTATCGATGCAGGCGGCCGAATTCGGGCAGTCTGAATCCGTAAAGCAGTCTCCGGGTTGTTTGCAACCAGTCTTGAATGGATCTCCCACCAGACCATGCGAGCAAACACAAGCGAACGACCCCTCCGTATTTTGGCATCTGTAAATTTTAATAGTATTTGATTACAAACCAAAGTCGCTGATAAGTGTTGTCATTAAGCTAAATTAAACAAGTTCCACTTACATGGCTGAGGAATGGCAGGGATCCTGTAAACACTCGTTAACATCTGCGCAGATGTCGCCGGCGAGGATGAAGCCAGGATAGCATTTGCACACACTGATATGTTCGAGAGCCACGCAATTGCCGTATCCGCAATTCACTTGATTGCAAGGACCTGGCAAGCAGAAGACACAACATCTAGAATACTTGATGTAACATTTTCAGATTAATCGCTTCATGTTTCTTTAAAGAAAAATCGATACATCAAATGCATACAATATGATAACTAAGAATCTATCTTAATAATAACACAACTTACTACTGCACTTGTTAGTCTCTTGGTTGCAATATTTATCCGTCGGACAGTCGCTATTGGAAAGACACTCGACTTTGAAGCAACCTGAAGTATCACCGATGTAACCAGGCTGACACTGACAACTGGCTACATGATCCAGAACCGAGCAGATCGTGTTCAAGCCGCAATCAATGGAGGAACATGGGTCCGAACAGTTGTGATTAATGCAGGCCTGCGTGTCCGGACAGTCAGTGGGAGCGGTACATTGATGTGGTAGCACGCAACCCGTTCCTATAGGATCGCCCGCAGTGCCTACAGGACACGTACATCGATAAGATCCGTGAAGATTAATGCATTCCGCACTTGGATGACACGGTCGATCTTCGCACTCGTTGATATCCAGGCAGTGTTCAGGGCCAGCGATAAATCCGTGGCTGCATCTAAAGATGTATTTAAAAACTTACAATTCATGCGCATATTACGTCTTAAAGATACATTTTAAAGATTACATTTCACGTACATTTTGAGCCTATCTAAAGATATATTTAAAGAATTGCAAAATCACGCCTGTCTGTTTTTTCTGTTTTTTTTTTCCGTTATTAAGCATGTAAAATAATACGAACACATAGAAGTTGTTGATAAAAAGGTAAAAGAATTCAACTAAAAGGGGCGTACCTGCACTTGTTATTGATGCAGACCTCATCACGTTTGCAGCCAACGTCAGAGGTGCAGCCAACTTCGCACGTTCCATCGATGCACAGTTCGCCGGGCTGGCAATTACTGTCGCTGTAACAAATCTTCACACAAATACCGTTCTTGCAACGTTCGCCTTGCGCGCAGTTGTTCTGTTCCGAACATTGGCACTGGCATAATCCGGAGACGCACAGATGTTGGCTTGGACAGTCATGCAGACCTTCGCACGCGCTCAGCACTCGTATGCAACCTTGCTCCGGGGTAGGATTGCCGATGAAACCAAGAGGACAAGTGCAGGTAATCGCATGATTCGCACAACTGCAGATTGCGTTTGGTCCACACACGTCTTTCCTGCTACAAGGATCTGCGAAGATACAGAGATATTTCGAAATGGTCTTTCTTATTCTTCACACATGTAGAGAAGCTATTATACCAAATCAATGTCACGTGTCTTCATTTTTCTTCAATTTCATTATTCTTCAATAAAAAATATATAATTCTTTAACCCTTTATATCCTAAATTAATTTACCCAAGACTTTATTAAATTTCTGCGTAATTAAATAACTTTTGGCATATCATAAACATAAGACAGGAAAATAAATTTTGTAACAATTCAATGATTAAATTTTGACGTGGTATTTGTAAGTACCAACAGGAATGTAAGGTAAGACGCGGGAAAAAGGTTCAAGAGCGCATATATAGAGCGGTACTTTGAAGTACCGTCAGGATATAAAGGGTTAATTTTATACATATCCAGGGTGTCCAAAAAGTCCTAGCCCGGTAAAATATCTCGAAAACTAAGTATTTTGGAAAAAAATGTTTCGGACAAAAGTTGTATGGATTCAAGGGGGACATAAAACAATATCATTTTGTTTACAAATAGCGTCACTTTCAAGATATTCACTGATCAATACTTTTCTTAAATGGAAATCTCAATTTTTTATTACAACATTTAACTTACGATGTCTCGCTAACTATTCGTCGGAAGAAAAAGTGATACTAGACATTCTTACTCGATTTGGTCTCAAAAATATATTGTTACCATAGCGTTCTGATTTTTGTTAATTTGATGATTTTGAAATTTTCAAAAATCGATAAGTTGATAAAATAATGTTCCCAAAATACATTTCCTCAATCACCGGACCTTAATCCTATCGAACATTTACGAAATATTCTTGGAGATGCTATTAAGAAAAAAAGATTTCTAATAAAAAAGATTTAAAAACGGCTTTTTAAGAAGAATAGGATCCCATCTCGCCAACTGTCACCCGAAAGTTGATGTAATCAATGAACCAAAGACTACGAAGTGTAATTAGTACTAACAGATACAAAATATTAAATATATTTACATAAGCAAAATATTAATTAAATTGTCTGAATTAAAGAAAGAATGTACAAATATTTTCTGCGCACTAAATTAATATAAATTTTTGTTTTCGTCGATTATTAGAACGATTTCAATTATCACATTCTTCTTATTCTAATAATATTGAGAAATATAGCATATGTTATTTTCATTGTTAATAAATTGTTAATTAAATTAGATTTTCTATAAATAAGGACTTTTCTAAAGAAATCTCTCCCTATACAAATACCTTTGACACTATATGTTAAATTAATCCGAGAATCAAAATTACATGTAATTAGCAACGTACCTTGACATTTGCTATTAATGCACGATTCGGTGGGCAGACAATTTTTGTTGCTGCGGCAACCAAGGATACATCCGCCAGTCACACATGCCTGATCGAATTGACATTGAGAATGCGTGATGCAGGATACCATACATTTGTTGTTAATGCATTTTTCTTCGTCCGAGCAATCGGCGACTGACCGACATACAGCTGAAAAAAACAGATAATCCTCATTCTGGAAACGTTTCAATTTAACAAAAAACAGAAATGATGTAATTTCCTGTTCGTTGTATTAATGTTAACATTACAAAAGTTTTAACTTAAAAAAAGATGATTTAAATGAACATTTACATATGCACAATACATTATTGTGCGATCGATAATAAATCAAACTATCAGTGAACAAGTCCAATAAATAATTTACACAATCTATTGACGAATTAGCGATAGATTCGATCAGAATCTGTCAGCAAATGTCTGTATCCTTATTCGACTCAGGTTTTATCGACAGATATATCTGCTGATAGATTTGCTGATAGAATCTGACAGTAGATTGGCGGCAGGAAGCAAGTAAGATCTACAGTATATTGCATTAAAATATACTGGGATAATAAATCCTGCTCAGTTTCTTTAGTAGAAATTGAAACTTATAAGGAATATCTGCGAAGTGTATGTCTCCGATTTCGACGAAACTTGGCATAGAGTAGTTAAAACTAAGAGACCCATATTTTGATCGGCAATAGCTCAGGTTTAAAAGATGAAACTGTCTCTCAAAATTTCATTCCTTTTATGCTATCTCGATTGCAGATAGAACTATTGCAGATAGAAAAACACTTTTTAAACAAGAATTATATGGTAGGTTTTTTTACGAAAAATAAAATAGGCTTGATTAAAATAAAAAAATATTTTTAACAATTAACAAAATAATCATGTTAAACCAAATTATTAATTTATCAAATCCATTATATGGAGGGAAAAGTTAGCATTTTTCATTCTGAATCCATCTACATATATATTGTTCTATATTTAAATTATATGGACATTACAATTTATAAGTGGAAGTAATACCATAAGTAAGGTATTCAGTAACATGTGCGAGCACTTAATTACAACATCGCTATGCAAATGACAAACATCTATTTACCTCATTTGAATGTATTTTAATTAATACAATATAAAATATTACAGGTATAAAAATAATTCAGAACTATTAACACATGAACACATGAACTTTTTTTTGTAACGTTTAAAAACCTGGTTAAAGGAAGTCTATTTTCTATATACTAACTGTGCAACTAATTTTAATATTAAATTCTTGGAATGGTCATTGTAAATGAACAGTGCACGAGGTAACATCGGAAGAAAAATAATTTAAATTATTCAGCATACCAAAAGGAACTACTAAATATTTGCAACCATTAGACGTTTATGGATTTCATACAAGAAAATATTTTGTTAGACGTTTTTCGGATAAAACTATTCTTTTATATTATAACATAAATAGATCATAATATAATCATAATATAAACTTTTAAATTATATATAAACTTACATACCAGAGATAACATATTAAAATTACAGTCACTTGTACAAAATTAATTTTTTTCTCCAAGGTTTCAAAATTGTATTAAATACTCGTATCGAGGCGGATAGATTCAAAATAGATTAAATATATTTAAAAATCCGGTAAAATATTGTTATTTGGTTGAGAATAAGCCAAAATGCAGTGTTTGCGGTGATATTGCGATAATTAAATGTGCTTGATCTAAAAGGATTTAATGTTTTAAACTTTTGATGTTTTAAATTTTTTCGACAAATATCAGTATTGTAATTATAAAGAATAGTATCAGTATTTTTTCCGTTGTGGATAATATTACTAATTTTGCTTTCAAAACTTGTTAATTTTTCATATTTCTTACATATTTCTCTTTAAAATATACAGACTCATATTCACATAAAGCAACTCTTACAGAAATTCATTTACCAGCTATAATAAATTGACTAGTGATAATAAATAATTTTATTATTTATATAAATAATAAAATTATTCATATGAGTAATAAAATGATTATTATCACTAGCTAGCTTTATTACAGTTAGTGATAAACTTCTATAAATGAATATGTTGCAGAATGTTTCAAATGAAAAAAATGTTCGGCAATCTGCGTTTAAGTATTAAGTTTATATTTATGTTTATTTATTATATATTAGGTTTATGTAATATGTTCTGAATTATTTTGACCTGCGTTCAAAACATATAAATAGATGCTCATTATTTGCGTAGCGATGTTACGATTGAGCGCTTGCGCACGTTACTGAATTGTCTTGCTTATGGTATTCATTTATAAATTGTAATGTCCGTATAATTTAAATATAAAACAATATATATAGATAGATTCAGAATGAAAAATGCTAACTTTGCTAACTTTTTCCTCCATATAATAAATGTGATAAATTAATAATTAGGCCTGACATAGTTATTTTGTTAATTGTTAAAAATATTTTTTTATTTTAATCAAGCTTATTTTATTTTTCATAAAAAACCGTACAAATTTTGTTTAAAAAGTTTTTTCCTATCTGCAATAATTATCGAGATAGCATAAAAAGGGGATGAAACTTTGAGGGTTCAGTTTCATCCCTTAAACTTAAGCCATTGCCAATAAAAAAAATATGGGTCTCTTATTTTTGGCTACTCTACAAGTATACCAAGTTTCATCGAAATCAGAGACACACACTTCGCGGATGTTTCTTGTTAATGCCTTTTTACAAATAAGTTTAAGATATAAGTTTAAACTATCCAATTAATTCCACACATTATTCCGAGGTAATACAAATTCAGTAATACGTATAGCGCTTGACTGTTATAATTGAAGTTAAACTTATATAAATAAGAAATATAAAAAATGTCATTGGTAAAATATATGATAATTGACGGAAGTGAAAATAAAACATATGAAATATATAAAATATTTTCTTCATTATCTGGTGGTGAACTTTGAAGATTATCTTCAATAAAATTCGTAATACTTTATGCACCTCAAATAAAATTGGTATTAAGTTAACTATAATTCCAAATTAACTTTCAATCTTTACATTCGGATAGATGATATTATTTTGCTAATCCCTACACAATATTGCAAATGTGTTCCGTTTTCCGCGCTACTAACTACGCAAATAGCATAATGACATCCTCTGGAAATCTTAACAACATTCAGAACGGACATTGTAAATAACTTGTGGATATTCAAAATTTATCCCCGAATATATATTAGGTTGGTGTAAAAATAATTGCAGTTTTTATCATTTTAAGTTTGGTGCCGATTTTTCTAACTACCGTTATCCTTTCCAGAATTCTATCCTAGGAATAAACAATTCTTCCCGTTGGGAGAAATGGGTGCAGGATAATGGTTTTTATTTTGATTAATAAATATAATTTTTATTTAATATATACGTCTGTATATTCGATAAACCGGTAAAAACCGTAATTATTTTTGCACTAACCTAATACTTTGAATGTCCTGAGGAAGAGAAAATGATAACTAAATACTAACTTTAAGACATCCAGAAAATATTCTGTCAGACACCGTGAGGACTTCTATAGGATATTTCTTAAGCATTTAAAAAAAGAAGAAGAAACATAGTGTATTGAATTTCCTGACTCCGAATATGCCTAGTTATGTCTTTTCTGTTTAAATTATGAATATCAGAAAAGAAAGCATTTGACTTAATTCTAAATCGAAATTAACAAATTGAATACATTAAGTTCGATTTTATTATCAATAACAAAAAAATTTTTGAATCTTTTTAAATTTAAATTTCTTTTTTTTTTAACTAATCTTTTAGAATTCTAAAATATTTTGGTTCTAGAAAAAATTAAGCTATTAATGTATTCAATTTTCTAAGTCCGATTTAGTCGAATTATTCGAAATGTTATTGACGAAATTATGAGCCGCAATTATGCGAAAACGTAATGAAAAATTTCCTCGAAAGAATGGCCACTTGCAAAAAAAGTCAAAGCGACCATTTAGTTGATATTGTGTTCCATGTTTAATCGCACTGTCTGTACTTTGGATTAGAATAAAAATATAACAACTTTTCCAAAAACAAATTCGTTATTTTACTAATTTAAGATGAAACCCCTTAATGGAAGACCCTGTATAATATGTTATATTTCTACTGTTTAATATATCATAACTCATAACGTAAGATGATTTATTCAGAGAATGTAAAATAAATATCCATATCTTATCCTAAATATTCCATATCTTATCCTAAAATATTCTAGGATATCTAGGACATATTTAGAATCATTCACGTCTTGTGCTATCTTGTTTGGGTATTTACTGACGATTTTCGAATGACTGATATGCTGACTTCGGTATCAATATTATCAATACCGTCACTATTTCGGAAAACGCAATCCTTGTATTTCTGCCAGCAAGTTTCTGACTGAGTGTCTGCAGCAGACACCGTGCAAAATCTGTTTTTGCTATCCTAGCTCTTGTTATCCAAAAAAGAAAATCATTACCTCTACATTGCCCATCAAGACACACGCTGTCCTCGCACTCGGCGTCCACCGTGCAGAAATTCGTGGCTCTCACGCAACCGTGCTCCGCGCCTTTCGACGACGGCACGAACCTATGGATGCACTTGCAGCTCGGCTGGCCGTTGACGATCTCACAAAGCGCGTTGGGACCACAGGCGTTCTCACACGGATTCACGCAGCGATGCTCATAGCAGACAGAATGCACCGGGCAGTCCTTCGGCCCGGAACAGTAGCCCTCCGGTTGACATCCGTTAACGTAAGGATCGCCCACGTGATTCGGCGGGCACTTACACACGGGGTTGTTAGTAGGACCGGCGACACAGAGCGCAGTTGGGTGACAAGAATCCGAGTGGCAAGCCTCCACGGCGACGCACTCTACGTCGGGCACTGGGTTTGGTCGCAAGCCTGGCGGACATTGGCAGATAGCTCTGTGATCGTCGGCGATGCAGACTGCGTTTACACCGCAGGCATTCTCGTCGCAAGCATCATAACAGGTGTGCGTCAAGCGGTTGCAGAGCTGAGCCGGCGGACAGTCGATGTTGTAAACGCAAGGTACCGCGCGGCAGCCGGATGCCACGTCATTCGGGTCACCAGCATAGAGCCCGGGAGGACACTCGCAGTTCGCCACGTGGTTGTTGACGACGCAAAGCGCGTTGGGACCGCAGGAAACGAAGTCACAAACCAGTTGACAGATGAGCGGGCCGTCCAAGGAGCCGCGGCACGTCTGGTCCTCCGGGCACTCGCTGTCAGTAGAACAGCGGTTCTCGCGCGGACTGTGGCAGCCACGGCGATCATCCGGATTGCCAGTGTAACCCGGCAAACATTCGCAACGGCCACGGTGGTTCTCCGCTACACAACGTGAGTTCACGGTACAAGTGAAGCCGCTACAGAGTGGCAGGCATTTGAGCACTCCAAGAGCGTCCGGCCGGCAACTCTCACTGGAGTGGCAATCGTCGTCGCTGATGCAATCGGGCACGGACGGTTTTTCGCAGGACGACTGCACCGGGTTCCACTCGTAGCCGTCTTGACATTTGCAGGTCGCATGGCCCGGGATAACATCAGGCTCGCACTTTTGATAGGCTCCGCATATGACCTTGCTGCAAGGGTTCACGCAGTCTCGTACGCCGCCGTCTAACACGATGCAGAAGGAGCCAGGCTGACAGTCCGAATCGTGGGCGCAGCCGGGAATCACGGACTTGGACGGTTGGCAACCTTCTACCAGATTACTCGGATTGCCTTGGTAGCCGTCGACGCACAGGCAAGAGGATACATGATTCTGCGTGATGCACAATGCGTTGGGTCCGCATTGTAGTTTACTGCAGGCGTCCACGCACTTGCGAACGCCTTTGCCGACCTGGAAGCAGATCTCCTGCGGCTCACATTCAAGATCGTTGGAGCAACGGCCGTGCAAGTGGCAGCCTTTGTGTAGGTCGTTAGGATTGCCACTATAACCCGGTGGACACACGCATGTCCCGTCCTGGCAAACGGATCTGGGTCCGCACTTGATGTCACTGCATTGGTTCACGCATCTGTGGTTCACGCAGGTATAATCGAATGGGCAAGGTACGGCTTCGTTGCAAACGCAGCTCGAGGGATCGACGCACGGCACCACCTGCACTTGTTGACAGCCGACGAAGGGGTTGCCGAAGAAGCCATCTTTGCAATGGCAGTCGTAACTACCGATGGTATTGATGCACACCGCATTGCTACCGCATGCGTTTCCGTTGCATTCATTAACGTCTGAAGAAGAGAAACAAGAGTAATTTGATTTACGTCTTTGTAATATCATCTAATTATATCCTCTGAATATTAATTGGAACAAAGTGACGTTTTGTTGAGAAAGGAGGACCTTGGATAAATTAAATATTAGCATGAATAAATAATTAATTAACTTTTATACTGATAGAAGAGGCTCTCTGAGGCTCTTTCGTTAAAAATTAAATGTAATATGAATATAATAGCCTTTTTATATATATTAATGTTCTTATTTTAATAAATAAATAAATAAATTGAATTAAAAGAAATAAAATATTTAAAATTATTAATTTCAGTTATTCTGTACTGGAAGCTTCTGTCATAAAATTATTCTATCCTGATAAAAATTAAGATTGATTAAAATTAGCCACACTGACCGAAACATTGGATATATGGATTGCCAGCAAAGCCAGATGGACAGAGACACTCGACAGCATTGGGGCCAGCATTGCAATGCGCATCTTTGCCGCACAATCCCTTAGAGCAGTCAGATTTCTGCTGAATGCCGCAACCGTGATAAGGATTTCCGCTGGTGCCCGGATTGCAGACACATTTCGATTCCTGAAGACTGTACTCGCAGTGCGCGTTTTTTCCGCAAACTGGGTCGCAGTGGGGTGGCTCAATGGCTGTAAAATCAAAATGCATTATTTAATAAAGAAAAATAAAAGAAAACAATAAAAAACATTTATCCCGCCCCATATTTTATCAATTTCTGCAATTCCTTTAATTTCAAACTTCAAATATTCTTTTGTCTTATATCCCTATTCGCGTGACAGAATGCCCAGAAGAAAAAATAAAATATTAAACAAGAGTTGCTTGATGATAATTTCCTCCTCTTTTATGAGCTCGTTATACTTACGTGGCATACAAAGTAGATCCGGATTGCCGGCGAAGTATGGATTGCAAACGCACTTATTCGTTAAAGGATCGCACATAGCTCCAATACCGCAAACTACTCCCTCGCAACGTCGTTTACAACGTCCACTGATACAAACGCTTGGCTCCGCACATGGAATCTCTGGTGAACAAACATCCGGAACGCATTGCCCACCAGGGAAAGGATTGCCCATAAAACCCTCGATACACTTACAAGTCGGCCCATCATAACTTACAATACATTGGGCTCCGGTACCGCAAACGAAACCGTCACACTCTGTGGAAAGAAGAAAATTTTATATCGTATATGCGAAATGATAGAATCACATCTGTTCCTCAGATATTTCACGTATTACTCATAACTTTAATGAGAAATTTTGCTTTTGACACTTCTAAATATTAAAAGATTGCATTGAAAGCCGCTGTTCACATATAAATAGCTCTAGCTGCTGTGGACAGTGACAGATATATCTTATGTCATTTTGAAGTGTATATATTTATTATTTGAAGTATAGAATATCTCCCACTAAAATTCAGTCATTAAACGCCATCCTTCATTTATACAAGTGCTTTTCTATAACCTAATTAAAATGGAACACGATAAATTGTTTTTCCGATGTATACTTCTACACTACTTTGATTTAAAAAAAAGTGTAGCTGAAGCTTATCGACTGGTTGCGAAAACTTCTGGTGAATCTGCTCCATCGGAAACAGTAGAAATTGGTTTCGACTATTCAAAAGTGATGATTGTGACCTTTATAACGAACAACTGCCAGGTTAATCGAAAAAGCTTGAAGATGAACAACTGCAAGCTCTAGTGGAAGAAAACCTTGCTCAAACACTCGAAGAATTAGTTCAGCAGCTCGAAGTCGATAAAAATAAACCATTTCACGACGTTTACAAACCATGGGAAAGATCCAGAAAGAAGGGAGATGGCTGCCACATGAATTAACCGAAAATGCCATTGCTAATCGTTTAAACATCTCGATTTCTTTGCTTGCAAGGTATAAAAAGAAAAGTTTCTTATAGCATATCGTGACCAACGATATGGAAAAATGGATCTATTTCGACAACCCGAAACGCAAGAAATCATGGATTGATCAACGTCAATACCAAAGCGAAACATCCATAGTCACAAAGCAATGCTCTATTTGGTAGGATATGGACGGTGTCGTGCTTTATTTGTTATGAGCTATTGAAACCGAACGAAACAGTCACCGCCAATCATTTTATTGACAACAATTGGAGCGTTTAAATGATAATTTGATACAAAAACGATCATCAATTGCATCAAATCTCCCAAAAGTGATTCTTCTCCATGACAACGCTTAACCCCATGTTGCTATTGCCGTGAAATAAACATTGATGGAGCTCGAATAGGAGGTTCTCCCCCATCCAGCGTATTCCCAAGCCTCAAGCGATTACCATCTATTCCGAACGATGCAACACGTTTTGGAAGATATACATTTCCATAATTATGGAAAAGTCAAAAATTGGATTGCTGAATGGATTGGTTTAAAAGATAGGCCTTCTTTCGTCGCGGAATTCAACTTCTGCCAGAAAAGTGAGAAAAAGTCAAAGGTTCCGAAAGCAAATACTTTGATTGATGTATTCATACATCTTATTATTGAAATAAATATTTCAATGCAACCTCCTAATACATTCCAATAAAAAAAATTTCGTTTTAGTACTTCTGGATATATTTTAATAAAAAAAATTTCTAATTATATTTTACAGCACTTCTTTTTTCAAGGAGCAAGTTCATTTGTTTACCGAGAGATTATGCAATTATTCCAACATTGCTACAATCTACATTGATAAATGCACATAAATATCTTGCTCACTCACGTGAAACGCATTCGTTGTTTTTGCCTTCGGTGAAGCCTATCACACACCTGCACCAAGCAGCGTGTTTATCAGGTTCGCAATACGCGTTCGGACCACAGGGTATGTTGTCGCAAGGATTGACGCAACTTCCGTGAACGCATGCCAGATAATTCTCGCAATCGTCATTTGAAGAACATTCACTCTTGCCGGTCGCGACTCCCGTGCAGCCAACGCCGTAAGGATCTCCAATCATGCCCTTTGGACATTCGCACACGTGATCTCCTTTCGTATTAATGCAATATGCACCATGACCGCAAGGATTGTTCGCGCATTCGTTCACGTCGATGCAACCGTGTTGTGGGTCGCCTTCGAAGCCGGCCTCGCACATGCATCGCGGTGGATCGCTCGGCGTGCATCTCGCGTTGATACCGCATGGGAAACGATCGCAGGGATCTATAACAATAGAAAAATAGTTCATTAGATAACGTGAGAACTCTTCGTGCTGTTAGAGAGAGTCGTTAATTTAATTATACGTCTATCGCATTCGGAGTTGATTATTATCGGAGAAAATAATGATAACACCGAATAATTGAGGATAGTTATCTTTTTACGATTTCGATATTATTATCGCATTGATTTCAAAGTCTTTTCTCATAGGATAAGTGTTGAACAAATGTCAATACGCGAATAAAGCTTTTCTTCACAGACAGTAATACGCCGGCACGCAGATAAAATGTGGGAGGAGATTTTTTAATCGACCTGACGATACGAAATTTCAAGACTCACTCTTGCAAAGATTTCCTTCCAATGGATCGGTGTAGAACGGCGGTGGACATACGCATTCGCCTGGCTGCACGCACTTCTCGTTAGCCTTGCACTCGTTGTCATTGGTGCATCTCTTCTGTGCGGGTGAGCAGAGGCCGTTGTACGGATCGCCGCCGTAGCCGTGCGGGCATGTGCACTGATGAGCACCTGGTAAGTTGATGCACTCGGCGCCATAGCCGCAGACTTGGTGCCCCACGGTGCACTCGTTTATATCTGTATGAAAATTCACAATTATTGTTGATTGGATTTTGCGTATGCTTTGGGTCATTAAGCACAAATTCGTTTTCATGTGACTGTTTTATTTTATTACTTTTTAGCGTACTCTTTATTGTAGATTATTTAAATTTCGAATTTTCGAAATTCCAAATATTCCTTTGCCCTATATTCTTATTTTTATGAAAAAAAAAAAATGTTCACAAAATAAATTGCAGAACTTACCTTCGCAGGAGCCGTCAGATTTGGTCGTGTAACCCTTTGGACAGGCGCAATAACTGACACCACCCGCAATCGTTATGCACTCGGCACCACTTGGACACTTCTCGCCCTTTGAGCAGCCAGCCAACATGCATTTGCCGTTGACGATCTTGTATGGCGGCTGACACTGGCACTCGATACTGTTACATTCTGTAAATTTTTCAATCCTCAGTTTAGACGTTGTTCTGACGCCGCAGAATAGCACGAACGAAAAACACGATATAAAATTTTAATTCTGTTATAAATAAAATTGCAAAAATTCGGACAGGTAACGCCTTGGTAAAAGTTGCAGTTACACGCTGAAGTGCAAGATGCCACGAAAAATATCGAAGAAACAACAAATCCATAATCACACCTTCGCAGAGCGAGAACGGATTTCCATTGAAACCAGGTGGACATTGACACTCGTAGCTGCCGGGGAGATTTTTGCAAATAGCGTTGACACCGCACGCTGACTTTTCTCTGAGCTCCATGCACTCATTGATGTCTCTGCATTTGCCCGTCTCATGGTCGCGAGTGTAACCGCGCTGACAGATACACACGCTACTGCCCACAAATTCGTCCTTGATGCACTGCTCTCCAGCTGGACAAGGTGCACTGGGACCGCAAACGTGAGGTGCCTTAGACTCTTGGCAACCGCCGCTGTAAGGATCGCCCGTCATGCCGTTGGGACACTGACACGAGAAGGAGCCTGGCTCGTTGTTACAAATCGCACCCGGTGGACACGGATTGATCGCGCACTCGTCGATGTCTCGACAACCATCTTTCGCACCTGGCTTGCCGGTATAACCATTACTACAGAGGCACGTTGCGACGTCGTTCAACAGCATGCAATGAGCGTTGGGTCCGCAAGATAGATCTTCGCATGGATCTGACCGGATAAAAGATTTATGCACATATATATATAAATTTTCAAGATGATCAATATAAAAAAATGAAATCTATAATTTGGAAAAATTTAATACCAAATAAATTAACTAGTATTCGGTGCTAATTAAACTTTAATATGTTGTATTGAAAAAAATTTATTGACCATATATGTATGCTTTTCGTATATATTAATGAATCTGTGAAAGAGTGTATATATACCTTTTATATATAGGATATCCAAAAAGTCCCGGACCGGTAAAATATCTCAAAAACAAAACATTTCAGAAAAAAATGTAAAATTTTATGTAAGAGTTATATAGTTTCAAGGGAAACATAAAACAACTATATCATTTTGTTTACAGATGATGCCACTTTCGAAATATTCACTGATTATTACTCTTCTTAAATGAAAACCTCAATTTTTTATTATATTATCTTTTTTTATCGATTAGTTTGAACAACTTTTGTCTGAAACATTTTTTTATTTGTTTAATATTTTTTGAGATATTTAAGGAAATAGTAATAATTTTAATAGCTAATTTTTGATAACTTATCGACTTTTGAAAAATTCAAAATCATCAAATTAACAAAAGTCAGGGCGCTATTGTAATAGTATATTCTTAAGGCCAAGTAGAGTAAAAAAGTCTACTATCACTTTTTCTTCCGATAAACAGGTAGTGATAAACAGTCGTAAGTTAAACATTGAAAAAATTGTCGAGTTATCTTCAAATATCTCAAAAAATATTAAGCAAATAAAAAAATGTTTCAGACAAAAGTTGTTCAAATTAATTGATAAAAAAAGATGATATCCCTTACAAAAATATTTCACCGTTTTTATTCTCATATTGCTCGTTTTTGGCCCGTTTTTGACCCGTTTTTAGCCCGTTTTCTATCCGTTTCTTCATTTTTATGTCCGTTTCTTGCACTCTCAAGTCTGCGCAGCATATAGAGAGAAAAAATATGACGAGTATACGCGAGTATGCACGAGTATTTTTAAACAGATTGCCCCTTTTTAACATTCTTTTTTCAACTGATGAGTGACTGCACGTTAATACGTATCTCTTCTACTCAAGACATTGAAATAAATTGAGTAAAAATATACGTATTAATGTGCTGTTATTCGCAGCTGAAAAATAAATGTTAAAGACAGGCAATCTGCTTAAAAATATACTTTATGGTACGTTTTTACTACTCGGATATATTCATTTTTACTACTCGACAACCCGTTTTCACCATTCACTGTTTAAGTAAAGGTGCCCCTTTTCGATTTAAAAATGGTATCATACTCGCAGAGTTGAATGCATACATTTTACATCTCAAATTCACAATCAAAACCGATTTTTGAGGGCTAAAAACGGTGAAATATTTTTGTAAAAGTTAATAAAAAATGGGGTTTCCATTTAAGAAGAATAATGATCAGTGAATATTTCGAAAGTGGCGTCATCTGTAAACAAAATGATATAATTGTTTTATGTCTCCCTTGAAACTATGCAACTCTTGTATGAAACATTTTTTTCTGAAATGTCTTGCTCTCTAGGTATTTTACCTGTCTGGGATTTTCTGGACATCCTATATATTAATGGCCTTCTAACAGCATATATTTACACCTTTCGAAGTCAAAGGATTAAACATAACATAACTATACATGATGTTTCAGACTACCCGTCTATCCTGTTTAAAATAAAGAGAAATTTTTAACAAAAATTCCGAAAATGTTATGACCAAATTGGGTATACTCTAGCTAGTGATGATATTTTCAATTTCCGATACTGACCGAAAATTGGCTATATAATCCGGAAATTGGATTTTTTTTTAATAGAACATAACATTTTTTATTGTATATTCGGATTATATACAAAAAATAAGAAACTTTGTCTCCAAACATTTTTTTCTGAAATGCTTCTAGTGATCTTGAAATGATGTTGAAAGTGCGATGAAAGTGTGTTTTATGTAGCCGCCGCGAAGTGCCATAAACCAAATATGCTACGCGTGTGTGAGAATCTCAAATGAATAAGCAAATATAGTCTGATAAATTATTCACCCCGATTACCGGATCTTATTGTCCTTTATTATTATTTGTTACAAATGAGAATATTATTTATATGATAAATGAAGCAATTTGATCCTTAAATATTAATAAAATTCTTCAAGCAACTAATTCCTTCTAAAGTAGAATAGATGCATGCGTCGCACAGAACAGTGCTCAATTTGAACACTTGGCTTTAATAAACTCACCCAGAAACATAGTGAAAATTTATTTTTCATCACAAATTCAATATCATTTCAAGATCACTGGAAGCATTCCAGAAAAAATGTTTGGTATAAAATTTTTTTTTTTATTTTTTTGTATGTAATTCGAAAATAAAATAAAATGTACTATATTCTATTCGAAAAACTCAACTTCCGATCTGCATAGCCAATTTTCTGTCAGTACCGGAAATTGAAAATATCATCATTGGATAAAGCACATGGCAATGTAATCATAAAAATTTTCGGGATTTTTGCTAAAATTTCTTTTCATTTTAAAAGAGTTGAACGAGTGATCTGAAAACCTTACATAACATAACTATATAATATAACTATTGTTAATTTGTCTAATTTTTTTTTGCTTTTAAAGCAATGGTGATACGTACGTCTGCAATCGTTTCCAACATTGGGCTCAGGGCATAAGCATCTCTTTTGTAGATCGCAAATAGCATTCCCTGGACAATCATCATCAACTTCGCATCTGACTATTGCAACGCATTTGATATACGGATCAGGAGCCGGTATTGTTTCTTCTGGACAATTGCAAGAGTAGGAACCCTCAGTGTTAGTGCATGTCGCTCCGTGACCGCAAACATCATGTCTTGTACACTCATCAATATCTATGTAATTAAAAATGTATATGATTAAAAAATTGACATTCGTTGACATGTAAAATTAAAAATTATTAATAACTATTTTATTAATAAATAATTATTAATAAACCATAATTATTAATAAACAGTGGTGATCTGTATTTTGTTCAACTGACCTATACATTGCTTGAAGGCATTTCCTGAAAATCCAGATTTACATTGGCAACTGAAACTGCCGGGTGTATTCGTGCAGATAGCATTTCTGCCGCATCTTCCAGAAGGTCCATTTACTGCGTCGCACTCATTTATATCTACAAATAAAAAAGAAAGGCCGTATTATTGATAAAATCTCACATATACACAGAAACTTCTCTATATAAAAAGCATACAAAAGAGTAATTGTCTAATTAATTGCAAAAAGAGATATCAGATTACTCACCGACACATCCAGCCCCTATGTCGTTCGGATTAAAGGTCCAACCGTCTTCGCAAATACAATAAGCTTCATGACCATCGGCTTTGCAAAAGGCATGGTCGCCACAAGTTACCTCATCGCATGGTGCTTTGAAATAAAACGAAAATCATGTGTTATCAAACAAACAAAACTCTTTATTACCAATAAAACAAAAATCATGTATTAACGATGAAACAAAACAAATATCTGGTATTACCAATCTCATTCTTCTTGAGTCTTAAAAGAGTCTTAAAAAGTGATAAAGAAATTACGATCGAGAAATCACAAGTAACAAAATCGAACACCCAAAAAAATATTTTTTATTTGTAAAATGATTTTTCCCATAGTCTCATGTTCTAAGCGAAGCCTTTTACGGAAAAAGGATTTCTCTTTCGATGAAGCGATTAAAGTAAACCATTCATCTAAAATTTATTAGATATTATTCTAACTATTTTCCTCTTATTTCAAAAGGATTTCCTCTTATATCAATTCATTTTCCTCTTATATGAAGAGGAATATGTTGATTTGAATGTCAGTTTTCTTTGTTCAGTCATGCTCTACCTCCAGACATAAACGTAAAAATAATAATATGCTTATGGATTAGAATATTTGGAACGCTTTTTAAAAAAAGTATGTGTGTAACATATAACGAAGATAATTTACACATATTTGGTCAAATATAGTTTATAATCTATTGCAAAAAGTTGAATAATATAGTCTTTCTTTTAACTATGTTTCATATAATTGATTATGATGAACATCTTTGTAGCTATCAAGTCCATAACAAAACTGATTGGAAAGGAAGATGTTAAAAAAGCGTCGATTTTAGCCCCCAAGGGAAAAGTGAATGGACCTTGAAAAATCATTGTTTGGGTCCTCAGATAACCAGGAAAAAATAATCATTTATCCGACCAGTGGTGAGAACATTGCAAGAATGGCCTGAATATAATAAAAAATACCACTAATCAAAAACTTATAATTACTGATTATTTTAGGCGAATCACACCTCCGTATGGTTCCTTATAAGTCACTCCTATAACGATGTATAGAAAGAGCAACTTTAAATGATAAAAATAAAAGCATTGTTGGGTACGATACAAATAGTCGTACGGAAGCACGTTCAGCGAGAGTGCGCTGCGCCTGAAGCCGCGTCTCCGGTCGTCGGCGTATGACCGTTTGCTCTTCCGTATAGTAACACTATACATTCTACTAGACGAACGTGATTTTGACTTGCTTTTTGCTGCATAGCACATTTTACATAAAACTATATCATTAGATTCATGATATTCTGTGCGCGATCTTTTTTCAAGTGATCGTACACAATTAGAGCAACGTTTAGGCATAATGAATATTTTTTTCCGAGAAAAGTGAATATGTTATTTTAATATATCCCTGAAATTGAATTACTGACCAAGAGTTATAACAAAAATTGACTACAAGAACTAAATATCGTTATAAATGTTATATGTTGGAAATATTACCTTTGACACTTTTTGGTGATATCTTAACGAAGATATAATCATGTGTCAGTAAAAATAGTAATATGAATCAGTTGCAAATATCAAAATTATAAATAAGTGTATAATGTATGAAAGTAATTCTGAAGAATTAAGAGATAAGGCAAGGTGTTGTTTATTGACTTGCTTCACACTCGGTGATATAAATACAATTTCAAAAACAAAAAAATTGTTCATTGAGAACTCAATGAGAATATATAATATTATTATATAATATAATATACGGAAGAACAAACGGCTCGCTATACGCCGATGGCCGGAGACACGGCGTCAGGCGCAGCGCAGTCTCGCTGAGCGTGCTTCCGTACGACTACTTGTGCCGCACGCAACAATGACTTTATTTTTATCATTTCAAATTGCTCTTTCTATACATTATTATAGGAATGACTTATAAGGAACCATACGGAGGTGGTTCACCTAGAATAATCAGTAATTGCAAGTTTTCAACTAGTAGCATTTTTTACTATACTTAGGCCATTCTTACAATGTTATCATTGGTCAGATAAATGATTATTATTTCCTGTCATCTGAGGAGCCAAACAATGATTTTTCGAGGTCCATTCATTTTTCCTTGGGAGCCAAAATCGACACTTTTTTAACATTCTCCTTTAAGTAATTCTGCTTATCCTGAAATTACTTTCTTTTGGGTGAATAATAATATAGAGACAGTTTCTATGGATTATTACCTTTACACTGTATGTGAGGCGGAGTACCGACGAACCCGGACTCGCATTCGCAGTGGTAACTTCCTCTGATATTCGTGCAGATCGACGCAGGCCCGCAAGGATTAGTAAGGCACTCGTCCAGATCCGCGCACTCGGCCCCGACGGCTTTGAAGCCATCTTTGCAGAAGCACTGTCCCTCGATGCACTCGGCATTGTTGACACAATCAAAATTCGACTTGCAGAGCGTCGTAACGTCGGTCTACAAACAGTACAACGGAAACGACATTTTACCTCGTTCAAATTCTTGTCGCGTTCTAAGGCATCGAAACATTGTATTCGGAAATGGGAACCGGTTCTCGACGGCGCGGAGTACAACTACCTCGTGGACGCGCAAATAAGAAGGTAGGAGTCACGTTAAGTGAGCCGTGGGTCAATTTGTGTGGCTTTGCAAACAACGAAAAGAATATGACTTCGGGAAGAAGATAAATGGTACGAGACCGGTTTGTGCCTATTATTCGCTTCGCGTACGTTTTCCTTTTCTCTTCCATCACTCCCGTAAATCACAGGACAGTCCAAGATATTGGAGACACGACGAGCCTGTTTACGAGACGTTCGTCTCGAGATATTTCTCATGTTACGGATCTCGCTTGTAAGCATGTACCGAACAACTCGTTGTTCTGAATGGAACGGGTTTGCTGAATTATTACCTGATCGCAAGCGACTGTCGGATTGGGGCTGGCACTGTACCCCGGTGGACAGACGCAATTGTAGCCGGGGTCCGCGTTCTTGCAAATCGCGTTCCTGCCGCAAGGATTCTCCAAAGCCGTACACTCGTCAATATCTGGAACGAAACGTGAATCACAATAACAAGGAGAATCTTACGAGCTTGGAAATGAAAAGATACGGAATACTTTTTTACGATATTTTTAGAATTCTAACTTTCCAACGTGAATGAAGAACTATACGCGCACTTAATACTTTTATATAGAAAAATAAACAATTCTCAATGGAGAAAATAGACATATAACAAAGCCGCGTTTAATGGAAGGTCAACTGCTTAGAGCTTCAGCTTGTTGGCCTCGCATAATCCACATATCGCATGATCCACTCAAAGAAGAAGGACTGTATTATTAAATGGAGGAAATGTCGAGTAAGCTAACCGCTGCACTCCTTGTAAGGGTCGCCGGTGTAATCCGTCTTGCAGCTGCAGACGAAGCTACCGATCGTGTCGCTGCACACGGCGTTCTCGCCGCAGGGATTGCGCTTGCATTCGTTCACGTCTGTTAATCAATATGGTTAATCGCGATGTGAGTATTATTAATCGTTAGCATCGATGAATGAATATGATGTGCAATGACAGAGGAAAAGACAAAGAGAGAGAGAGAGAGAGAGAGAGAGAGAGAGAGAGAGAGAGAGAGAGAGAGAGAGAGAAAGAGATTATTGCTTTGTGACTGACTTTCGCAAAGAGTTAGTCCTTGGCCAACAAAACCCGGCGGGCAAATGCACTTGTACGAGCCCGGGACGTTGATGCACCTCGCGTTGACCGCACAAGCATCCGTGCTGCTGCATTCGTTCACGTCGATGCAGCCGTGCGTGGGGTCCATTTGGTAACCGGCATGGCACCTACACTCGAAGCTACCCTCGATGTTCACGCATTCCGAGTTCATGCTGCATGGTGAACCCTCCTCACACTCGTTTATATCTGTTAGTGATGCTCGGTTAGTCGACACTGCGGACGATATATAGGCACCGAATCTCCGATGGTACGATAATCATCGGCTCATTTTGTTTTAATCAATTAATAATTGATTAATGAGTGATTTGATACGTTTATTAAGATGCGAATTGTGCGTTCGTCAAATAGCAGTGAGACGATTTTGTATTGTTCATAGACTCGTACACATAGACTGCGAACGTTCTACTTTCTTAAGAGGCTGCGAAGACTATATCTGACAATGAGAAGAATAACCTGTATTAGAGTCATTTAATTCTTGTCTAGCTTGACTCCTCTCGGAGAAAGCTAGACGAAGATGTGTCTGTGAATAGTGAAAAAGGAATACCGTCATATTTTGTTTTCAAATATCACATAAGAAGAAGCAGCCTATGTATGCAAGCCTACGGTATTATTAAAGCGTGATAATTAATGATATTTATGATTCGTCCATAGTTCACCGCACTGTTTTATCCTCTACTTACCATACCGCTGATAGGACTTTACACGCTTTGACGAACTCAAACTCTCGGCGTGTGTATCGTATCGCGGGAAATAAATTAGAGCGAGGCGTAATAGGTAGGGAAGGCAATCGCGGTAGAAACGTTCTCAAGACTCACCATGGCAACCTGTCCACGGATCACCGTTCATTCCGTCGGGACACAAGCACCGGAAACTACCATGTACATTTGTGCAGAGAGCGGAACGTCCGCAGGGGCTTCTTAGGCACTCGTTGATATCCCTGCATTCCTCTTCGGGGCTGCCGTCATATCCTAGAGGACACTCGCATTTATGAGCGCCTGGTAAGTTCACGCATAGTGCATCCTTCCCGCAAGCACCTTCGTATTCGCACTCGTTGATATCGATGCACTATTTGGACAGATCGAAACAGTTAGATACCTAAGCTGACATCCGACGAGGTTATTTCTCGAAAGAATCGTGATATAAAATACACCGTAACGTAAAATTTTGAAAAATTAGAAAAGAGACGCGAAATATACGTTTTAATTCGATCGTATCCATTCGATCATATATAGATTGAATAAATAAATATATAAAGTTTAGATTTCTTCATAGATAATATTCTTGTTGTTCTAAGTCATTTAAGTATTTTTATCCTTTGCGAAGCCTTTGCATTTATATACTGTATAATTAACTTGCGCCCTCCGAGAGTTCATCGTACCGAACGATAATTATTGAGATCAATATCTCCTTTATAGGTACCAAAAAAGATATTTCCGGGACAAGATAATTGGCTTATAGGCGTATTATTAGCCGCTTTGAGCTCAGCAACGTTATCGCAAAAGTCTCCTAATCGTTTTCTTTACCTCTCGCGTTCCTGTTTTCGTCGGTTTACTTACATTGTTGTACGGGTCTCCCATGAATCCGTCTTGACACGTGCAGGTGTAATTGCCAGGTATGTTATGACACACGGTATTGTCGCCGCATGCGCCTGGTATCGTGCATTCGTCCACATCTTCGCAATGTACCTCACCGTCGCCGATGTAGCCAGGTTTGCATTTGCACAAGAAGTTCGACGGGAGGTTACAACACTCGGCATTTTCGACGCAACGCCCAGCGAGCGCCGGATCGTCACATTCGTTGATATCTGCAAATATAATTCGGCAAATAAGTCGATGAACCGAACGTATAGCTGCGAGATCGCGACTGTTGACTGTGCGTTAAATGTGCGAGTAAAATTACCTTCGCAGTGAAAACCATCGCCTCGATATCCAGGAAAACAGGAACATTGAAAGCTGCCAAGAGTATTTGTACAATGGGCAAATATATCACAGGGCCGATATTTACATTCGTTCTCATCTGTAAGTTTATATAGATATTGTCAGTTACAAATAACTCGATAAGTTTTTATGTATGTGTATAGCATGTATTATTTCTATTCTTTATGAAGTATTAGGAGGATGAATTAGTTCTGGTTCCTAGAAATAGATGAGTTTAGTAACAAATTAACGGTTAGTATGAATGTTGGCAACATGAAATTCGGCAACACTGAAAGATTTGACATTTCTCTATGACATATGACAGTTTGCGCGCTATTGTTACTGGTAATTTCATTGTTTATACGCGTCTAAAATGGATTGTACAAAATTGCATTTTCGACATTCATTACGTTTTTTGTTTAATTTGAAAAAATCGGCAACTGAAGCTCATGAAATGCTTGTTACAACTTATGGTAATCAAACTCCATCATATTCCAACTGTAAATTTTTATTTCAACGACTCAAAAGTGCTAATTTCGATTTGAATGACAAAGAATGTACTAGTCAATTAAAAAAATTCGAAGATTCTGAATTGCAAGCATTATCGAATGAAAACACTGCTCAAACGGAAAAAACAAATGGCTGAACGATTCAACGTCGATAAAACAACAATTTCTAAACGACTATACGCCATGGGAAAAATTCAAAAGGAAGACGAATGGTTTCCACATGAATCGAGTGAAAGTGCCATTGCAAATCGTTTAAATATCGCCATGTCATTGCTTGCCAGAAAGAAAAGTTTTTTGTAGCTAATTGTAATTGGAGATGAAAAGTGGATTTATTTTGATAATCCAAAGCGAAAAAAATCATGGGTTGATGCAAGACAACCATCAACATTGATAACGAAACACGATTCACGGTCAAAAAGCAATGCTCTGTATTTGATAGAATATGTAAGGTGTGGTGTACTATGAGCTTCTAAAATCGAATGAAACAGTTATAGGGAAACGATATCAGCAACAATTGAACAAATTGAATAATGAATTGGTACAAGAAAGGCCAGCAATAGCCAGCAATAAACGCAAAGTGATTCTTTTGTACAATAATGTTCGCCCACATATTGCTTCAATCGTAAGACACACATTGTTAGAGCTCGAATAGGAAATCCTTCCGTATCCAGCATACTCTCTAGACCTAGTGCCATCTGATTACCATCTATTCCGATCGATGCAACACGCTTTGGCAGATACACACCTCAATAATTACGAGGATGTGCAAAAATGGGTGTTTGTGTTGAAAGAAATGTCTGATTGGATTGCTTCGAAAGACAAATCGTTATACCGTAGCGGAATCGCTACGTTGCCAGAAGGATGGGAAAAAGTCACAGCTAACGACGAAAAATATTTTGATTGATGTAAATTTAACTATTTCTTTAAAATAGAAATAAAAAAATTGACAAAATAAGACCAGAATTAATTCAACTTCCTAATATAAGGAAACTCAATCAAAAGTTGGAGCGTTCTATGAAAGTAAAATATTTGTTCAAACCTTAATTATATAAATTATATAGTAATATGTTATAGTAAACGTTTGTAAACAATAGAATAAATGCGTCGTCCTCATAGAAAAGCATTACCGGCTAATTTATTATAGCCAGTAATATTTCTCTTACGAAGGCGATTGAATATATGCTAACGATGGAATTTGCACGAATAATTGCGTGTAATGATAACTGATAATTCTCCGCGTACAAACCTGGAACTTGACAGTTACATCCTCCAAACCCATCGTTACAGTGACAGACTGAATCCAGACAGACACCGTTTTGACATTTAGTACCGTGCTCTGTTGTACAATCATCTGGAAACGAAATTTCCAACAGATTAAATTATTCAATATTATTAAAGACAAGTCGACTGTGAAAATATGCAATTGCACAAATCTATCGTTAATTTCTGCGTAGAGGAAAACCAAAACTCCGAGAATTAATTAATATTCTCGCGTATGTCGCTTGTCATGAAATTTTACCGTTCTTCCTCGTCACACAAACGGAAACATGAACTCACTCATGCGAATAAATACTCGATAATTTTATTTGAGCGACGACACGTCAACGGGAATATACATATCTGGGAAGAAACATCCGGCACGAAGTACGAGCCATTTTTGCGCCGGACATTAAGTTATATTATCCCAGGAGAAAAAGAACTGCAGAATAAATTGCGAGTCATCGGCTAATCGGCGCAATTTTCCCCCGCCGGGCTAATCAGCGGTCGAACAGTGGAGTTTTTCTCACAAGCTGCGAAGCAGATACGTTCAGCTGATACGTTCAGTAGACTCAAGTAACACGATATGCTCATCGACGCGGACCGGTACGTCAATTATCCGCCTCTATCTGGAGATGATAACATCCGCGAAGGAAAGGAGAGAAAAAGGGGAAGAAACGCGAATAAAAATAAATCTCTGCGGTTAATTACGACGTGGGCGTGACTCAGTACAATGTGGTATAATGATGCGGGCGGAGATCCCCTTAATTGACGCGACGGGAGACGACATTGCGCCCATCGCGTCGCCATGTCGCGTCGTGAGTGCGTTTCTGCGGTTTACGCGCCGCGAGAGAAATTACTTAGTCGTCGTAATCACATCAAGAACTGCGGAATGACACAAAGCAGCCACAGAAAGATGTTGAGGCGATAATACGTCGTATCGTGCGACGGTGTCTCCTCTCTTCCTGGCGTGCTACACTCTCGTGATCGCTCTCAAGATGACACCGTGTTTGCAGAGTGATTATGAACCCCGAATAAACCCGAGTTTGTTCGGAAAAGATACGTCTTCCCACAAGAAACTCACTTGTGCACTTCAACTTGCCGCGCTGCTCGTCCGCGCCCTGGTAGCAGTCGACGCGCTGATCGCAAAGCTTCGAGAGCTCTAGTAACTGCAGAATGTCCGTCGACTCGTTCACTTGGCAGCCGAAGTAGCCGTCCTCGAGGTTCAAGAAGAATACTTCTCGCCTCAATCCATGGCCGAGTCCGTTGCGAGATTCGGCCTGGAAAATTTGAATTGCAACATTAATTGAATCTCATTCGTTCACGCAAAAATCGAGCTCTTGATAAACATATAAAGAAATAAGTTCCCTATTCTTAATTTTGTAGTACTAACAAGTTTCAATGTACGATAAAATTCCATCCATGAAGGCATAAAAACGTTTTCGAACGTCTACTTACCGGATACGAAGATAAAAGTATCCACGTCAGCAACGGCCAAAGATGTTTCATCTTTGCTGCAAAAAAAAGAGAGAAAAAGGTCGAAATTAGTCATGTTATAATAACAGATATTGCGCAGGCAGACCGTGCGAATACTGCTTGTTAATAACGGAAATTTTTAGCGGTGATCAAAGTTACCACAAACATACACACACACACACACACAAACACACATATACACATGCTTGTGTCATCTTTTTACTCGTGGAGCGTTACAGAAGAAATTTATAGATTCCTAAACATATACGTAAAGGCCCGATGACTTCACGCGAGAATCACCTGTGGTAATTGCATCATCGCAAATTCACAAGTGGTTTCGCAAAAAACCAGCGCTACCTCGTCTTCTGTCCCCTCGAAGCTCTGGGAACTTTTCGCGATCCGAAGATGCGAGAGAGAGAGAGAGAGAGAGAGAGAGAGAGAGAGAGAAACAGAAAGGGAGGCAATCAACATTCCCCGCGATGTTCGCGGCGTATAAATCATGAGAGGAAAGCACCGCGGTTGCAGGAAATCATTGGAAAATCGAGCGTGGATACAAAACCGCAAGAAACCGTCGGACCGTTTTTCAGTCGCAACGGGTAAACCAACACCGCTCGAACACCTGTTCGTTGGACGAAGCGCCAGTCCGCCAATCGCTCTGATGTGTGGCTAGTTCACGAATGTGTGCTGAGAAAGTCGGTTGATCCACCAACTCTGACGTATGTAGTGTTAATTTTAGCGTTCAATGAGAGATACTTATGAACTTAACATCTGAACATCGCTCATTGCCGATTGATGCGGCGAAAAGGAATGGATTCTCGCATACATATACGATATTCACGATTTAGATGAGAATAATGTGACTCTAACCCTCAGATACGTATGGCGAAACTGCAGAATCTGTAGCGCATTCGACTCAACATTGTGGAAAAACGTTGTCGAGGGTCTTCCTCTGGCTCCTCTGGATCCCGTTTCAGAAACGCGGAAATCGGAATCCTCGAATTCCCGCGCGACGCTACAAGCAATCGCGCCAGCCAGCCGTTTCGCGTTTATTGCTCGTTTCTACTTCGCCCGATACGATTCCTCGGACTAGCGTCGAACTGTAAACGCAATTTTCACGAGATAGCTCCGCTGCGCAGACGCATTCGCGTCAAAAGCGTCTTCGTTGCGAACCGCGGTTAGTCGTCGGGGACGCAGACAAATGCACTATCACGAGCGAGCGAGCGAGGGCGCGCATGCAACAAGTAACACAATAAGTTAGAGCTGCGGCGAGATCAACCTGGCGCGGTGAAATGTTAACGACTGCACACGGCTAAGCTCATAGGGAAGGATCGCAGAGGGCGAGAGGGAGGAAGGCAGGAAGGACGTGTGTTCGCCAAGTCGGATGAAGTGGAGGAAGAGAAGCGGAAAGTGCGAGAAGGAACGACCAGGAGGATAGGAGAGGAAAGAAGAGGCAGAGGAACGTAATAAAGGAGGGCGTGCGAGTGCGATGCACCTGTTGCCCTCCTGCCCCCTCCCCCCCGACCACCTTGCGTCGTCGCCGAGTCGTCCCTCCGCCGCGTACCCCTAACTCGTCAAGACAAACTCACGTACAAACTCACAGCTGCGAGTCGGCTAACAGGGGAATTCATGGGTTCCTTTATTTTAATTTCATTGTCACGGAAACCGGCTACCCCACCGAGTGAACTAATTTTTAGGAGCCGCTTTGGGAGCGATCGCTTTCGCAGTTCCCTTGCTCGTAGAGTCCTTGTGCGTTATATGTATTTATATGTGCGCAGAGGATGTGTGAAAACTGCAACACGATACTTTTACCAGACCATTCTATTTAGAAGCTAGATAAAAAATACTGACATGAAAATGCTGAGGCCACTGTGATTTCCGGAGCAGAGTTGATCAATACGCGTAGATTTTGTATCAAGTACATTGTACGAAACGAATAATTATACATATACACATGTACACTTATACACGTATATGTACCGATAATTGATTGAAAATATAATCAATCCCAGATTTATATTCACACGTAACTTTATTGTCTGGGTTAATATATTTTTTATTATATGAATAAGTGCAGATATTAGTCGGCGAATAATCAGAAATTCACGAAGCTCTAATCATCTAATAAATAATGATTGACTTCTAGCATAAATTTCGATTCGGAATATTTCTTTATTCATAGCGAATTCGTCAAACTTCCGCCCAAACCAGAAACGCTTTGCATGACAAGTAATTTCGCTCAATTGAAGATATGTATCTATGTATCTGAAAATTCGTGACATATGTCTTCTATTCACCTCCAATTCGCTATTTACGTCGCGGTATTTTGCATCCTGATACATCTTGGTTTCTAATTACTTTATCGTGGCATTGACACTGACACTCACATAGATATGACAATTTGATCAAAGTGTTACGTCCTGCGGACTCCGCGTACTCTAGACTTCTTTTATAAATAAGGAAAATTGAATTTATTATTATTTATTATATGGCCGGATGCGTTCAGGCATGTTACCACACGACGCGATCTCTGGAAGTTTCGATGCTCTGGAAATATTAACAATCTTGAACCAACTCCGATCTTGTTTCCCACAGTATCGCAACATCCTTTTTAGAAGTATCGATATTTCCTTCTTAAGATTGCTGCCACGTTTTTTTAAACAAAAGACTCTCGAAAACCTCTTATTGCCATATGCATCCTATCTCCTACAAAGTTATCTTAAAGAGACACTGCAACGTATTCTTGACCCCCACCTCTAAAAAAACATTCGAAGCACAGTCCTATGACCATATTTGGGCATGAACATTAGATTTCCGAAACAATTCCCTAAAACCCCACTCTCTCAACCGAGCTGACGTTTTGAGAAGAGCCAAAATGCCAACTCACTTCTCGACCGACCCGCAGCCAGGACAGAAGCTTCTCTTCAGCACCCCTTCAGGGTCTCCTAACAATCTAGCCTACTAGTGGCTTAGACAGATCAATGTTTCTCCAGTCGTTAATTATTCTGTGCAATGATCTTGTGCATTTTTGGATCGTGAGCAATCCAGCGGAAACCAGCTTCCTATTCTTGGCGCAAACTTGGGTCATCCGCCCTCACCGACACGCAGCAATTACACTCCTCATTTTCGACCAATAGCACAGAACCAGCAGTAAATTATTTATACCTTCTTTTGCCTGAGTGACCCCTTTCTTTTCACTTTTCTTCTTTTCTTCTGTCTCTCTTCTTTTCCTTTCCTTTTTCTTTCTTTTTGTTTGCCCCTTGGCATGCCTCCTTAATTGTTAAATCCGGTGTCAGTGGCCCAATCTTTTCGATCACAGTCGGACATAACGAACACGGAATTTTGCTCAGACCGCGATTGTTATACATATATGTATACGTATACATTATAAAATCTTACAAATTTTATTTCATTGTGAACTTCCGTCTAATCATCAATAAAACAAGTTATTTGTAATTGTAAGCCAATCACACTTTCCAACTAATTATTCTCAACAAAAAATTCTCCCTTCCCTCAACTGTCGCTCACGGTCCTATCCCAGGTAAAAGGATTCAGTTCCTTGACCTAAATAAAGGACCACCGACGTACGTCCGCGCCAGATAAAGGGGTTATTCCGATCCTTGATCTGCACCGCAGACTTGCGAGTACGTCGGAGCTTGTGAAAGCAAACGTCAAGTTGCGTTCCTCCTCCAGGACGTAACAAAAGCAATGAGTATTAATCAACACTTTATGTGGCATTCTTTTTACCTGATCGATTTCTGTGAAATCTTGCATTTCTATGTTTTCTTAATCGCTGTAGACACAGTATACACTGCTCAAAAGAATTATGGCATAGATAATTTATTGCCGAAAATTGGCCAACTTTGACTGACGATTACTTCGCGAAAAATTATTATAGACTAATGATTTTTTTTTCATAATAGAGCTTGAAGTCTCTACTTTAAGAATATATTTCCATTTTTTGCATGCGATACACCCCTACCACTGTAACCCCTCTGACATCTGAGGGCATGTTTGGTATATTGAAAATTGCAAAGTTTGACGGAATGCACGGACGTGGACAATTTTTTCGGAGACGCCGTTTGCATCGTCATAAAGTTCAAATCTTCCCCTTCAATTTGAAAAAAAAGTAGGGTCGCTGTAATTTTTTTTCGCAAAGTTACGACCCTTCAAAAATATCGTTGTTTTTGGCCTTCAGACCAAGTATGCACGCATGTGTGTGTATGTGTCCGTGACAAAAGAGATAAGGACCACGTAGTTCGTCACTTCCACAGTAATTATTGATGTGTGAATATAAATTTTTTAAGGGTAAAACCCACCGGTGGGTCACGATGTCGCGAACGCGTTAAAATGGGACATCCTATGTATTATATTTTGATATGTGAAGAATATTCAGTAAAATTTTCAGTCTCTAATTTTGAATATCTCCCAAGAAATTAAATTTTTCTAAAAAATCGTTTTCTTCAATTTTAGTTGTTTAAAAATGAACAATGAGATTTTAGTTGTTTAAAAATGAACAATGAGATATAAAAACCATGGGAAACATATAAAGTAAGTATCAATACATTTATCAGAAAAATGTGAAATCATGTTTATTTTCATTAAACTGTGAACAGTATATCATAAAGATGAAAGAGAAAAAGATGGTATGTATACTTAGCACTGTTACATATAAAAAGTTAATGCGAGGATCCTATTGGATACTTCAAAAGTCAATGACATATCTTGATTGTTCGACAAGAATCAAAACCAGCACGCCAATATACGATATACATGTTCATAAATGCATGTCTCTTACTTTAAGTTCGCGCGAGACAATAAGCAAAATAAAATAATGAACAAAAAGTCTATGTCATCGGCCAAGCGAGTGCAATCGAAAGAAATTATGTCACGAGTGTAATCAAAACATATGTTCTCAAATACTCTGAACTTTCGAAACAGTCGGTTATCTTCTCGTATTACACTCTTGTCCACATGTCACGTTATATTTCGGCATAAGAGGCATACCACGGAGTACATGCATCGGTATGTCAGTTATCAT